CTATACCAGAATCCATTCCAGATCCCCTCTAGGAGGATGGACTGGAAGTCCCTCTGCTGCTGGATGAAGTCCTCCATGTTAGTATTCATCCACTCCATCACCAACCTACTCCCTTCTGCAGCTCCAATACTCTCCTGGAGAAGTCCATTGGTCCAGGCCAGTTCTGCTACTATGCTGTTAGCAGCAGCAACCCAGGCCTGGTCATCATACTCCACACTCCCCTCATCTGTTTTGATCACAGTCTGCAGATTGGAGATGTCCTCCACTTCTGGCTCCTCAGGAGTAGGGCTTTTCTGATGTCTTTTACCCTTGGATTTCAGAGATGGAGTTCCCACAGCATGCTACCTCTTCTGCTTCAGCTTCCTGGGCTTGTCCACACTTCCAGGACAGGAGGCCCTATCCCTCCTGCAGACATCACAAGAGTTGATCTATCCAGATGTCAGTACACTCAGTTCCAGACATCTGAGACAAGGAATGTCTCACTAACATGTTAGACTTGGCATCCTCCCAGGAGCACACCTTGTTCTTATTGACACAATGAGTGTAGGGTGCATCCTGAGCTCCAGACATGGAAGCAGACTGGGACTAGCATGTTCCTTAGTTCCAGTTCCAATAGAGGCATCATTACTCACCCTCCTGGCCACCTCAGCCCTCCACCTCTTCTCTTCCTGTGCTACCTGGAGCTCAGATTGCTCTATCTGTTTCCTATCCTCCTCACATTTCCACTCCACTTCCTAACACTTCCACTCTGCTTCCTGGTGCTTCCGCTTCTCTTCCTCTTCCTCTCTCTGAGCTGCAGCCTCTGCAAGTGCCATCTGGTGCTGAAGTTCCACAAGTGTTTCCCTAGCAGATTTCTGACCACTGGATTTGTTGCCAGACATGATATTTCAAAGCTAGTATGAGTGAGTGAAGTAGGGAAAGGAAGGAAGGCCCAGGACACTTTGGCATCTGTATATCTGTGGAAATCCAAACTCATAAACTCCACCCATCAGCTTCTCCATTGATTCTCACCCTCATATCGTCCAGTCCAGATTGTCAGATCTTGTGCCTCTAGGGATTGGCCCTAAAGGGGGGATACTGTCATATCCACATATCTGGATCTCAGATCCAATCCACATCTCATCTCCAATCCTATCCACATCTTATCCCTATCTAACATCCCATTATCCAATCTGTCCACTCATCCAGTCCAGTCCACAATTCATCCAAATCCACAACCAGCACTCATCTCCTTTCAGTAACCCCCTGACTCCAGTACTTCAGTTATCTGTATATCTGTCCTGCTCACTGATCCATTACCTATGCTTCATTTCCGTTTCATTATTTGTGATCCATTCCTACTTACCAATAGACTATCCATATGCTTTGTACATAGCCTCGAATCCTGCTGATTGATCATTCCATTAGATACCTATAGTATACAGTGACTTGCAAAACCATTACAATGTTTGGTACTTTTTCAGTGTACACAATATAGCGCCTATGCACATGGGAATCATGCTTAGTGTTGGTGGGGGTGTGTGAACTACAGACCCTTGGCTACAGACTGACACTTAGATCACATGATTTGGCCAAGGGGATGTGAAGATATGCCTATTTTAAGACAGAGATACCATTGTAACAGTTTTGCAGCTGTTAATATAGATGGTGGGATCTCAGTCAAATCAGAGGATGGTTACTGTTATTTGCTTATACAAATAGAAATATACATAAAAATATTATGTCTGAGTTTGAAACTGCTCCTGTGCTTCTTTATTTTTAATCATTACCACCATGGGATCTCTCTCTACTACTCAAAAGAATACCATTCTCTTTTAGCTTAATGCTGGTAATTCTATTCACTCTATTGCCTCCACAACTGGTGTCAGCACTACTACTATCTCCAAGCTTCATTAAAAAGAGTGTTCCTACTTGCAAAAGTTGACTGGTGGTCATTCAACCAAGCTTTCCTCAGTCAATATTTGTCATCCTATTTGTTTCATCTTCACTCAGCAGGCAGAAACTGCTATCCAAGTGCTCAAATCTTTTTCAGATATTGTCAATTAGCCCCCTAACCCAAGTACCACTTGCTGCTACCTGAAAAAGCTGGGATGAGGGTTGTAGTCAAGTCCAAACACTCTCTACTGTCTGCCAAATATTGCAAAGCGCACTTGGACTTTGCCTATACTCACAAAAATTGGATTTTGGAGGACTGGAAGTTGGTCATATGGTCTGATGAAACCAAAATTAATCACCTAGGGTCAGATGGTTGAAAATGGGCTTGGAAAAAGTCAGGAGAGAGACATAGTGACAGATTGGTGTAAGGAACTATCAAGTTTAATGGAAGTTCTGTGATGATATGGGGCTGTATGACCTGTGAAGAAGTTGGCTATGCTGCAAAGATTGATGGTGGAATGGGTGGAGATCTTTGCCTTCAAATTTTGAAGGATAAACTTCAGAATTTCCTGGAGTTTTATAATCTTAATGCTTCTGATGTCATCTTTCAGCAAGACAATGACCCTAAGCATACCTGCAAAAAGGTCAAGAAGTGACTAGATGGGCAGGAATTTAGGACTATGGTGTGGTCTGCACAATCTCCTGACCTTAACCCATTGGAATATCTCTGGGACCTTGTCAAAAGGAGACTTGCAGAGTATGAGCATTCCCCTAAGGAAATAGTAGCAATGGTTGGGAATAAAGATGCATGGGAGCAATTTCAAACTCAGATATAATATTTTTATGTATATTTCTATTTGTATAAGCAAATAACAGTAACCATCCTCTGATTTGACTGAGATCCCACCATCTATATTAACAGCTGCAAAACTGTTACAATGGTATCTCTGTCTTAAAATAGGCATATCTTCACATCCCCTTGGCCAAATCATGTGATCTAAGTGTCAGTCTGTAGCCAAGGGTCTGTAGTTCACACACCCCCACCAACACTAAGCATGATTCCCATGTGCATAGGCGCTATATTGTGTACACTGAAAAAGTACCAAACATTGTAATGGTTTTGCAAGTCACTGTATAACCTCCTGTAAATCTCTGTAGCACCTTAGTTCAAATATCATCTTAGTTCTGCTCATTCCTGTCCTCCAGACCTGAGTACCTCTACTCTCATCACCCTCTGAGACTTAGAATTGATTCCTATAGTCTATCTGTATCTGTCTCTGTCTATGACAGTCCACTACCATTAGTTTCTAGTCTGGACTCATCTAGGTTAGCCTTACGATACTTATCCTATATCTGGAAGTCATCTGGATCCACTATGCTACTCATCTGACCCTCCAGATATGTTAGTCTTGTCCTCCTGAAATAAGGGGCAATACTCAGGTAAGGGCACAGCACATGAGCTGAGGCTGAAGCCCTTAGAATCCATTTAGCCCTTGAGTACAACCTTAACACTATGAAGGACCATTGAGCAAGGATGTCCAGTCTAATGTGTCCCTCAAGCTTTTTGACAAATTTTTCCTAAACAACTTTGCAGACAAAGAACTGTATCATGCATTAGCAGTAGCTTTAGATAGCTAGCTATAGTAGAGATTAGTAGTAGGTCAATGTGATTGTCAATGCATCATGATCATTTCTTGCAGTGTGATTTAATCTCAAACATGATTAAGGTTATCTTGTGGGCTGCATCATGTCACTCCAAGATCACCCAAATCTCCACCAATCAGAGTACTATCTCTGGCCCAGAGTTGCAAAATGTTCCAAACAGTTTTTCATAACACAACAACTACACAACATTAAAACAAGAAAACAGTAGGAGTATATAGGATTTGATATGGACTTTAAGGCTATGTAAAAAAAATAAAGAAATTTGTCAAGGCTACATTGCCAGAGAGAAGCTAGTGCAAAACAGTGTTTGAGCACAGAGTTGCAAAATTTCTCACCTGCATAGAAGTCATCATGTCATACTATGTCATGCTGCAGTTTTAATTCTCCAATGAATGAAACCAGTGCATTTGACAAGGATTCCAAAGGCTTTTGTTCAGCATTGAAACTCATATTTCTAACATAAAAGTATGCTTATGTACTGTAAGGTATTAACTAGATAGGTGTAATATATCATGAGTGACATTTGAGAAAGCCTCTGACCCACTTCTCATGAGGCTTAGTTTTGCCATGACACAATACTATTATATAGCTGCCTTGCTTCAAATTGTGTGCTTGCTGAGTGGATGCTACATGAAGCTGAGTAATTTGATCCAGTCAACAAGCACATTTTCTGATTCTGGTAATTGGAGCTGTTGCTCAATATGAGCCTTGTGGTATGACTGACTCTTGCTAAGATACTGCCGCCAAAGGGTGTCATATGGGATTTTGTGCTCTGTTGCAACAGCACAAACATTAGGAGAAGGAAAAACATATAGAATAGTGCAGGCATGTTGAATCTTATCTTCAAGCTCTTGAGAAAACTTGGAGGGTTGGATTCTCTTTGGCATGTGACCAGCACTGCAAGACTGTTCACAGATATGGGTGAGTGCGCACACATGTGTTAGCTGAGTTGCTGAGCAATGCTTTGCAACTCTGAACACAAGCTCACCCCTCCTGTCACATTTTGCATCTCAATAGTACAACATTTATGGCTCTCAACATAACACAGTTTTCATGTCAGAAAAAATTAGAGTAGTGTAAGAAGGCAATGTAGAATCACTAGTAAAATTCCTGAATTTTTTGGTGCATGTAATGGCTCTCCTCTGACAGATTGGTGCAGAAAGTGCATGTTCCACACTGTATTTCACTGCCACAAGCACTTCCAGTTCGTTTTTCATAAAATATAAAATAAATACAGCAAGCTATATACTAATCATCCTCTAGAATCATTGTGCAAAGGAAATGAGTGGAAGATGAGTGTGCTATGTTGTGATTTGCAACTCTGGGCCAAAGATAGTAGTCCATCACACAGGTCGTAAGCATTCGTAAGTGTTCGTAACGCGCGTAAACTCAGCGTTCAATGTAGTAAGCCCGAAGACTACCGAGCACTTTCACGCGGAGTTTGAAATGGTAAGCGTCTGGTTTGCAATAGACGATCGCCGTACTGATCACGGTCCAAAACCCGTCCTCAAACACCGGTAATCCGATAAACGAGACATCCTCCAGACATCTCAAGTCGGGCCGAAACCGTTGTCAGGCCATGAGGATGGCCCGAGTTGGCCCAGCCCACAGCTTGAAGCCGGGCCATGCACATCACTAGCTCGGTGATGGCTGCAACATTAACTTGAAGCGAAGATGTTGAGCAGAGTCTGGGGTCTTTTCATTTTAAATGACGTGAGGGCGTCCGGCCTTTTTTCGCTCAGGGTTCAAAGTCGTTCCAAGGAATCGAGAAAGGTCCGAATGACAACAGGTCACCAGATACGCTAGTACCACTATAGCAAGCTCCGCTCCCTTTGACAGCGTTCTTCGAAATGGAAACGAATATCAGCATCCGGTATCAGCATCACAGGACTGGTGAGCCGCAGATATATATACTTCAAGTTGACCTAGACTTTAATGCATCCTCCTCCTTCCAATATCTGGCATTGGGCAGCAAGTATTATCTAACGATGCTCGATGATGGACTTGGACTTTACTTGGCAATATCAGCCTTGGTAGTAGCTGTGTTAAGCTACTGTCGAAAATATAGACTCAATCTTTCGCGTTCCCCGCTACCGCCTGGTCCTATCCCCCTTCCAGTACTGGGAAATGTTCTCAGTCTTGATTCCGCTCGACCCTGGCTGACCTTCAATGCCTGGAGATCCACATATGGTCGGCACGTTGTGACAGGGATCTGTCCATGACAACTCACTTTGTTCCTTAGGTGACATTATTTATGCTCGTCTCCTTGGCAAGCCCATCATCGTCGTTAATTCTGAGGAGGTCGCGAAAGACCTTTTTGAACGGCGTTCCAGCATATATTCAGATAGACCCCAGTCAATCGTTTACGAAGCGTGAGTTACATCTTGGAGTGTTGGTCCGCATCAATCACCAAAACTTTGTCAGCTTCGCTTCAGATTTTAACACGGGGTTCATGCCATATGGAAACAGGTACATAATGGGTTATTCTATGTTATGTTGATGAGTGTCTGATAAAAGGCAGGTGGCGCCTTCACCGACGAATCTTTCATCAGGCATTTCATCAAACTGCTGTACCCGCTTATCACGCTACGGTACTCCGCTCTGCCCACAAAATGATGTTCAGTCTTCTACGGGACCCTGAAAATTATCCAAACCATCTTCAGATGTCGGTTATGAGAATTTATTTGGTCTCGCGCAGGAGCTGATTTACACCAGGTTTATTGTGACATTCATGCTGTCTATAATATATGACTGTGAAGCGAAAGCTAAGGACGATCGTGTTGCTAACGCCATTACAAGGTATGGGAAACTCATAGTCGAAGGTTTCGCACCAGCTGCTATGACTCTAATGGAAACATTCCCTTTCCGTATGTTTGCACATGCAGTGATTGCATGTAAGTAACTCAATAATCCTTCTAGTTTTGCAGCTACCTAGCTGGTTTCCCGGTGCCACATTCAAGCGAGCATCACTCAAGTGTATCCAGGCGGGCCATGATGTGAAGGAGATACCCTTTCAATATGTCAAAGAGAGGATGGTGAAGCACCCCACTAGTGGAGGTGCATCCAACTAACGAAATACTGACAGTCTGCCAATGACATGGGGCCGTGCTTGGTGGCTGATGCTTTGAATAGGACCAGTGAAGAGGACGACGTCACTATAACTGCAATTAAGGAGGCTGCTTCCGTTGCATTCGTAGGTATGCAAGTTGATATTTTTTTTCCTCTCAGTACCCATTTTTGTCTTCAGCGGCGACCGATACGGCGAGTTTCTCCTGGTCTTCGTTTGCCAATCATAATCAGTTTGCCCTTGACTCAGACCACTAACACATTACTTGTGTTTCTTCTTGCTATGGTGCTCAACCCAGAGGTGCAAGCAAAAGCGCAGGCGGAGATCGATCGAGTCGTTGGCAAGGATAGACTCCCCAATCTCGACGATGGACCAGCGTTGCCTTACCTAGAAGCTATTTTACGTGAAACACTCAGGTGGTACCCAGTGGTTCCATTCGGTTTGTCCATAACACAAAACCACTTCTAAATATCCTCTGACAATGTTTGCAGGCATCCCACACGCAACAACAACCAGTGACATCTACAATGGCCATTTCATTCCTAAAGGTTTACATCACGTTAATCTAACGACGGTCGCTGACGATCTTTGCTAGGCGTTGTTGTATTTCCAAACGCATGGAAAGCCCACACTATCCTCATCCTTAATGTATCCAAATAACGAACCTTCCAGGGCAATGACGCACGATGCAACGAAATACCCCAGTCCTGACGAATTTAAACCGGAAAGATTTTTCCAAGACGACGGAACTCTTAACAGCGATACTATGCGTTTAGGCTTCGGCTGGGGTCGCCGAATTTGGTGAGCATCTATTCGCACTTCTTCGCCTGCCGTTGAAAGTGACTTGTCAGTGTGGGACGGCATCTCGTGGACGCGTCACTCTGGATCGCTATGGCGAATTTCCTGGCATTTTTCTCGGCCCACAAAGCTCTTGATGAACACGGCATGGAGATTCCGGTCGCTCCGAAGTTCACCACCGGTTTCACAGTGTTTGAAATTTTTCATTTCTCCCAGAGAGTAGTCTGCTGACTTCTTGTTATTTAGTCGTCCGGAGACATTTCCCTGTCGAATTCTCCCACGATTCCCCGACGTGTCTTTGAAGACACTGACGCGTTCGACTAACTTAGGAGGTCCGTTCTATCGACAACACCTGGTACTCTGAAATACTAACATACAGTGGCAGAGAAATTGTGATTGTGGCATGGTAGCGCAATAGCTTTCTGGTTTGCCTTCTTTGTCTTTGTAACATGAGATTGCGGCCACGTTATTTTGACCAAGTCTTATAATACCACGATGTCTGTTAAATTTGTTGAGTATAACTATAGCCCGTATGCACTCTGAACATGAACGACTGTCTTCCTCGTCTACATGTTGTAAGGATGGAGCGTTTGATCCTGCGGATCCAATTCGCGTTGCACCACAAAGCATTATGTAAGTTCACAGTAAGATTAATCGTTGTGTTGCTTCTAGATCAAAGTATTTGAGCACATTAGCGCATTACACCTTGCCTGTGATAGCCTTAATCTCCGTTTTCTGAGGAGAAACTCTGATCTCAGAACTGGCCTTCACGCACGTTGCATCTGCCCGATTCAGCTCCGCTAAATCTATGTTGCTTTAACTAGTTGCAGCAAGACTGGATGCTCCGGCAGTATTTGTACCTCTCTCGAACTGGAATCCTTCCAGGCTATGCACGAAATGGGCCTCAGTGAACAACAAGGCATTATATCAACATCCCGATTGACACTGAGCTTGCAACTCTATTTTACAAAAATCCTACAGTACTTATTAGTACTTCAGCAGCTTCAGCCAACCTCCTTGTTCCACTATGAATAGACTGACATCTGATCCGAAATTAGAACTCTGCCTGGACTTTACCTCCAACATTTATCAGGTTATCTGTGCTCGACTTCTTAATCAGAACAACAACAATGCTCAAGTTGTCGAAAATTTGCAGGCTGCGTGGCTAATCACCAACAACACCCATGAAGTCCAGTGGCAGCAGCAACTTCAGGAAGACCAAGCTGCCATCACAAAACAGCAGAGCCTCATCCACAAAGAGACTAAGTGTCAACTCCAAGCCTCGCTTCTCAAGGAGGATTGGAAGCAAAATCCTCTCAAATACATTCCCATTCCTGACCATCCAGTCCCATACAATATACATGACATCCTCATTTCTGATTTTGCCTTCAAAAGGGTCATTGAAGGCCAGTATGTGGAACTTTACTACTGGACTAATGAGCATCTCCAAGCAGATGAATGATTAAATTATTGCACTGCTGCCAATGAAGGGATGGGGCATCCTGCAAGCCCTGGGAGCTTTACTACAGTGGATGCCACTCATCACACTGGCATCATTCCTGACCATAGCCTCAATGTCACCCAATTCACTCAGGCTGTGCCTCACACACTAGCATTGTTCCAACAATGTGGTTGGGCAGCCCAGCATATCCAGATGCTTACAGCCTTCTGGCAAGTGTTAATGTGTCATGGTTACTGGAATTCCAATAACCCTCTTGAGGAGCATGCATTGTTCGCCTACCAAGATAAGCAACGGCAGGTGTGGCACAGAGCCATTCCCCTCACAGATGGGGCATGGGACATTTCCATTATAGATCACCAAGAGATTAGGATGACTCTTCATGAAATCTACCAGGAAGACTGCTGCCATTGTGATGATGAATGTGATGCTCAAGTTCACTTTAATCCTTGCTTCAATCATTTATCTGCTGACACATTTTTCTTGACTTTGTGACTGCCTTGCACACTCTGCATTTGCGTGGTGTGCTACTCCCCTTCTTCAATGTGTGGACCATGTCTGCAGCACCTTCAATCTTTGTACTCCAGAGATGAGTCAGATGATCATTCATCTACCCATCATATCCAGCACCCAGGGTATTCATTCAGGCATCATCACCAAAGGCACAGAGGTTGTCGATGCTTGGCCTCTCCTCCTACACATAGCAACTCAGCTTCCTGCCAGAACTAGTTGCGTCATTTCACTTTTAATCTTTTGGAGATCACAGCTTACAGTGACCCATTCTTTCTAAGGCACAAAGTTGTGTTTTAGTCTAAACCTCAGCCAGTTTTGCTTGGTCTCCCCTAGACAGGCCATAGATGAATGAAGATAGCTGCTCTTTCTATACTGTGGCCTCCAGCTCAAACTTGCATCGCTCTCGGTGTCAATTAGTCTGGATGTTGCGATAAAAGGTTCAGCATGTTTTCCATTACATGTTATCCGTAGGACATTCGTTAATGTGGATGTGTACGAGATGTGAAAATAAGAGTGATTGGATTAAGAAAGAAAGACGGGCGACAATCCCGACGATCCACCTCGATAGGGAAGTGTAAGAAGAAATTACAAAAACTCTCTGGCGGGGAGTCGAACCCCGCTCTCCCGCGGTCGTGTTTCCTACATGACAGGCGGGTGTACTATCCGATATACTACCAGAGACATGATGTGCGTCCCTCCCTTTACTATATGGTCAGGAATTGTCGTAAACCAGAATACCTTCAGACATGTACCCGACAAAGTGTCCACGGCGTGCTATGGCAGACTACTACCCCGGCTAGTATCAACCAGTTCAATAAGGAAATAATTTCCCGGCTGCGGAGGCTACTTAATTATTAATAATTGACCGCAGCGCAGGTACGCGTGCTGATTCCAGTTTTGCAAGTCATATGCAGATCACCAACCACAATCGCACATAAGAGCCAAATCGACGCATACCAACACTCAGTACTCAGTACTCAGTGCTCAGCTTTTACTAACTTCTTCACTGTGCAACCTCGCAGGCCATGACATTCTATCACCCGACTGCTCATTTCAGTATAAAGGGCAAAGTTCTCGTCGTTGTGCGTATACCGATATCCGATTCAAGATAGCTCGCTGAAGACAAACTCTCCAAGGCAGCCAGTTGTTTCTGTCGCGAACATTGCACAGCTCGTGGCTGATCTCCTGATCGCTTCACTTTCCTTGCATCGCGTAGGCATATTTGACCCTAGGAGCTTAGTTCCTGTCGTCGGAGCACGCGAAGACGATCTTCCTGGCGTCACAACACCACTCGAGCGTATGTCCTAGTGCATGTATTGCCAGAGTCTGGGCTAACAAATAGGCTAGTTTTTGGCCGTGATGATGTTAATGTCGCAGTCATACAGCAACGTTCTCCCGCATTAAAGGTAGTAAAGCCGTCACTCAGACGTGATTTTCGCTGTGCTTATCCTGCATCCCACCAGTCCTCTAAGCAAGATTTCATTGACTCGTTGTTGGAGTTCATCCGTACCTCAGGAGCTTCAGGTGTCCTGTTCATTGGCGGAGTAGATATGTCCAACAGGACTGATCTTCAGATGCTGTTGAGTTGCAATGATTCGATGTCTCAACTGTGAATTAATATTCTTCCAATGCTTCTAGGACGCCTACTTGTCATATCGTCCCACCTGGAATACCTGATCTGACTTCTGGTCCATTGGCCGCCCTCACAACCCTGCCAATACCCGTCTACACTTCACCTGTCTCCCAGTTCCTATATACCGATGCAGAAAGGACAGCCATACCTTTCATACCAGGCGGAGGATTATCTCGCCGAATGCTCTCCTCACTTTCTGACACATGGCAAATTCCGACTGTATGTCTGTTGCAATATGTCATGGAGGGGGACAACAGAGCGGACGCCCAGCTCATGGCAACTGTGGTATCCAAGGTGTTGCAAGTAGAGGTTTCTAACTGGAAGCAGCCCAGCAGTTGGGGTCATGGTCTTTTCGGTACTCCTCATGATCAAACATTGTACGGTTGACAAGTGTATTCTACAGTCTGGTGCAGATGTTGATAAAAACAATCAAGCAATGATCCAAAAACAAATCTACACGCGCTTTTTGGTTGTCTGCGCTGAACTTCATCAACGTTTTCCAGAAATGCCAGTACGGTTTCGGCCTTTTTTCTTCGCGGCTTGAGATAACGACATGTAAGCATACGGATCCACGCCGCCTTTCTTGACGTCACCACCAGCTTTCTGCAATAAAGCATCAGATCATGTGAACACAAACACAGCAGACTACCAACCTTTGCCTTGAACTCGTGACCCAGTTTTGGCTCCATGGGTCGTTTATTTTTCTTCGTAGCAGTGGCAGCACCATCAGCCATCTCAACATCTCCGTCTTCGTCCTCATTCTCGCGGCGTCTCTTCTTAGTATCTTTATTGAACTTGATGCGCCCGTTGGGACCGCGGGTAAAGCCATCCACTGAGGTCATACTCTCCCGATATGCACTGCCAGCAACATCTTTGGCAGCCTTCCGAGAGCTGACTTCGATGTCAGACTCCTCGTCCTCGTTGATAACAATCTTTCCAGTGTCAGTGTCAGTTTTGAAGTGACCTGCATCTTGACCCGGCTTGCGGCGTCGGTTGGTTTGGGCGTCTGTAAAGAGGTAAACGATATAGCTGCAAGCACATGATGAACACCTACTGGTCAATCGTGATGCAACCCCCTGCAAGAGATCCATCGGTTCGTCATCATCCACCCGCAGACGCACACCCTGTTCAACTCCCTTCCGTTTCAGTCCCGCCGCGGGTCGAGATACCTGCTCGTCTTCGTCGCTGTCGTCCAACTCGCTTTCACTGCCATACAAAACGTCCTCAAAGGCATCGCCTGTGGGAACATTTCCTTTAGTTGCCTGGATAAGACCATCAGAAATAGTAAATGATAGACGCTCAGGAAAACCAACCTCCTCTTGATCATCGTCCTCTCGAGCTCTCTTCCTTTTGGCTCTTTCCTTCCTTTTCTTGATGTTCACCAACACCTTCGCGGCCTGATCCTCACCTGCCGCTTGATACACGTCATTCCACCCAAACCTCCTGATCATCCGCTCGAAGATATGGCGGACCTTTGCCTTGAAGTGGTTCTTGTGATCGTGAGACCAGGCGAGGAGTGCAGGGACAAGTTCTTTTAGGTGTGGTCGTAGCAATTCAATAGGCAAAGTATGAATCGCAAGCTTGATGTACCCGAGCGTAGATTTGATGATCTCACGGTTGGCAGAGGAAAGGAAAACGAGAAGAGTCGTAAAGATCTCTGTCTGCATCTGGGCATCGATGGATTCTATCCAAATCGTTGGATAGGTTGCGGCCACAACATCAACTTACATACCTCTGAACTCAAATACGAGACGGGAGACAGCGGTTACAGTGGCACTGATCATGTGTGGTGAAGCTCCTGCTAAGCCTCCTGCAACCATGGTCATGTACTCGTTAATGCTCGCTTGTGCTGCAAAAATTATGTCAATAGCTGAGATTTGCAGTGCAACCACGGTTCACCTTCGGCGTCATCCTCATCCATTCCATCCACCATGCTCCTCTTCACTACACCACCCTGGCTCATCTTTTGACCCATAGCAACGATAAGTTCGAAAGCCGCCAATCGGGCTTTCTCTGATGGCTCCTTCGTACCCAAGACAGCTTCTGGGATGAGCGAAGGAATGATGTGCAAAGACTCGCTAGGTACCCGAAGTATCAGCAGAGAGAGCAAGATGAACCGATCTTTCTTTGCAGCAGGTGCAAGCCCAACAGAAAGCTCGTCCAGACGTTGGAAAGTCTGGAGTGCATCCTCTTCTACTTTGCCCTTCTCCAGAAGCTTCGCCAGAATCTTGTAACCACGCTTTTGTACGCCGTTGTCCTTGTGGCACAGCACCTCCTGTGCGAGGCACGTTGAGAACAAAGCGGCGATGTCTTGCTCGTCAAGGAAGGAAAGGAGAAGGATTAGAAGGTCTTGCGTCATTGCAGTGGTGTTCCCGTTGTCTGATTGTTGGAGGCTTTGACGGAAAAGGTCAACGACCTTGCGGTAGGCTTTTGCAATGTCTTGCTTCTCTGCGAGTTCAGCCCAAACACTGATGACGTCGCCCACCATGCCACGATTGTCCCTATCCACGCTACCGAAGACGTTGAAGAAGACAGCAAACCAGCTCTCTACTTGTGTCTTGAGGAAAGTAAGGTTCTTGGAAGCTTGTTCGGGAGTGATTGCATTATCGGATCTCGAGGACTCTCCCATGTCTATGTCCACCTGGGATGCGATAATCTTGTTGGACTCTATCAGAGCCTTCAGGCCCCTTAGTACAGGTGGCCGAAGATCAGGCTGGCCGTAAAGTAACTGAGAAAGGAGTTGCGAGAATGCCGGTGTGAGGGCCTAAAATGATACCCGTCAATATAAAAGTTGTCATACGAGCGCCGCACGTACTGTCTTGATGTCAGAAGGTGCATGGCAATAGCCCGCAAATCCAGTCCATATCTGAGCGACAAGCACATTCCACACTTTTGCTTCTGATTGCCTTCCTTCACTATCGGCCTTTTGCTGCAAATTGAACATCCGCTCGCTCATGGGCACGAAGTATGAGACAAAATGGCCAAGGAGCGACGGGTGAGGTTGGTTGAGCATAGGCAAAAGGAACGCGCGTGGTTCTTTGCCTGCTTGGCTAAAAATGAATATTCAGCTCCAGTCCTTTTCCCCGTTCCAAAATGACTCACCGATCCGAGGGCTCTAGATTCAGAGGAATAGCTGCAAGAAGCACAGCGGGACCCACCACTCGCATGGCCGTCGAGAGCACAGCATCAGCGGCTTCCTTGTGCTCAAAACCTTTTTGGACCCGCAGATCGGCGATTTTCGACACTAGAGGCATGAGTAAAGCCTCTGTAGCAGTAGTAGACTTCGTGGGGTCCATACGAAAGCCCAAATTTGAGACCAGAGCTGAAATAACCGAGAGCAGCTCCGGCATGGCAGATGCAAAGGCCAGGGAGTCGAGAGCTTTCGTCATCTGCGAGATTATACTCCGCAGGGGCGATTTGCCAGCTTCGCCGTCCGAAATGGAGTCTTTCACGATAGACGACGTGATACACCGCGTCAGTAAAGCCAGAGATTCCGCAACAGCTTTACGGGTTTGTGGGTGCTTCGTCTCGAAGTACGACCACACCGTTTTCCACACTTTATTGAGCTCAGCGACACAGGCCGATGCGTCCGCGACGTGATATGCAAACATTGCATCTCCTAGAACACGAATCCAAGATGGAGAGGTGGAATTATCGGCTTTTGCTGGCGGTGATTCCAGGACGGCATTTAGTACGGCCGGAATTTGTTCTATTGCACTGGCAGTGTCGGTCGTAGTAGATGCAGTAAAAAGATTGGAAAGAATCGAGTATGCAGCCTGCGAGAGGTATGGATTTCCTAATCGTGGAAGGGTCAAGAGCGTAGTGGTGATGGGTGGAATGGCCTTGCGAATATTTGTGTTAGCAGACGGTGATTCAGATATTATTTAACATACATCAAGGGGAAGATTTGGAAGTACTGGGCGCAAGAATGCAAGGAGATGGATAGCTGTTTCTGCAGCTGAGGTATCGGACCCTTTTCCAGATGATTTTGATTTCGGTAGGGCGCCAGAGCTTGCTTGCTGAAGCGCAATATGAGCCCACTCAGCCACCCGCTGAGCATAAGGATGCCGAATTAAAGGACTCGGTGGGAAGGAAAGGACGTCTTTTACAATGTCAGCTGCTTTCTTGCGCACTTTTGGTCGCGGATCCAAACATAATTGCAGTATAGACGCAAATGATTGGCGGACTGCAGAAACGTCCAGTTGCGATTTGTCAAGGGCTCTGAACACAGCATTATACAGAGTCAACTGCGACCTCAGTGGAGGGGCATGTGCCATCAAGGCAGGAAAAAGTGGTGCGGTCAGAGAGAGAAGTGTATTGAGATTGGTCTGGATAACTGGCGGGGGGACGAAGGGAGCCACTAGAGCAAGAAGATACAGTTCTGCAGGTAGTACGTCTCCATCTCCGAGTGAAGTCTCCTTCTTTTGAATGCTTCCATCGAGAGTTGTGATCAATGCAGCAAAATAAGCCGTAGGTGTTCTGTCCGTACGCTTTTCCTGAAACGTAGATTCTAAAGCCTGGAGCAGGTTTGCTGGTGCTTTCTGGTGGGCAAGATTTGAGGTAGTGTGAGGCCGTATTTTAGCCAATGCCTCCTCCATGACGATCACAGCCGTAGAATCAGATCACTGTAAATGACCGTCTTACTGACATGCGGCATTGATAAATTTTGATTATGTAATACTCAAGACTACTTTGGCTCGAAGTGTAATAGACCGTTTTCCGAGTCTTTCCTCCCATAACGCACGACAGTTCATGTACACGACCTTCACGACGAGACTCGTATAAATATGTCCAAGGGATCTATTACTCCCTGGTCCTATATCTTAGTTCGGTGAGGTCAGCGACGTGCCAAGGTCGACACAATTTGACTCGGAACGGCTGTGTTAGGTTGCTCTTTAAGTTTGTGCTGAAGATATTCTACGGGACCATTGTTGTTGAGAATGCTGATCTTATACCGAAGACCGGGCAACCATGGTCCGTCCCCAGTCAGGTTATCCTCCATCAGCTAAATGGTTTCGCGACTCAGCATTGTCTGCGCCAACCATCCCAACTCCCTGACGGATGCACTGTGAGAACATATTCATATCTGTCCCGGCCAGACGCCTTAACTCATAATCTGTATGCGTCAGTCTTTTGGTAACCTCTATGCCGCCCAGAGTAAGTAACGGCCTTGAGCCTGGCATCACCATTTGACTCATTACCGTGTAGACGCGTAATATGCTGCGGCTCACGGCAAAATCCACCCAATTCGGCCATCGGACATTTACCAGTTGGCTGATTGAATCCGCAGGCACCGTGCCCATTAAGCGGCGCAAAGATCATAATAACAACGAGGTGGATAACAGTCAAGCTATGAATAAGCTAATGGACGTAAGATGCGCCCATAGTATGTATAGGGTATCTAGAAGCTCAATTAAATTTAACAGGCACTCGAACTTGGAGATGCAGTTTGTTTATTTCCGGAGGGAGCAAGTCGCTATCATCCCACTATTGCCCCCCTTAAGACAGGAGGTTTGTCGACTGATTTGTACCTGCTAATGTCTTCTTCACCTATCTTTTAGTGGCTCGTCTTGTTTCGGATGTCCTGAGCCGTAATCGTGATGATCCAAACTTTTCCATATCCATTCTGACGTGCTCAATCACTTACATGTAACGAACTCTCTCATATTTCTACCTAGTCGCTGACTTCGTGAAATTTCAGGCATCGACAACATTTCAGATCAGATGTTCTGGTGACATTCAATCCCCCGATGACATTCACTCCCAAGGTGCGTGCATATATATATCTGTGTAAAGCACTTCCTTTAGTTTCCTGTGGTTCAGGGCAATGCAGAGCTCCTCGCTCCCGTACAGCAAGATGAAATTCGGGCTTTGACTGCACGAATGCAACAACAAATTAGTTCCCGGACGATTGACTCGCCATCTTGGGAATTCGTGAGATCCGCAAAAATGGCGACACGCATATATGCACCTCTTGGGACTCGTATGAGCCTAGGAGATTATGTGCGAATCACCAGAACATTTGTCGAGGCGTTCAAAGCTTCCGATGACACTCAAAAGAGCAAACGCACTTCTGAAGATCAGTCTATCGAATTCACCAGGGAGGACATTGAGATCAACCAACTGCGTCGTGACCTCAAGGTAACACATCTTTAACGGATGTACCAGTTTCTAAATCACTGTCTAAAGATTTATCAAGACCGGCTTGTTCACTGGGGTATCAAAGATGATCGCATTGCGCGTCCCCTCCCGTTGCGAACGATCACCATGCGGATGATTATTCGACTGACGTGGTTCATATGTCTCTTTACCATCTCTCTCCCGGGCCTGGTGCTTTGGACCCCCGTATTCATTACCACATTCATTGCCGTCCGGAATTTCAAGAGAACTGGGCCAATCTGGGACACCTTTGATGAAATTGCGCAATATAAGCTTGTGTATGGGCTTTTTTCAGGTCTATCCGTCTGGGCTGCTTGTATTATATTCACGCTTCCTTCCGCCGCAATCACAACATTTCTCGTCCCTGCTATGATGTGGATGACACTGAGGTGGACGGAAGATGCGGTTTCTGCCTTCCGTGCCTTTATGGCACTGGCGAGGCTGCTATGTGTGGGGAAGGAGACGCTGAACGAGATACGAATGACAAGGCGAGATCTGTATTCGCGATTGATGAACCTTGCTGTGGGGACTTTGGGATTACCGGATGATCCCGAGAAGTTTTTCGTCGAACGTGGGGGTAAGGAGAAGGGTCGCGTAAGAAGCACCTGGGACAGTGGAGCGAAGTACTTCTCTGTCAGAAGGAGGCGGAAGAGGGACTGGAATGAGACGTTGAGGCTATATGATCAGGTGGATTATCCCGAGGAGGACTGAAGAGGGGCTATACATATGAAATGGTATATCTGCACAACTGATGTTAGCTTGCATACATACTGCTCAGACACCTTTAATTTATGAATAAGTGGGAAGGCGACTTGAATTAACATATTTACAAAATCCGTGTATGCGGTAAGTGCAAAGGTATCCAAAATATGGTACAAGTAAAACTGAAAGCGAGCCTGTGCTTGTAGAGGAAGAAGGGAACTATGCATTTGTACCATAACCTTGAACAGACGAGTATGATCTCTGACGATAACCCTGAATGGGTGTGTATGATCTATTGCCAGCAGCCCACTTATGGCCGCGGTCCGCAGCCACACCGGTTACGATGACGCCAGCCCCAACGACAAAACCTGAAACCCAAGAAACAGCGTTTAAGACGTAGCCAACACCTTTGAAGAACATATTAGAGCCAACAAGATGAGAAGACACCACAAAACTGACCAGGCTTAGCATGCTCAAAGGCCGGAAAACGGTCCTTGCGATACAGCTCAGTGACGAGGATAAACGTCACGAGTTGGAACACAGCTGCGGAATGTGATGAAGCCTCGTGATGTCATGTACTTCATGAAGACTAACCGTGCAATATGACTAGCCCCGCTACAGCTCTCCAAACCCTTCTCCTCCTAGAGTGCGTGCTCACGCCAATGAGTAAAGCGGCCAGACCCATTGCTGCAAAACCAATGCCAAGCTCGGTGAAATATTGAGCGGAGGTCCACAGAGCACAGAACAGGCTGTTTTCGTCGTCACATTTGTCTTGTACGCGGAGCGGGAACTGGCGGCATTCGTAGTCGGTGTATTCTAGACGACCGTCTTTGTTGGGGCCAGGAAAGGTAATGGTTGCACGTTCGCATCGTTCCATTAACCCATAGCGAACGGTGACTTGAGCGTTTGGGATTTCATATTTAGCAATGAGCCTTCAAAGATAATATGTCAGGCGGGCATTTGGTGGTTAAAACGTTCTCTAGGCGAACCAGTCCGGGAGACGTGCAGATAAAATGTTCTGGAAACCCCTGGATGAGTGTTGTTCATGAAATGGGACTTGAACCACCTACGATGACAAGAATGATGAGGACAGCGGCAAAGGTCGCTGCATATGACGTTTTCCTCATTGTAGCAGAGGTTTTGAAGGAGATTGCGAGTGAGTGAAGAAATATTCCTGATGCGCTCCACAGGGTGGTTATGTCTTGTTATGCCTTTTATTGTTAATATTATGTAACGACCATTTCCGGAGTATGGAGCGATGCGATATCTTCAACCATTCGCGCAAATATCTCAAGGGTGGGCCTGAAGCTCCGACAAGAGAGACAGCCACGGAAGGAAGCGCGCACGTTATATCTTCGTTTCCTATGCAGCATCATGATGTTGTAGTAGCGAGCCAAGATACGGGGACATGTATTCATAGAATTGATTGGTGACGTCGATGGTCGTCTATCATAGTGTCCTCATGCTTCTTCAAGTTCGCACATTAACGCTACAACATGTTCCACCCTGACCACACCCTTGAGGTTTCGCTACATCAATCTTTGCTCGACGTATCGCGCTTGAATGCGGACTATCAACGGCCTGAGTCGCAGGGGCCCGAGCGCCCTGAGCGAGGCACGCGTTACTGACGATTAGTGTTATAGGCAAAAGTCTGCCATTCCGCCAACTGGTTGGGCAGAACCACCGGTAGATGCGGCAGAATGTCAAATGGGGATCAGGGTCAAGGAACTTCTAATAACCTTCCAAGCTCTTAAGCACCTTATACGGCCACACATAACCTTTCTCAATGCATTCGTAGATAGCAATTTGCTATTACGCCATATCTGCCGCCGGACCGCCTTAGATACAGAATATCAACGATGATCACGTAGATCCTGAAGTTGTATTACTCCATGAAATCGACGCGGCATTTGCGCTACCGGAGCAAGAAAAAAAACCCGTGGAAGACGTGTCAGTTGATGAATTTGAAGTTTTGGAAGGTGAAGATAGTGGATCAAGACTTTAGCAAGTCATCTGTCGATGGCGAGATCATGATAGTATCGATCACACCTCGCATGATGATGGATAGTGGGATATGGACGCCCTGGTGCTGGTGGTGATACTTACCCTAAATTATCATACATATAGTCTGTAACACCTTGCCAACTTGAGGTGGCAGAATCGCTACTGGTGCCGGTTATCCCGGCACAATTGCCCCCAAATAATTATTCTGTGTACGACTCTCTTTGGATTTCCTGCTTTAGTAGGTTCCGGACGGAGCTTCACAGTGAATACGTACCCCAGAGACCCCCGCTTGTCTTGTTGCTCCCGTCTTCTTGATACATCGATGGTGACAACTGGTTAACGTCCTTGTCGATTAGTGGTTAAATCATCGCATTGTGGCCACTCCAATCTGCGAAGCCGGAAGTTCGAATCCTCCCTGGGACAGATGTTGTTTTTGTTCTGCGTGCATTATGTACACCTCAGCTTCCCTGCGCTTAGAAAATACTGATATGAACAAGATATGAATAATTTCTCACCCCACACCATATGTGCCTGCAGATGTGCTATCGATGTTATCATAACATCGATGGCAGCTGGTTATCATCATAGTTGACGTGTGAGGCCGTTGCCATGATGCACTCAATGTCATCAGTGGTGCTGCGGAGTGTTGGATCTATCCTTGTTCGGCCCGGGTGATGAGGTGGTTAAAACGTTGATGTCGCGAGTCGAAAGCTTAACCCTTGCCTCAAGTAGCACTGGTTCCAACGAATCACGCACTAGATATTACTCGTTGTCTTAGGCTCATTGGCCGCTCACCTGAGAACGCTTGAATTCGTACACATTATCCACCGACACAGAAACCACATCAACACCGACTATCTAAGCGCATCGCGCACAATCAATTCGAGGGGGGCCTAATAGGAATGAACCTCCAGTATGACACCTCGCCTGCGCCATCCTGCGTGAGTTGGACCTAATTAAAAGGCAAAATAAGATATTATTCAACAGCCCGAAATGAAGTGTCGTACCTCTGCTCCATCATCACCATTAGGCAAGTACATCAACAAGCCCGAAGCAGTGTCCTGGATGCTGGGGGGAAGAGCCAGTTTACTTCCTAAAGATGCGTGATATATGCCATACTCACATCCACCTGCCAATATCGCGGTACGATACACCCCACCCATAGGGTATTGTAAACCACTTTCTCAGACTTTCGCAAAGTTAGTATTCAACTTCAAAACAAGGGGGAAGTGAAGACATCAGCACCGACGTATCTGGAGCCGGACTGGATAGTTATCTTGCTGTAGTCGCTTACGCTGGTGGCTTTGATTTCCTACTGCAAAGACCATGAGAATTGAACGGTATATCTGTTCAAGAACTTACCTCGATGCGTGGCTCAGCCGAATCTTCGTGACGACCGGCGACGATGATATCATGAAAACGAAGCCCTATCTTTTGCTTGGGATAGGCGACATTCTGGACGCGGTATGCTCCATCCCATGGAACTACAAAACTCATGATAGTGATTTGAAGTGAAAGGCTTTCGAGAACGATGAGGATGCACTCTGTGATGATAATCTAAGACCTTTTATACTGCACTTTTCCCGGGTTCTGGTGGACGTGCAGGCGAGTTAGCTGCCATCCATTCCTGAAGGGGTATCAGATGACCTGATAGCTTGTATGGAACAGTGCATACTTGCGAAAGTCAAGCGAATAGTACCCCAAGGATGAAGTGCTTCCGTTACACTTGCTTCTGGATGTGTAAGAACTTTTTGAAATTACCCTGGAATTACTTGAAAGCCCCAACTTCCAGTCAGTTGAGCCGACAGCTTGCATGGAACATTGGATAGTTGCGTAAATCACGCGAATAGCACGGTCCCGGAGCACCTGATTATCCGTCAATATCATCAGTGCTCGCTATTGAGAGCAACGAAAGGTGAGCGTGAAACTGTCCATTGGCAGCACGACCCACTGGATTCATTCGTCGTGAGGAACTTCATATCATGGTAACCGAAACCTGCCGATCAGCGGTTTCAGGAAACTACGAGTTTCGTGGGCCTGATTGTATCACCTGTCAACCAAATCGGAGGTAAGTGAACAATTGAATCAGTACAATGAATGTTGCTTTTCGGATATCCAATGGCTGCAAAGGTGCAACTTGAAATTATGACTACCAATATTTGACAGGAACATGTATGGAGAAGTAGGCACTATGTACGAGGTGGAACTGCAAGGTACAAGAAGAAGAAAAACCAGGATGCAGTGGAAATCACTGAAGAAATAATACAAAGGCGCCAGGTAGTGGGCAGAGGCAACAAAGATTGACGGGAAGAGACAATGAGTGCAAAGGGGATCTGACGCTGGATCTTGACGCGGACGTGCCGCTGGGTCGTGATGCGCTGTTCCGAAAACATCAAGTGGTGGCGACGGGATAGCTAGACTGCAGGTTGAAGGAGCGGATGCAGAATTGGTGTCAAAGGTCATATATCATAGGTAGGATGCAGAGAGATGGTGGTGTTCATGGGCACTAGGATTGGGAAAAAAGGCAGAGGTGTGTGCAAAGAGCTCGATGAGTAGGACAACGAAGACGTGACAATGAACCTTAGTAGGTTCGTACCTTTCTCAGATACAGTTTTCGGGGTCCAACCTTTACAGTCGTGGCTAATAATAGGGGAGGTGGTTCGCTGCACCTTTGCAGCCATTGGAAATCTGATTCGAGAAACAATGTTTGTTATATTGATTCAACTGTTACTTATCTCATTCGGTTGACAGGTGGTATGATCAGGTCCACGAGGCCCGTAGTAAGCAGCCGTAAGTCAGGTTTCTTCAATCTGTTCCCAGCTTCGTAAATCTGCTAACTGGCAGGGTTTGGCTACTATGATACTCAGTGCATACAAAGTTTCTTACGACGAATGAATCCAGCGGGTCGTGCTGCCAATGGACAGTTTTGCGCTCACCCGTCTTTGCTCTCATAGCGAGCATGAATGATGTTAGGGGTTTGAAGGCCGGTGCTATTCGCGCGATTTACGCAACGATCCAATGTTCCATGCAAGCTGTCGGCTCAACTGACTGGAAGTTGGAACTTTCAAGTAATTCCAGGGTAATTTCAAAAAGTTCTTACACATCCAGAAGCAAGTGTAATGGAAGCACATCATCCTGGGGTGCTATTTGCTTGACTTTCGCAAGTATGCACTGTTCCATGCAAGCTATCAGATCACCTGATACCCCTTCAGGAATGGATGGCAGCCAACTCGCCTGCACGTCGACCAGAACTCGGGCGAAGTTCCACGCATCGAGATAAGTTCTTGAACAGATATCTCGTTGCACTACCGTTCAGTTCTCATGGTGTTTGCAGTGGGAAATCAAAGCCACCAGCGTAGGCGACTACAGCAAGATAACTATCCAGTCCGACTCCGAATACATCGGTGCTGACGTTAGTTTCACTTCCCCTTCTCTTCAGCATCCAGAACCCTGTTTCAGGCTTGTTGATGAACTTGCCCAATGGTGATGATGAAACAGAGGTACGACACTTTATTTCACGCTGTTGAATAATCTCTGACTTTGTTTGTTTCTTAATTAAGTCAAACTCACGCAGGATGGCGTGGGCGAGGTGTCACACTGCAGGTTCATTTTTATCAGGCCCCCCTCAAATTGATTGGGTGCGATGCTCTGAGTGACCTAGCGTTGTTGTAGTTTCTGTGTTGGTGTAGGTTAACGTGTACGTCACGGTTAGTGGTAGAATCCAAGTGCTCTCAAGTGAGCGGACAATAAAAGGCAACGAGTAATATCTAGTGAGTGATTTGTTGGGACCACTGCTACTCGAGGCAAGGGTCAAGCTTTCAAGTACGTTCGACTCGCGATTGACTCGTGACATCAACGGTTTATCCACCTCAACACCCGGACCGAATAAGGATACATCCAAGCGCTTCACAGTACCACTGGCATGAGCACATCACAACAGCCTCACACGTCAATCATGATAATAACAAGCTACCATCGATGTCATCATCTGCAAGCATTGGATGTGGGGTGAAATAGCTAAAAATGTGATATATTACCTGTTGTACTCATCCACTTTCCAGATTTATATCCTGGCAGTTGCATATCCATAGACGTTAACCTGCAGGCATCGCCGATCGAGGACGTTTTGCGAAACGGGGGAGCAGCGCGATATCATAATGTCACATTTTGGTCCTGCTAAACAGAAGTAAACACGATGCGAAATCACTCGGTTTGTCCAAGTCATTATGCAAAGTGCTACAAGTAACATGTTTTCATGTCGACATACCAGAGCTCTCAGAGCATCCTTTCGACATGGCCCTTGTTTTGAGGCAGCGACCTAAACCGGATCCGACCACATAATATATTCAGACAACGCCACATCAAGTGCATCAGACCATCGGTACTCCTTGAACGACACGAGGATAAGTAAGAGCAATGAGCTGCAAAGCTGATCAGGTAAAGATGTGCTGCGACTTCGAAGCTCTCACCCTAAATAGGTCAGGTGCGCGTGCAGCTAATACTTGTGGATCTTCTCCGAGACCTACGAAGCTGAATTTCGTGAAAATCGGTCAGTATCCACATATACTGAGGTTTGCACATACATAGTAGACACACCAGCCTCGATGGCAGTTGACATTGTCATCGCTGCAGAATATTAATAATCATGCAGAATTATCGAGGCGAACAACAAGAAGCACGCACAGCATTGTAGTCCGATGAGGAATGCAAACAAGACAACTGGCGCTGTGTACTGTCCATCGACGTTATATGCAGGGTGCGTCACTGTGCAGTAAAAATGGTACCGATTCCTCAAGCACATTAATTCAATACGCACAGCGCAGGTAGAGATACCCGAAGAGTGAGCATAGAAGCCCAATGGCATACGCTCCCCACATCAAAGCTGCCAAACATCATCAGAAGACGTCGGCATCCCCAACTGGTGACTCACTCATGCCAACCAATGAATCATTGACAAGCGCATCAATCCCTAAAATATTGGGCATCGTGAGAATGCTTTAGGGAAAAAAAAACAGCGACGGAACGTACCACGATCCACGAACATGGTCCAAGTGTCTTTTGCTGCTTTGATGTAAGGCTTTCCATAGAGCGCTAATAACATCAAGTTACCGGTAAGTACAACCGAACCAAATGAGGTAACTCACCAATTTCGATGTAGGCATATCTATTGAAGTACCTTACCAGTCCTTCGATGCATCCAACGAAGAACTCTGCGCAGCAAGCAAGACACGCCTCTACGACTGATCAGAGGCTACTATTTAACGTTAAAGTAAGGAAAATTCAGACTGATACTCACAACTCCCTTGCGCATTTGCATTGTCTTTCGCAGCGTTCAGGATAAGGCGGACAACTTCTAGAATAGTGACAATTAGGGATCCAAATGCTATTGACCCAAGAGAGAGCGTCGAAGCACGTCCGAAAGCGCTGAGGGTTGGATGCTTCGGCTGAAACCATCGTATAAACATAACTAAGGAGGCATAAAGCAGAACACTACCATCTGTCCTTGTTCTCGAGGCCCGAAGTAATACCAACCTGCGATGTGCATATAAGATAACGGAATCAACCGAGTCATCCAATTATGCTCACTTCCGTACGCTCCACCAGCAAGAGTGGCTAAGGCGACGTTACCAATGACTTGAGATGTCCAGAGGTACGAGAATACTGCATAGAATATTAGGCCTGCCACAGTGCTCCCAGAACAAGATGTTCCGTTGCCACAACCTGTGTGGTCGTTCAAAGTTAATTAAATTGACTAGTAATGCAAATTTACTTGGATTTCCAGGTGTCCATTTCGTATATCTATAAATGGGTTAGAGAAGCCGAAAGTTGCGCAGCAAACTGAAACACTTACATCGCAATCAGTGTATAAGAAAACCACCTACAATTAATAATATTTGAAAAGACTTCTTTGAACGTGGCAACGGCAAGCTTACACACTTAGAGCAGCTTGCGAGATCAAGGCGATGAAGGCAACAACGTAGACACTCTTGTGATGTTTGGAGACATCCATTACTACTTGCAGGAGAAGGGACGCTAGTGGAATGCGGGACCTAAGGCCCAAATAGGCAATGATCGAGAACAAGGCAATGATAGTGAATATGATGGCACCAGCTGCAGCTTCGTCGTCAAAAAGAGGTGGTCGATGTTCGTATTACTCACAATAGTAACCAGTAGTCCAATAATAAATGCAAATGGCACTAGAATGACGATCAGCATAACACTTTATCTGAGGCGTTAGAGCGAGCTTACATGTTAAGTATTATAGACAGCACGAGAGTCATGTGCATCAAGGCCCGTGTAAAGATGCGTGCGAGTATCAGGTAGGCCATAGACAGGACAAGAGCTACTGCAGTGACAAATAGCAGAAGATAGGCAGTGTGCCTAACGCAGTCAACATCAATTCAATATACCGATAAATGTCTACAAACAACACACCGATTGAGGGTCACCTCCGAGCTAACCTGAGAGCCATTGCCTACACCACCTCCGAGCCCATTATTCGACACGTATCCTGAGAGGGCAATTATTGAAAGCGCGACAAACCCTGCAAACTACCGCGGAGTTAGAAGGAGTTCACCAAGAAATATATAACGTAGACTGACCTGCAGAATGAAAAGGATCAGAAAGAAAATGTCGTTGACCCGTTTCTTCGGCTGAAACCGACCGTTCTCGAAAGGAGTTTTCTGGTTTGCAGATGATTGTGGGTCTGGGTACTGCGGTTGAACGACTGGTTGCACATATGGCTGAGAGTGTCCAGGCGTCGGCTCCCCACCAAGAGCGTAGAATGGCGGATTCCCCTGTCTATGTTGCACTCCCCACTGATCCTTGTTCCAAGCAGCCATTTTCTGAGACAATGAGAAAGCGAATAAGTTGCGAGAGGTAACTTCTCGTACATGCAGACCCCTCGAGGCAAAGGAGGAACCTAATTTGGAAACAGACTGCGTCGATCGCCATCTCCAAGTTTGGCATCCGGATCGAAACTATTCTTGAAAGGCAAGTGAGGTACGCCAGACGGCAATTGTCTGGTACACAAGATGCGTTAGTTGGATCGTGGGGAAAGTTAGGAACATCATACGCAGGACTATGCAACAACCTGACAGCCCTCTCGTAGTTAATTAGAGCGTATGAGAGAAACGAGGCTCGGATGTCACCGATCACTCACCACAGATGATAAAAAAAGCTAAAACCAACCAAGTCTGTCGAAGACATCCCCCTTCCCACATGCACGAAGCACGCTCCAGTAGGGTAATTGAGCAAAGGCACATACCCAGTGGGGTAATGGAAGCTACTCACTTCTGCACGGAGGTACTTGACTGTTTAAGACTCGGGCCCCAGGAGAAGCTATTGCTAGTGGACTTCTGCTTCAACATCGACAAAATAAGCATGCGTCGATGCCTCTCCACAATACTGCCAACGAGATTCGAACTGAATCGGTCACTAACGTGATTTCCCCTGAGTCGACTGATGACGCAATGCAACAGATTCTATGCACCATAATCACGGAAATTCCATGCTCTCTGGTTAACACCCAGCAGGTATTGGAGCGAAACAAAATTTGGGATGCGGCCCCGGGTGCGTCACAAAAGAAGTCATGAGAAGTTTCTTGATCTCGGTGCATTATTTCCTTCTCAGCAGTAGTACAGAATGCATAAATATAGCATTAGACTCATCCATATCTCAATGAGACCAGGAAGTGACACCAATTTGGTCACGAGTTACAAATCTTAGCACATACCACTGGACTGGTCAATGACGATGCTAGGGGGATAGACGTTGTGATGGTTATGCACTAGCGGAATAATGAAAAATGTGCAGGGCCAGCGTGCGTCGCGTCTGCTGCAGGGTCACGATGTGTGAATGAAAGACATGCGAAGTGGAGTCTGGACATACTTGGATCACTACAGGGCAAATTTCCTGCGCGTATAAATGGTACGACACGTTGTTCGACTCGTGGCCGGTAACATGTTCTATCAAATATGTAAAACCAAGGTAAGTAAAAATGAGGGCAAATTCTTGGCGCATCGTTCTCCATCGTCGTCGGGTACTACGACTATCGATGGATAACGGCTTAGATCGAAAAATTACAAAAAAAGTGCAAAGTTTAGACAGACAATTTTCGGTACCGCTAGACTGTCAAGGAGACCATTAGGAAAAACCATTAGGAAAGGCTTCAAGCTGTGTGGATGATATGATCGTATATTAAGATTAGCACCGAATTTAGTTTTGTTGTGAAACTGTGGCACTGATTTACGTACCAAAATTCCGACTCCGGTGTTTTGATTGCGGGCGCTGTTCTTCTTCCTAAACTCTCAACGTTTCTCAACGTGATCATCGTTGGCGACGTTCTCTATCTCTAAAAACGACGGCGAGCTCATTATTATAAACGTCCAACTCACTAATTGAACTCACCTTTTACAGGTACATTTCAATTCAACTGCGGGGACGTCATTGTCCCTTTGCAACGGTGTCTGCCATTAATCACACCCACCTTACTCGTAATCTTCATCCCAGCGTGCATAAGCTCGCAAACTCATCAAGACCATCCACCATCTTGCTAATGAGCCTATCTTTCGGCGGGCTTGGCTTGATCTCCCTATGGACCCCCTTGTATTTCTGGGATGACTCCGCTCGTGTTCGTAGTGAATTCAGGTCATTCGTCTTTGTTCTTGTATTTGTCGCTGTAGTGCTCATACTTGGTGAGCAATGTGGTCCAAGCTCTTTCATTGCGCATATTGACCATTTTATTTCTGCTTGTCTCTCACTCTTGCATACTATCATTGTTCACGGCATTCGATTGTCCATCCTTATTGAACCCACAAATCTCCAGCGTATCTCACGAATCCCTCAGAGACATCATTCCGTGCTTATCTAACTGAACAATCCTTCCGCCAACACCTCAGCCATCTTGATGATACCACAGACGAATCTTCTGATACTGATGCTCAATACTCTTCACGTCCCGTGGACCGCAATACACTGACTGACCGTACGCCTCTTCCGTTTCACTTTGCAAACCGTGCTTCGGTATCTCTACGCACTCCCAAGCACATCTTCCATAGTGTTGGCATTTGTACAATCGCCACCACCCGCGGAGCTGCTGGGGCTCATGGACGCAGTTCAAGCACAACTAGTCCACATGGTAATGGGAATTTGTCGGGTGTTGATCACGATGGATCGGTAGTTTCAGATTCTTGGTTTATTGGAGCGTTTGGTCACTGGTGGCGAGGCGGCCTTGTTGATTCGTGGTATCACGATGCCATGATCGGATCGAAGGATGCTGAAGGCTGGAGCTCTGGTATACTTGGATTTAAGGCCCTCGACAAGTTTAACGAATTCAACAGTATGTTTTTTTCGATCTCATATTGGTTCTTCCATTTTAATGTAGAAAGAAGGTCGACCATTTGCAAAGTCGGTTCCCTGTCCCAGGCTTCCGTCACGTGGCACACCACCTAGGTTGCGTAATCGTGAACGTTTCGCCCCGCGCCTTGGATTAATTCCTCGCCGTAACTCGACCCCTCCGCCACTTCCCAAGTCAGCTTCGCTCCCCCTGCACACAGATCACCGAACGCACGAGCACAACCTTCCAGTATCTCAACCGGTTTCCGACCAGACCTGTATTAGCGTTTACGTACCGCCTGTTGCTCAAACCATCTCATGCGGCCCTTCGAGATCTCTATCCATCGATGACTCGCCGATGATTGCGGAAGTTTTGAGGCAAATCACTGCCCAGCAAGCTTTCGTGGCAGAACTAGACACCCAAATTTGCGAGGTCCAAACAGCGGCTACTGCGTCCCATGATGTCCTAGAGGCTGAATTGGCCGAGCTGCGCATACGCAAGCGCGATGAAGATCAACGCAAAGCCGAAGGGAAATCTCGTGCCAAAGTGCTTGAGGATGCACGACGCTCTGCTGAAACAGGGAGAAGAGATGCCGAGAAGAAGCTGAAGGCCGCCCGTAGTGTGAAGGAAGGCGCTGTGAGGCGCATCGAAGAACTGGAGAACGAAATTGGCAGGTTAAGAGATCAAATCGAGACAGACCGAGCGACTTTGCTTGAAGAAGCTGAGATCGAGGACGCTAGACTAGTACAGGAACTGGAGCAGGAGCTCGAGGCGAAGAAGAAAGAGGTTCGGGTTACTGAGGACGTCGTCGCCGCACTCAGCACACGCGCAAAGGAGCTCGAGGCTAAAATTACAGAGGCTCGCGAGCGACTTGGAGCCGCTAGGGAGCGGACGGAGATTCTGAAACATGAACCACTGTTCGTCCCTATGCAGGTTTTGAGCAGCGGACATACCTCCACGCAAGAGCAATACGGTCACAACAGTGGTCACGGCAATCCAAATGATTATGACATGGGTCAAGCAGATGCACCATCCTGGTCTTCAACTTTCAGTCCCTTTGATGAACCGTTAGACATACATTCTTCACCAGGGTCTTCGGAACGCGCACAGAGCGGTCTTGATTCAGGAGAATTTTCACGCTCTCCGAGACCTCCACGACTTTCATTGGGATCACTATCAAATTTCAGCCCCAATGCAAGCGAAACGGGTGCTGTTTCGCGTCGCTCCAAGGGGTACGCCATCTTTGATGAGGACATCGCTTCCCTCGCACAACCATCACAATCTGGTCAAACTGCTCACGGTCATTTCTCCCCCCATACAAATTCGACATTCTCTCCCTTTGATGTTCAAATACCGTCTTCAGCATTTATCCCAAGTAGCCTCATCAGCGTGCTAGACTCCCCTCTGGTGACTGGCGCGGCATTGGAAGAGCCGGAAGTACGCTCAGTGCATCACCGGTGTCGCTCACTGGACCTTCGCCCACACAGGAAATGAGCGTTGAGTATGATCCTTTCGAAGTTCGCCACCACACTCAGGCCATGTATGACAAAATGAGCATGCCTCACCGCACGAACTCTGATCCCTCCGCCGCACGCGCGCTGGACAACGCGCTTGTCAACGACACCGCTACCATAGGGTTGGATTCTGGACCACGCAGGTGGTTCTCAGCGTCTGCCAAGGATAAGCAACGCAAGGGCCTCAATCCTGATGCCAAAGTTTTCAGGCTTCCACGACGACATGCTCCGGCTCCGTCTGAACGCACCAGTGCCCCTCCTACAGCTTGCTATGATGCACTTAACCCGAATGGGCTCATGACCAGCAATTCCTCGACTCCATCTGCCCTCCTCCGCGCCTTTGCTCCTTCTCGAGCGGAACGTGAAGCACTTCAGCGCGCGCTTGGTGGTTCGACTAATACGAGCCTCGAGCGTCTGCCAAGCCTCAGCGACGTCGGAAGTATCCCATCTTCTCCGGTGCATACTAATGCTGAGGCCCGGCCGGTGCCAGCGTTTGGGGGGAAGGGGGCTGTTTTACCTGCGTGGCTACAATCGCTGCCGTTGATCCGGAAGCCCAACTTTAGCCCATGGGAGGACGAAGAACCTGACTCTGTGAGTACAGGCGGAGAGGCCAAGAGGAAGTAGACCATGTGTAGCAAGCGGGGCTGGCGAAAATTTGTACAAACCATGGTGGTGAGTCGTCCTGGGATGGCGGGGTAGGTGTTCGTGGTAGAGCAAAAGGGGTGGGTGGAGTAAGTGTATCTGCTTGTCAAGTACCTGTTCGTCTGATATATATATATATCGCAATGCACGAATCTGTTGAACCGTTTCACTTTGGCAAGTAGCCACAGCCAGTCAGGGCGATCAGGAGTGGCAACCTCTCAGTCTCGAGTCTCCACAACCAAAGGTCCTATTTCTGGGGTTGACTTATACGTGGGCGCAATTGCTATCTTGAAATCCGACACGTCGGCTACTTGGTACTAGTAGACGTCTCCTAGGCAGGGGGAAGGCAGTTGTACAAATGTGGAGCGATTGATATACGGTCAACATTTTCGGAATCGCGCGTAGGCCCATAGAGAGGTGCAAGCATCAATTCTAAACCCCACATATCTTAGGAGGTAAATTATGTAGATATAGCTAAGCTACCTATCGATGATGGATATAACTTGACACATGAACACTATGACCTTGGCCGTGACTCTCGTCCTCCAGAATCAATGAACTCCTGCAAGCTATTCGAAACAGTATATCCACACTGTTTCAGCTCGTCCAATGCTAGCGTGTACCGCGAGTCACCAGCAGCGACGCAAGTACGAATGATGGCATCGTAAATGCTCCGTGGCGGTACGAACTTCTGCGCTTTCATTTCCTCGAGATAGAAGAACGCGTCTTCATATGTGGCCTGTGTCAGGCAGAGGATGATGATCCGCTCGTAGGTCGTTGCATCTGGCTTGATGCCCAACTCTTTCAGTTCCAAGAGCAGTCTATCTCCGAGTTCACGGTGACTGGCAACGATACAGCCAGAAAGGAGGGAGTTGAAGGTGTCAATGTCAGGGACGCATTTGTAATCGGGAAAGGCCTTGTAGGCGCCCACGGCACGCTGCAGATCTGAAAGTGATATGGCAGCGCGGATGATGGCATTGATGGCGGTCCTGTCGATCGTCTTCCCTTCACTTCGCAGCTTGTCAAGCAGTTCCCAAGCGCCGTCCACCTTGTCAATATCCTGCTTCAGGAAGTCGTATATCGGCCGGGCTGTTATCGCAGTAGGGAAGATGTTACTACTTCGCATCAAGTCGAGGGTACCGAAGGCATCTTTTAGCTTTCCGGCCTTACACAGTGCTTCCAGGAGGGGCGCAAAGTGGTGCTCTTGCCAGTCAGCACCCAGAATTCTGAGCACACGAATGACATCTGTTGCTAGGTCAGAGAGTCCGTGACGTCCAGCAGTATGGAGAACATCGAGGCAGAGGCCTTCGTCTGGAGTGACATTAAGGTCGCCTACAACCTTTTCCCAGCATCGTTGAACACCTTCAGCCTTCCAATCTAATGTCAGGTGGAAACAATACAGAACAGAAATACCACACACGTAAAGAATTTCAGCAGATGATGCTAGACATCTCATCCATGTTTCCATGCTTAATCTCCGGACGGAGGTTGCTTCGAAATTCTCTGCCAGGTCGACTGCGAGTCGGGGAAAGCTGAGTTCTGCCGCCAATCTTATCACATCTTGGGCGATCGTGAGCTCAAGGACGAGTCCCCGGGTCCCCATTTCATAAACACATTGCAGTGCGAATTCAAGATTTCTTTTCTCCGCCGTTGTGTAGCGTTGGATCATCAACTGGAAAGTTTGTTCGTTCGGAGGGATATTTTCTGCATCCATCTTATCGAGGATATCCCACATGGCTGTTGACTGCATTCGACGTGATGCCTGTGTTCAATAGTGAAACGATAAGGTAAGGTACAGTCGCCAAAGAGATATGGACGCACATGTATGAGGTGATGGAAAGTGTTTCGGTCGGGTGCAATCCCCATAGAACTCATATCTTCAACAACAGCCCAAGCCTCTAGCGTCTGACAATCTTCCGCAAGACATGCCAGCAAGTTATTGTAGACGATGATGTCTGGTTTTACGCCCTCCTTCTTCATTTCTCCGCACATTCTAAGAGCATCTACGGTTTTCTTAGAATTGGCGATCCCTGTAGACCTGAACTGGTAGCGTGCTATGGCACTACCACGCGCAGTTCCCTGAAAAGTTTGGTCGGGAACGAAGGACCATGGTTTATTCCGAATTGTAGACGAGCTCGAACGTGTAGCAGACTTTGCTGCAACCTGTTGGGTGCTCTGACATCCTGCATGGGGTTTCAAAACCGCGTCTGCCAACGAGTGGTAAATTTGACTCACGAGAAAAGGTCACGGGTAGTACTCCAGTGCACTCGGACTGGGATGACCACAAAGCAGCCTTCCTGGAGACTCTTTTAAGAGAGTTTCGCGATGTGGAAGCCAGCATCTTGGACTTTGGCCAGTCCGCTTCCACAAAAATCTAGACAGTCAATGAGCCAAACACAGTTCAATAACCTTCCACTGCGACACAGCCACCGCCTAAGCAAGTTGTTCTAAACCGCGACCGGGTGCCTGGTCAACACCTTCTCTTTCCATTTCTTGTATATCATCTAAAGCTTGGATTATCATGGTGCGTGTAGTCTACTGCTACAACTACCTTGCGATGACTCAATCCGGAAAAGTTTTACTCGGAAGCTATTTTATCGCGCCGTGGGCCACTGGCCAAAGTATGGCTAGCCGCGCATATGGAGAGAAAACTCTCCAAAACACAGACACTACAGACGGATATCGAGCAGGCGGCGGGTGCGTCATTATATGATTCGTTTCTGACGCGTTAAATGACACTTCACACTCATCCCAGATGCTATCATGGGACAGGAGGTTGAAGTCATGGCACTACGTTTAAGCGGACAGTTATTGCTCGGTGTTGTTCGAATCTACAGTCGTAAAGCGAAATATCTATTGGATGATTGTAACGAAGCACTTCTCAAAATCAAGATGGTAATGTCTCGTCCTTTTGGTACCACATAAATGTTGACCTCGTTCCAGGCATTCCGCCCAGGTGTTGTTGATATGACGGAAGATCAACTGGCTGTCAACCGCAATGCCATTACACTTCAAAGCGGCAATCTTGACCTGGACGTTTTGCTTCCAGATATCAATTGGTGAGATCCTCATGCGTTCTCTCGTCTCTTATCCCCCTGGCTTATGCGCTGGGCTAGGGATATTGATTTTGAGGATCGTATTGCTGAACCTCAAGGTCATCATGTTGCACGGCAGGCAGATATCACCCTTCAAACTGCTGACGACCTGCAATTTGACCTTGACGATCCTGGCTATGGTTTTGATCTTGGTCCATCAGATGGCATCGGTTCACAGGACTTTGGGGAGCTTGATCTTGGACTCGACTTTGGAGACGGACCGGTCAGTGTTATCGACGGGGGCGTAGAAGTTGGTCGTGATGCCCCGACTCCACGAAGTGCCAGAGAGTCGTTAGATTCTAGAATGATGGGAAAAGGTGGAGAGGGTGAAGATTTCTTCTCGAACAGAAGTAGAGAACCTTCCGAACATCCGTTTGGCGCCGACATGGATGTGGACATGGGTTTTGGTCCAGACATGGGAGGTATGGACATTGACTTGGGTATCGATTTCGGGGACCGCCCCTTGAGCGATCGTGAAAAGACTCCCGAACAAACTAGGTCTCCTTCTCGAATGTGTACGCCGTGCCTTGATATTTTCCGGTTGACTTTTTTGACGTTCAGCAAACAGCCTCTCCGCTCACCGAGCCTCCGCCAACACCGCCGCCTGACCTTCTCCTCACACCAAAGGCAGCTGCACAAGAATTAGCTGACTGATACAGCCGCTGCAAAGGCCAAGCGCAAGCCCAAAGAAAAGAAGCAAATCATTGATTCTGTTACTGAACTCACCGATGGCCCCGGAGCTAGAGCTGGTCGTGGTCTAGGCGCGCCCGTTATCAAGGATGTTAGTAATATCCTTGCAGAACATCCATCTCTCCCTCGTTCCGCGATTGTGATGAGGCTCATGGAGATCCGCGAGGATCCCCTTGCCTACTTCCTTCCCACCAAGGTTACGCCAGAAGGCACTTTCTTCCTCGCAGGCCCCCCTGGACTAGCACCTGAACTATCCGACTTGTTCATGCGTCCTCTACAGACCGGCCTCCCATCGAAAAAGAGGGGTGCATCCCCTGACAAGGCAGGGAGAAAAAAGCCTAGGGTTGAGGGGAGCATACATGAGGATGAGCTGGTCGAACAAGCTCGGCGGGATGCCAGTATCGCTCCGAGCATCGCACTTGCTAGTGAAGCTCTTGGTGGTCGTGCCAGTATGGCTCCTGACGGTGGCTTCGACTTTGGCGACATGACAGGCGGTTTGGACGAATTTCAGATGGACGTTGGTGGCGAATTCCCGGTGGCACATGACGAATTGGGATTGGAACAAGACAAAGGTGCCGCAACGGAACAAAGTCGATCGTCCACGCCAGCCGTCGATGGTGAAGAAGGTGAAGAGACCTATGCTGATCTGACGTGCCCTATCGCCTCTTTCGATGTGCGGCCCTCGCCCACTCAGGCTCAGGAGGCTGCTGGTGATGGCGAAGGCACAGGATACAGCAAAAATACAGTAAAAGCGCTCGGCATCATTCGCAAGGAGCTGAAACCCGAAGATCGCGAGGATGATGAGGAGCGAGTCATGAGCTTCCGTAGGATGACGGAGAAAGCTTCTCGGCGTGCTGCATCTGCATTCTTCTTTGAGCTTCTTGTCCTCGGAACTCGAGACTGCGTAAAGTTATCGCAGAGCGCCGCCTTTGAGAATATCGAAGTCCGCGCTAAGGACAAATTATGGGAGCGTCAGCGGCACGGATCTATCGCTCCATCTATTGCATCTGCTACAGTATTCTAAGTGTATTTATCTTGTTTCTTTTGATTTTCAGATCTTGTTTCACAACTATCTACGATGTGTTACTAGGATTTTTCATCAGTTTATTCTATCTCGTGAGCTCGTTACACCAAGCTTTCGATGTTTTGTTCTCTGTAGCTTTCATAATTTATACTGTATCTTCCTATACATCCTAGATTTGTTTGCCTCGATCTGTATGTTTCCCTTACCTACCAAGAAATCGGGAATACAGTCGTAAACAATTCAGTCGTAAATGAATTCACAAATAGTGTGCACCTTTCGATTTTGCTATTCAGACCCTACCTCCATCAATACGTACGAACGCCAAACCGCCTCGCGTTTGGTGAACGCACGGTCACCGTCATGTCAAGCAAGGCGGCTTAAAAATCATACGGCACTGAGAAACGCTTCCTCCACACACCCCCTTCTAATTGCAATCATGATTGGCAACTCTTGGTGGACTGACGTGGTACGCCGAGGGGAAGAGCCAAAACTTTGCCCTCCTCGCGTGACCGTCTGCATATCGGGCGAATCTATCCCTCAAGAGGATTCCATCGAGTGGACGTCCGCCTCCAGCAAAATCTTTAATGTAAATAATGCCACTGCAGGCACCACATACATTGGTTGCTGCGTTGGAAAGCATTCATCAGTGGTGTAGACGAGAAGAAGAAATTTGCTAAAGTGCTTGTAATACTAAGATCGCTGCCGCTTCTGACGATGAGCTTGGACTCGTTATCGGTTCTTTCCCGAGCCGTCCTATCAAAGTGATCAGCAAGCGAAGTAAGAAGAGACAGAGTGCAAAAAATCTTGAGCGTGTGTGGATTCACTGTGGCTCATGATCATTTTTCACCGTGATCCTCCAGTATGTATAAACCATGGTTCGGCGATTTCACTCTTCCATCGTCTGCGGTTTCAGACCGTCTCGACGAAATATCTCTGCGTTTCCGGTTCAGGTTCCTTTTTCAAGGGTTTCGATGGTGCGCATTTGATGGGGATCGATACCCGTGCACGATTCAACACTCCATCATTCATTGCACGTACTGCTAGCTGTGGTCAATTCTCTACCCACACTTGTATTTTTGCCTTTGCTGACGTTTTCATCTTAGTTCCCGTTCCAGTCGAAGCCTGTCACTTCATTCCCGGGTGGTGAAATATTTTCCTCCTGACAGTGCTGCGGAGGCACCAAAGTCTAACTGCGCACAATTGCGTGGCGTCTTGTCGAAACCTAATCCCCACATATCAAAAATCTTGACTCTATACGAAGAAAACTTCAACAAGGTTGATCCAGTACACATCTTTTTCGGACCAGACCCCTCGCCGTATGCCGATGTGTGGTGCGCCAAGGTGTTGGGCTGCCCACCTCCAGAAAACCAGGTTGCGAAACGCCGTTCAATTATCATGATACGACCAGATGGTGTTGTGTCCGTCATGATCTTCTTGGTCGATACGGCAAAGACCGTGAAACTGCTTTGTTCTTTAGGCTTATTACAGTTGTCATCTCAATTTCTCCTTATCAGATCTGAGCACCGGGTTCGCCATATTCTCGAGTTTTGCACGTGGCGGCCCAAAAACACCATCTCACACCTATTTCTTACTTGGACTTCCCAAGATCTACCAGAAGATCAGTCCCAACCGAAAAGAATGAGCTTTGTATTTTCATTTGGAAGAAGGATGGGAGGTCTAGCATATGTCACTCCTGCCAATGGGGTATCGCCAAAAAGTATAGGGCGGTGGGAGACAAATTATGATTTACATGTATGTATTAACCCCCACACATCAATCACAGGTGCGCCCTCGATTACTGGACCAATTTAAACTGTTAAGGAGTCTGCTGTTAGCCGAAAACCTGTCACTGCCGCATACTTGACAAGATTAGAAAACTGGCTCGCATATATCATATTATATGCCAATATTTTGACTGCAGCCGCTCTCTTCCAAAACGTCAAGGACCTTGGTCTCGCCTACAAACACTCAAAGAGCGTTACAGCCAAACACGAATGACAGGTCTGAGCATGTAGCCCTGTTTTGGGGTATTCGCGTTGTCATTAATGTATTCTGTTGCCCATGCTGTCTCCAGTGAGGAAGTGGCTTTGACGGCATCAAAGAGATCTCCGACATAGCCAATTCCCTGAGTGCACCTTCGTGAAGCTTGCAAGCTTCCTCGTAAATTGCTGCAGGCACCGGGCAGAGATATCAGCAGATCTAGAGGTCAACGCAAAACTCAAGACACCATGCAGGAGTGGCCCGCCGAGGCATGCATAACGAAAAGAAGGGGCTCGGCGAGCACTGAATGACAACTTGACAGGCTTAAGGTGTCAAATGATTGTAACCGAATTCAGTGCTGTAGCCGACGGTAGAGATATCAGACTGTAAATGACCAGCGAGCTGGAGAACCCCGGGTCTCAGATTGAACTCTTTGCTTCGGTGGTGTTCGTGCGTCTTACGCCCCACAGTCTGCACCGTGTCATGGTTATCATCTGCTCAGGTTAATTTTTGGAGTCGAGTTGTCTATCAGTCGACGTTGGCCACCACTTATGTTTCATGTTGGTCTCGACTAACGGAATGCATTTGGTGATGCCGTTATTCCTCCGAAGGTCTGAATACTAATTCATGTTCGGCCATGTGCCATTCGCATCAGGGCCAGGTCAGTTTTTCAATCCTGACTCCCGCTCCTTTTACATCCTTTCCGCTCCCTATAAGTCAGAACAACCAGATCCTGTCCTTTCTTTATCAACGATGTATACTAGATGTGTCATACTCGTATTCGTTTCCTTGGTGGTGGCGGTCAACGCCCAGTCACTGCTCCCATCATTCACCTACAGTTTGATTGTCTCACATGTTGGTTATGACTTTCTAGGTAATTTTTCTTGGGAGACAGCGGACGATCTGACGCATGGCCGTGTCAACTATGTTGACCAAGCTACTGCTCTCAAGGATAATCTGACTTTCGGTGCGTGTTTCTTTTCGCGCAAATTCATTTGCTCAAATTTTCTCAGTTTCGGACTGCAAGTTTGTCATGCGCGCTGACGATACGAAAAAAGTTGCAAAATCTGCCCGCGGGCGAGACAGCATACGCATACATTCGCTGAATGCCTACGATGACGCTTTGTTCGTCCTCGACATATCTCACATGCCCGAGGGTTGTGCAACGTGGCCTGCGTGGTGGACATTGAGTGAGAAAGGGCCCTGGCCTTACGGTGGCGAAATCGATATCATCGAAGGCGTCAACCTCGATCAACGAAATCTTGCCTCGCTCCACACCACACCGAATTGCACTATGCCAAAGGTTCGGTTACAGACAGGGTTCGCTATTCTGCAACCGTCATACATATCATTCGCTCAAGTTGGTTCGTAGGTCAACAGAGTCCACTTCGTGCGACACATCCGTAAACTACAATCAGGGTTGCGGTGTCTCTTTCTCTGAGCAAGATTCTTACGGAGCAGGCTTCAACGCAGTGGGCGGTGGCTTTTATATCATGGAAAAAAGCAGCACCAAGGGCATCTCAGTCTGGTTTATCGCCCGCGACAGCTTGCTGCTTCTCGGTGGCGAGCCCCCTTGGACGTGGTGCTTCTATCGATACCCGATGCGTACTTCCCAACAAATATAAACTGCGACTACTCCAAACACTTCAATGCACATAGAATTGTTTTTGATCTGACATTCTGTGTGAGTGTCCCTTTTATGTTCTGTGGCGTCGTTATGACTTATCCATAAATCTTGCAGGGCGACTGGGCAGGGTCTGAGGCAGTGTGGAATGCGTCCACATGTGCAGCAAAAGCCTCTACCTGTGATAGCTGTAAGCCCCCCTTGTAGTGTTTATCGCTCGCAATCCTGATACATAATTGTTGCAGTTGTTGACAGCAATCCCGATGAGTTCGCCGAAGCCTATTGGGAAATCAACTCCCTCAAGATATATACACCTCATGGTTTTTTGCGTTAGTTTGACGCCCGCATTCGTTTTTGTCATACATCTTCCTTATACCATACTATACAGCTAATAACGTAGTAAGTCTGGACGATTGTTTCAGCATTATAGAAGCCTGTCATTTAGCCCTTGTATTGTTTAAGTTACCCGTTAGACATTACCCTGGAGCTTGAATACAGGTTGTCGATATGCCTCGGAATATTTGGTACGTCATACGTGGTTGACAATTGCTTGCATAGCATTGACTAGCCTGCAGGCCCAGGGGCCGTATCCGGGGCCCAGGATAATTTTATGGGTGGCTCCTTGCTATGTGTCAGCCGCATCCTAGTACTGTACTTATGACATGGCTCTAGCTGTTCTATACTTTCTACTACCAGCCGACCACCAAGATGCGGTTCTTCAAATCGTTCCGGCTGCTGCATCGTCGTACGAAGTCTGAGGGCGACGTGTCCCACATGGTTTCCTCTCCATCATCGTCGATTGGGTCGTCTTGTTCAATGGGATTCCGACAGATGCAATATGTCAGGCCTACATCGTCTAGCCTAATCAATGGTTCAGCGGCCCCGGTATTCGTCTCCCTCGAGGCTTCCCTACCTTCATTCGATCCCGCTCAGCTTTATCAACCCCGGCCAACTCGTCCCCTAGACATGCACACTGATGGCTGCATTCACCAGCCTGAAAGTGATACTTTCCGCCTCCGTCAGGCCAATTCCGAACTCGCAGCCGACCTTGCCGATGTCACCAACGATCTTTCGCGGACCCGCAACGAGCTTTATACAGAGATGACCAAACTTGCCCGCTTCCAGCATCAGCTTGCGCGTGGTATGGACCACATCCAGAAGCTTGAATCAAGATTTCAGCGCCTCGCTGGCCTTCTCGTCGATATTGGCATTCCGTACTTCACCGTTCAGCGGATCTCTGATGCACTGGATTCTGATCTCGGCACCGCAGATCATCTCTTGGTCAATGCTATAGGTGACGCTGTTCACGACCCAGAAGCGCTACTCTCGAGGTTGAAGCCCGCGGTCATTGGTCATCCTGTCCTAGAACAGTATCAATCTGCGCTGCACATGACTCTTAGCGTGCGGCGCAAAGTCCGTGCGCAAAAGAAGGTCTCCAAGTTTTGGAAACGCCTAGCTCAGGAAGATGACCGCTATACAGACACCGTCACCCCGTCTTCGTCGAACATGTCCTCTGTCCACGAGCCTCTCACTCCCGCCCGTCAACACGCTGTCGACTCGCTCATTGCTCGTAGACGAGAGGCAAATGCAGGCGCTGCTAGATATTTATATGGTGGGGCTTCTGTGCAAGGTGGTTTGGTTATACCTGTTTCTGCCTCTGACGTTGGATCTGCGGCGAGCTCTGCGTCGGGATCGACCGTTCAGTTGCAACATACTCCGCCTTCGAGAGCACGTTTTTCGATATCTGAGCTACGTCGGCGCTCGACCCCCGTGGTTTTGGGTGACATTGATCTTAACGTTTCCCAATCTTCGGATGGACCTCCAGAAACGGAGTCTGAACCAGAGGATCCAGAACAAGATGGATCTGACGACCAGAATGCACGCCCTATGGTAACTCTCAGCCAGGACCTCATTCAGGTATGTCAAATAAAAACATTCTACAGTCAAAAGATAGTGATGATGGCACCAATAGAATTTGAACCGCGTCGCCCTTGGACGTGGACACCGCCGTAACTCCTCGGCCGTGTCGAGGTCAAGTGTTCCATCCCGCCTCTCCGATTCCACACCCGCCTTCCCTTCTCGTAGCGCTTCGTTAGGCATACCCACATCTACTTGTAGCCTTGGCTCCGACGCGCCGTTCGACAATTCCGCATTCCATAGTCTGCTTTATGGTATCGGTAGCACCCCGACGGACTCAGACAGGCGTCAATGTTCCAATACGCTTGCAAGCGCCAGGAGGAACTCACGCTTCCTCGAGCATATCAACGAGTACTCGACCGGATCCCTTGCTATCTTTGACTCTGCGGATTCTTTGGGATTGATGAACTCGACTGGCTCACTTGCCGTACTCGACACTACGGCTTCCACCACTACGAGGTCTCCTGGACTCTTCGGCACTAGTGAGGAAAGCAAGGACTCATTGTTCATGTCTACCCAGACGCCCACAACAGGACCTACCACGCCGAGCAAGACACCACCTACGGGAAGCAGTACACCTTCATCCAGTGGGAGCAAGCTGCCCGTATGGAGACACCTGCATAGTCCTGATGCTAGTCCTGACGCCTTCAAAGTTTCCCTACGCAACCCTGGGGGAATCATAAGGCGGTTGTCGCCGAGCCCTGAAAGCTTCGTACGAAAGCTTCGGAACTTGGGTTCTCGTGATGGGAGCGAGAATGCAAGTCCTGAGAAGCCGTCTGGGATTCCTATTATGCAGCGTAGGATGACGATCAGGGGGCGAGTGAGGAAGTGAGTGGATGTGTCAGTAGTAGATTTCGGATTTCGATCGACTGCTACTATTTTTTCTTCTCCTTGTTTGTTGTAAATACTCGAAGGCCATGTCATTTTTCCTTTCTTCGATACACTTGCAAGTAGTTGATGGTCTGGAATTATTTTTGAGTTATGTGCTTCTGAGGAAGGTCGAGGGAGGCGCGGCTCTGAGTCGGCGGCATCTGCCGCACCTTCTGTTCACTGAGTTACGCGGGCTTGAGGTTTGCTTTTTAACCAGGCACATGCGTAGCTCGCATTACTCTTTCTCGTACTCTCATTAAGCCCACGAGACGATGTCGAAGCTTCAAAGGGCTGCACTCATCAGGTTTCCGGATATTGCTTTTCATGATAAAAAAAGGCCTCGCCAGTCCACACCAGGATTCATACCTATGTGCCCTATATGGAGTCCCGGCACCCAACACTCAGTTGCATGGTCAAGAAGCTCTCCGTTCATCGTTCTTCGGTCATACGGGTTACTTTTTCTGCTTTGTATCGCTTCAGGAAGTTTACATGCGCCATAGCTAGCTATGATGCTCACTGCGACACTAATGTGGGCGGGAACCATGCCTGGAGAATATCTACATCTGTTTTTACACGCCGACGCTCTCGGCTGTAATCAGAGCTCGACAGACGATGAAGACACATGTAGTCCCGTCTTTTGTGGTGATCGGACAAGGTCAACAAGCTGGAGGGCAAATGAAATTGCTCAATGGTACCGACAACGAACTCGATCTTGTTTGTGGACCTATTCTATCGAAGGACAACGCTATTATTCTGTTTGGCAATGAAGCCGCATAATTATGTGCCCTCGAAGCTTTGCGGCACAGAGCAACCTTACAGTTCACGTTTCGCCATAGGAGACAAACCCCTCGCGCTACTTAACATCATGGAGAACTACACTCTGCACGCCGAGTTTCACACTCCTATCGGCGATAAGGAGATGCTCGACGAGATCATTCACTTCACAGCTGGTCTCCAGTTTTTTTAGGTTTCAAGAGCGTCATTGGCACGCTGTGGGTGGTCAACGACACTGAAACAACACCTTGTGGAAGCTTTCTACGAGCAGATGTTCGAGAATTTGGGGGAAGGTCGTGTTACGGACTGTACGATGGCAGCCCGGGCACTTAAACATGTAACATGCACCGTGAAAAAGAAAGTGCTGCTCGGGCAGATGATTATTTTTATTCACATTGGTGTGTAGAATCAAGCTGCGCCTGCTTAGGAATGCAAGTTGATCTCCCTTCGTTAACGTATGCTTAATGTAAATTAGTCTTGTGCTCTGATTTTTAAGAGGCCGTACTATCATATTTTTTTGCATGCAGCGTGCCAGGACATGTGATATATAGTAAGTAATTGACTACTACTACCGAACGTAAGTAGCCACTTATAGAAGGAACGATTGCTTTCCTTCTGCTCAGTCAATACAAGTATCTTAGGGGAGATAAAGAAAGCTGCAGTCATGCATATGCTAACGTCCATCAGGACATCGAATGGGAAGATCGAGATCATTGATCAATTGCTCTTGCCACATACGACAAAATACGTAGAGATCACCTCTATCGAACAGGCTTATGATGCTATCAAAGACATGAAGGTCAGAAAAAAAACATATATCCACTTCACGGTTTCTGATGAATAATAGATTCGTGGTGCTCCGGCCATTGCATCATTGGCATCACTAGCTTTTGCTGCTTACATTCAAACCGGTCTCGACAGTGCTCAGCCACCAGCCTTCCTCCTGTCACCCGAATCACTTTCCGCCCATGTGATCCATAAACTCGACTATCTCTCTGGCGCACGTCCGACAGCTGTTAATTTAGGTACAGCAATTCGCCGCCTGAAAGCGGTCCTTCAGTCTTCTACAGATGCTGGAAAATCCGTTGGACTGATCGCAGCAGATCTGATTAGCGAAGGGAAACTTATAGCCGATGAAGATTTCGATCGTAATAAAAGAATGTCAGAGCACGGCGGTGAATGGCTTGCAGAACTTGACAGGGGATATGGAGGCAGTGGTCAAGAACTTAATATCCTCACCGTGTGCAACACGGGCTCCCTTGCGACATCGGTATAGCATCTCTTGGTTAATCTATCCATTTTTGACAGCGATAAATGTGTCACAGGGCTACGGTACAGCACTCGGGCTGATTACCTATCTCCACGAGCAAAAGAAGCTAGGTAAAGCATACTATACCCAAACCGCTCCATACCACCAAGGGTCCCGGTGAGCCGCCGATCAGTCATTGCATCGCCAACAGCTTTCGCTAAGGCCTCGCACCTCACAGCCTTACGGCACTAGAGCTCAAGACAATGCAGATCCCCTCAGTGATGATTTGTGATACAATGGTTGGTTCTCTATTTCAGCATCATAAGATCCATGCCGTCGGTAAGAACCATTTGAGGTCAACATTTCTTCCGATCGCCTGATCCTTTCCTAGCGGTTGGTGCCGATCGGATAGCGAGGAACGGAGACACCGCGAACAAAGTACGTCATACTTGTTAGCCAAACTCAGAGTTGTCAGAGGTTATTATTACCCTTGTAGATCGGGACTTATAACGCGGCCGTACTTGCGGCACGGCATAAGATTCCATTCATTGTTGTTGCCCCGATTAGCACTGTCGATCTCGATACCCCAGACGGCTCAAGCATTCCGATCGAGCACCGCAAGCCGCTCGAAGCTTGCCTCGTGCGCGGGGCTGTTTATCCCTTTGATGTCGATGCCGAAGGAAAGGTCAGGCAGGAGACTGTCATGATTACCCCGAGTGGCCTCGAGGGGATATACAATCCAAGCTTTGATGTCACCCCAGCTGAATTAATTACCGCGATTGTCACAGAGAAGGGCGTCGCAACTAGGAAAGAGGGCGAGACTAGTTTCGATCTAAGTGGGGTCGTATGATCTTACGAGATATCAACTAGAAGTAGCATGTACATGTACTCACACAACGGTTCAGAAATTCAGCTTAAACAGCCAGTGTTTATTGTTTCCGAAATACTCTCAAGATCAGTGTTGCAGTCTGTATCTCAATGTGAGCATCCAGAAAGCACGGCTGACCGTAAATTTCTCCCGTGAAACTTGTGTGAAACAGACTTAAGAAATGGGCAGTGCCGTAAACTCGTGTCCGACAGCGCCTGTTGGTTGACAAAATTTATTTTTCTCTGTATCACAAGCCAATCCAGTTCATGACGTATCACTGACTTGTCCCGCCGGGTGATGATTTCAACCTTTCGCCTGATGCCTGAACATCGTGGATCAGACTGGGATCGTCTGCCACCCATGGCACACCCTTTAAAAACCTGTAATACCGTAAATGTTCCTTAATTTGCTACAGAAATCGGATGACCAGCTCTGAGCTAGCTAATTCGACTAGGTATATTCCAATCGAATTAGGTGTTCGATACAGATGCCGGAGTTTAGTAACGACTGCGGCGCTTGATAACGATGTGTATAGGCCAAGGCATGGTGATGCAGAAGTCGACAAAGAGACTCAGGGGACGTGAGTGCGGCCACGCACAAGTTCGATGTCAGTTTACATACCAAGACAATGATGACCAGCCGAACATGATTAATCATGGCCATGACAGTAGAAATGGTCGTACACCAAATAAGGCAAGTGCTGTAATTAGAGAATCACATGTAAAAGGGGGTTTGCTGGTAGTCCATGCTTGTCCCACCCCTCCTTACTCGCAACTCATCATGATTGACTATCTTCTAGGCAGACCAAGTCCATCTTGGAAACGCACTCAGGTAGCTACAACCATAACCTCGCGCATTCCTTTGCTTATCAGTGAATACAAGGTCTTTCTCGTCATCATCTTCTGGATTTGGCGGTTGGTTTACGGTAGCCCCAATGCTCCACGGTTTCTGTGGCTCAGAAGAGCCAATAGGCATTTGCGTGAGTGGGGTGTATGCATGTTCATAGCCTCCAATTTCATATTGCCTTTAGAACGTTTCTCGCCCTGGCAGATCATCGTTAGTACACTTACTGCGGTGTATGCAGCTCGAAATTTGGACAAGATTACCGGTTTTGGAGGTAAGTTTAGAGAACGCTATCAGAAATTGATTAGTCTCATTTAAGCTTGAAATCTCGCAGCGCCGGAACCTCTGGCTCGTTTAGTGAGTCCCTGCCCTTTGTTGGTGTTTGACAGTGTCATAACCATTGGAATGCAGTACTCGCCCTCATACTATCGTGCTACATGGATTGCGATTGGCCTTGATGCTGGATTTGCTACTGCTATCTCCATACGCCCTAAATGGCTTAAAGACTTTTGCTCTATCTTATTCTCCATCTATTATATCATCTACGCCAACGAAGCTGATGAAAAGGTACTTCTTGTGCATGCAACTGATATCAATACTATTCACAGAACACGCATGTCCGTAGATCCGTAGGTACAGAGCTGTTCCGACCGTCGAGATGCTCAGAACTACTTGGGAGAAGACTACTAACCCATATGTAAGACATCCTCGCACTGCTTTGACGCTTGTAGTATTAAAACATTTCTAGCTCCGTTTAATTGCGCGGACGCCGCAAATGTCTCTATGCAAGAAATTTCTACTGCCGAGGCCTCCCACGTCGACATACGACCGTCCTTTAAAGGTGCATGTGTACTTTGCACCACCTGCTCCTCAGCTTCAGCAAGCCACGGATCTCATACTTGATTTCCCTGGTGGTGGGTTTGTCGCAATGACGCCGGAACATCACGATGAGCGACTGCGCTCCTGGGCGCTACGCACAGGCAAGCCAGTACTCTCCGTTGACTACGGCAAGGCACCAGAATGTAATATCAACACAATGTGCCTGTCTTCATCTTACTAACTAACGTACTAGATCCATACCCCTTCGCGATTGATGAATGCTTTGATGTCTATCGGGCTATTGCTATGTCTACTGGACGATGTATTGGCATGTCTGGTAAGAAACTTAACATTATATTGACAGGAGACTCTGCGTACGTCAACTCATTTGTAGTTGCATGCCGCTCATTCACGGTGTTTTAGCGGTGCAACACTTGTAGTGGGCGTGGTGATCAAGATTTTACATCACAATGCCGCGCTCCCTGCTACCACAGCTCCTCTTCCCGCACCTGTCGCGCTTGTGCTGAGCTATGCAGCTCTAGACTTCAATTTTACCTCGTGGATGTCCCCTGAGAACCTCCAGGTCCTGCGCTCGGAGCAATCCTCGGGTAATCTTCCGGGCATACATGAGTTAGCATCGCAGAAAGACCACTTGCAACATGTCAGCCCGCTGAGCATGGTGGGGGACCGCAAACACGGGTCCGGACGACGAAAATTACATAGACGCAGGAGCTGGAAAGATGCGCTATTGGATTTTACAGGGGTAGACGCTGACGCCGTTAGGTCGAAGCAGGTACCAAGTCGGCACCACTCCACCTTGGGGATGAAGAAAAAGAGCTCCGTGGTATCGTTTGGAACGCGCGCTAGGAAAGAGAGCGCGCGAACGAATCCAATGCGACACGACGATAGTGGTTTTTGGGCGGGTTCTGAAAGCGACGAGGACGAACCTGTGAGAGAGGAGGACCGGCCACTTGAGATCGTGTACGATATGTGTACCCTGAATGTGTCGGCAGCAGCGATGGTGCACACTTGCATCAGACGCTCGAGAAGCAGCAGGAACAACTCTCTGCAGCTGTGGCGGAGGCTGACAATAAAGCGACGTCTACCAAAGGCGAAGACAAGAAACGCGAACTGATTGGCACCCGATTGACAATGACTAGCCGCACGGGGTATTTCCAGGACAGAATCATACCTCCCAGCATGGTACGTACTTTGATCAGTCTTCAATCCCATTCGGTATTTATTAAACTCGACAGATGCGCGCCATGGCTATCCTTTATATTGGTCCCCACCACAACCCGGATTTTGCCACTGATTATTTTATCTCGCCTATCCTCACACCTGCGAAACTTCTAGCGCAGTTCCCCCCGCTTCTGATGCAATGTGGTGAAAAGGATCCATTTGTGGACGACACCGTGATTTTTGCGGGGCGTGTCCGTGAGGCCAAGCGTGCGCGTAAAATTGAGCTGGAGCTTGCACTTTCTGGGAAGAGTGCCCGATTTGGGGAAACGCTCCAAATGAGCTCCGCGCACATCGAAAGTGACGAGGGGCTGGAGAAGTTGAAGAAAGAGAGGGACCAACTTGCGAAAGAAGCGGAGGACGATTGGGTGCAGATGGTGTTGTTTTCTGATTGGAGCCACGGGTACCTTCAGATGATGTCCCTGATGAGTGAAGCACGGGCTGTGGTAGAGGATCTGGCCGACTGGATGGAAGATGCGTTTGTGAGGTACAGCGGTCAAGAAAACGGCAGTCCTTGTGGCAGGGTTGAGGTCAACCCTGTTGATCATGCTGGAACAAAGAAGATCCGGTCACGGAGAAATTCGCCGCAATCATCGACTGTTGGTCCGAAACGGGTGAATGGGGAGGCACACACCGATGGGAGCCCTAGCCCATTTACATCTGAAACGGAGACGGACGACTCGGGTATCACGTTTGTGGCTCGGAAGCGGCTTACTATGACGCAGGGAAGCTCTGTGGGCTCTACACCTCCGATGAGTTCGCGAAGGGGATCTGGAGAGCTTAGTGAGACGTTGTTGCAAGCGCAGAAGATGGGGCAGTTACGTCGTGGGGATGAGAAGCAAATTGACACGGCGACTAGTACGACGCCTCAGAGCGGTACGCCTCGTGGAGGGAACGGAAAGATAGGACAACGGATCACGGAGAGTGAATTATTGAGACGGAGGAGGTTGTTGGATGCACATATATTTGAAGGACAAGGTAGTTGATAGTAAATCTAATTATGTTCACGGGATGGGAAATAACGTTGTGACCGGTCGGGTGAAAATGGGAACCGGCGGCTGTGGCGATGAGAGCTGTGCTGACACAGCCACTCTTTGAGAGATCTTTGTCAATCCGAATCGCAGAAGTCAGTCCTAAAGGTCTGCTTGCACTGGATTTTTATTAATTTTCAAGTTCTAATCATTTTAAGAAAAAAAAACTTGGTTCTGGAGAGAGGCTGTGCATTCCCTTCAAAAGGCGCCAGGGAGAGCGCTCCAGATCCAGTCATCCGTTCCCCACCCGTTGTCCTGAAAAGTCTCAGCATCCGCTTCTGTTCAGAACTTCCGTTGATCTTTACAACCTTCAAATCAAAGAAGCCCTCTATTCCCTCGCCTAAATAATAAAAAGGTCCTATCAATCATGAACCTGGATTCGACACGGTCGAACTGGTCGACATCTCCCACATCCACTCAGCAACAATTTCAACCTTATAACAATCATCATTTTATTTCAACAGAACCCATGTCTCAACCACCACAGCAATCTTTTCCTCCAGGTGCAGGTCCAAATGACACCAGTGCTCCACCAGACCAATACCCTCCAGGTCACGCGTACAGGAGGAGTCAGTCAAACTCTCCGTTCCGACACACCACACATCCAACACCCTATCCACAACCAAACATTCCACCAATTCAGCCTCAACCGGAGTTAAAGCAGGAGTCATACTACACCCCAACATCAGCAGAGTTATACACTCACGCCCAGGTCCTCGCATCCGGTGCGGGAGAGGGGTCGGCTTCCGCCCATTACACTTCCCCAACCGCAATAACTCGTCTCCCCCCTATTTTACAAGTAGAGAAGAAGCAGGTCACGACATCAGCAACACAGGCTGCAAGTGCAAGCAGGCGGAGGAATGAGGCCCATTTCGCCTGTCCAGTTCCAGGTTGCGGGAGCACATTTACGCGTCGATTCAATCTCAGAGGTGCCCAATTACACCATATGTTTGTATTCTGTAATAAATCATCATCCACCAGGTCATCTTCGATCTCACACCGAAGAACGCCCATATGTGTGTGAGTACCCCGATTGCAAGAAAGGCTTTGCAAGACAACATGACTGCAAGTAAGTCTTACTCACTGACCCTTCCTCATAATACTCTCTTCTACTTCTCAATCATATAATTGGCTTCGGCCGACTGTTGTTCCTTATCGCGTCATCGATCCTCTCCCCATTATTGACTCACCTACGACATGCTCACGTCATGATCTGCACAGGCGACATCAAGCACTACACGCCACGCGTTCACAATCCAACATCTGTCAGGGCTGTAAAAAGACCTTCAGCCGCCTGGATGCCCTAAACGTAACTTCTTCATATCGTTATCAACGCTCATTCGCTAACGTCGATCCCTATTTGCTTCCATTCAGCGACATCGTAAGTCGACATTCCCGGAGTTCTCGACAATTAAATACTTACTATTCCGCGGTCTAGTTCGTTCCGAGGGTGGTTCTGAATGCAGACAGATTGTAGAAGCCCAGCAGCAGGCTGCAGCACATGCTCAAGCGATCACACAATCTCAGGGTCCTCCGCTACCTGGCCACCCTCCCGGCAATCAACCGGGACCCAGTTCAAGCACTTCCAGTTAATCAACTCCAGTGGTTGACATGCATGGACTCCCAGAACACTTTTAGATATTTCTCCTTCATGTCTTCATGATTCCTCAGGATGTAAGATTATCTGAGCTATAGGCTCATCATCATTCATTCCCACCGATGTACACACTCTTGTATCGATCCCAACTTTTTTTCTCCCTTCAGTGGGCTTACAGTTAATATACTTTTGCTCTTAATGTTACCCCCATTATACTGCGATCCGTGGGAACTTGCAGAAACACGTGAGAAATGTACTCTCCCCGGCTATTACAGGGTGTAGATCAGGTGCATGACTTGGGACTCGTCCAGCACTTCTCTTCCTCTTCCATCACGATGTCGCTTGCAATGCTTGTCGGTGGAGCTGAATGCGGGCCGTCAAACCCACTTCAGAGCCTATCCAAAAGATTCGACCAAGACCGCGGAGTGCAGCAGGTGCGTGCGGGGTTATGGGAAGTCTTAGGGTCATCAACCATTCTACCCCACTGCAGGATTTCATCGGTGGCACGCGTGCAGGTTCATCTCGAGAGGTAAGAATACAATCTCTTAATCAGATGAACCCGATAACATCCCACACACAGGTGTTCCGCACCCAGCAAGCTACTTCACCAGAACTGCAACAGCATGCAGAACGTTTCTTTAATTCGACGCCTGCACCCCCGACCCAACTTGTAGTCCCTCAGCCTTTTAATCTAGCTGGATTAAACGATGCTCTCCCACAAGTTCAAGCATCTGTTCAATCACCGCAGACCCAGAACCCATTTCCCTCGGGCTGGGCCAGCGATTTTTTGGTACAGCAGGTGCAGACACCTGCATCTATGATCAAGCATGTCGAGGCTCAGCAAGATCGAATGAAGAGTCCTATTTCTGCGCCTATGAGTCCAGGACTGCAAGGTGCGTGCTTGTGGTGGGTACAATGAATATATGCGGAGTTCAAGTGTTAGGTAGTATACCCTGGAACGCCTCGCATGCAGGTTATAGAATGAGTCCAATGTCGGGCATGATGGCCGCAGTCCCGATGCCAATGCAAAGATCTGCTTTGCAGACTAATCGTGCGTTTTATAGTTTGATCGAATGTAATCAAACGCTCATAGATGGTCTGAAGAGGTATCATGGGACAGAGAGTTTCAATCTCAAGAAATGAGGTTAAACGCGCATGTCGCCCCAGCTGCGGAATCCGATCACGTTGCATTGAAGCCTGCTTCGAAAGATGACATGGCACAGTTAGCAGCACGCGTCATTGATGCCGTCCAGGGCGAGCAGAATCCCAAATTTCACCACAGTCAATTCATGAGCCTTATGCGTCAGTTCCGGGACGGCGAAGTCATCGTTGAAGAAGACAAGATCGTTCCGAGCGAAAGTAGCACTACTGCGCGTGTAAACGTCAAGGGAAAGGGGCGTGCAGTTGACATTCCTGTGCGAGAAGTTCAGGAGCCCGTCCGGGTACACTCAGTACCAGCGAGTTCCATCCAGGGTTATCAAGGTTCTTTCGAATTAAGCGAGGCGTATCGCCACCAACGCAATAACAATTATGCCGACGATGCTTACTTTCAACAAGAAAACGAAGAGTTCTCGAAGTACTGGGACGCTCATTATACAGGACCTGTGCCCCACACTATATCCGCGGGCGAGCAAGGTTCATGGCATGAACTCCAGCGCGATTGGGATGCCTTTGAAGCCACCTCCACGGGAATTAAAGCCTTGACAAATTACCAATTTCAGGAGAACAATCCTTATCTCCTGGGCGATTCGTCAAGGACGCGTCATCATGGAATGCACGTGAGTGAAGTTCAACGTGGCCATGATGTTAGTCACAAGACGTTTTTTCTGTTCACATGTATGCTGACTCCGCTTTCATCTCAAATAGAGCGTGCTCGAACTAGAAGCGGTTGTCCAGCGCGATGTGAACAACGCCGCAGCATGGTATGAGCTTGGCGTCAAACAACAGGAAAACGAACGTGAAAAGAAGGCTGTGCAGGCCCTGGAACGTTCCGTTGAACTCGATCCGACACACCTTGGCACATGGCTTGCCCTCTCCGTTTCTTACACGAATGACAATAACCGCACGGGCGTTTACAACGCAGTTAAAGAATGGGCGATCCGCAATCCCAAGTACGAACATATGGTACAGAACGCCACATTGACATCGGCTAAATATGTATCCCCTCCCGATTTCGAGGCGTTGATAGAGTGTCTTATCAGTATGGCACGGAGTACTGACGAAGTGGGAGGTGTGGATGCGGATGTGCAAGTGGCACTTGCTGTGTTACTAAACACGACAGATGTACGTGCTTACGGCCTTCGATCGTTTCCATCTGTTCCGAGAGTCATGGACTGATTACCTATCCTGTCAATTGATTTCATAGGAATATGTCAAGGCGCAAGATTGTTTCCTGACGGCATTGGCGGTCCGTCCGAATGTGAGTGTTTCAAAGTTGAGTTTATGGGCGCGCGACTGAAGCATATTATTACTAGGATTGGCTTCTGTATAACAGAGTGGGTGCCACGATGGCAAATAATGGGCAGGCCGAGGAAGCACTTCAGTTCTATTATCGGGCACTGGATCTAAACCCTGCATATATACGAGCAAGGTATTGTGACCCTATCCTCATAGTTGGTTGTTATGGGTGCTGAGTGAAACGCGTTATGTGGTAGGTTCAACCTGGGTATTTCCTGCATTAATCTTCGGGTGGGTCTTGCTTGTTCCGGGAAGCTTTGATGCTGTGCTGTTGTTGACATTAGTTTGACAGCGGTATGAGGAGGCGCAGTCCCACATTCTCGATGCGTTAGTTCTGCAAGATAGCGATGGCGTGGCGGATGATAGTGGCATGAATGACAAACGTGGTGTGACAAACTCCACACTGTGGGATAGCCTCAAGACGACTTGTTTGCACCTTCAGAGGTCTGACCTTGCAGCGTTATGTGATAAGAGAGACTTGGATGGTAAGTTTTGGGACACCATCAGATGTTTCCGATATGGGGCTGACGACAGTGTGATGTACAGGATTTAGGAATGCGTTTGAAAGCGGGCCCTGATAAGCCGAGTCCCCGACGGACGATATGTGCCCTAATGTGTCCTGTTATTTCGTACTCTGTTTTACTGCGTCTAGCACTGCTTCATCTGTATTTTACCTCACGTGTATTAACTGGAACCTATGAGGCTGTCAGTTTGGAGTAGTCTTCGGGCTAGAAGCGTTTGAATCAAACCTGATGTGCTCGGACCGGTGCTCGGCCCATGAATAGCTGTGCCCGGGGCAGGTATACCGAGCCGTCTATTCCTCTCAGCCACCAATAGCTGGAACCACGGCAAGGTCTCTGGGTCATTAGGCTGGATTGGTTGCTCAGCCACTTTTTTCATTGCGAGGATAGTCTTTTGCTTGGCTTCGAAACGAGACTTTTGGTCTACCACGAGGTCTCGGATTTCTTGGACGTCAGCATCTGACATTGGAATCATGGTAGGTGTGCGTCTGATCATAGTGTAGTCGATGGGAATAGCACGCTGGATAATCTGTACAGGCCCGAGTGCTTAGCACTAGTTTGACGATGTAGACAATGATGAGCGGTGATAATGAGGTATCAAATAAGCGCCCTCAATTTGGCGCTGACAACAAAGACGTGTTCACCACTGTTTGGTCACTAAAACCGACACGCGAAGCGGAACACAGCAGCAGCGCAGCAGAAAAACCTTGAACAAATACCGTGCCCGCAGACCAACCACAGACCTTACTTTCAACCAACTACCATCCAACCCAAACTATTAAACAGTTATGGAAGCTGCTATTCGTGTCGCTGATGCTCTCAAGTCTTTCCGGGTACGTCGTACTCTGCATGAAAGGAAAATTTGCCTTCCGACGCTCAAGAATTTTATTCATTGACAGGAAACCCGCTTGAGCACACTCAGAACTCCTGCAGAGTTCTTTGATATCCATCGAATTTCAAGACCTGCAGATTTTAACACGGCAGTATCGGTGCGTTTCGTGTGGTTGTTGCATACCCCGAGGACGATGCTGAGACCGAACTCGCAGCGACTTACATATAACACTCGGTATTTCTCAGGGAACTACACTCTCATCGTAGCTGCTCTCGCAGTATATTCCCTGTGCGTAGCAGTCCCAACCCTGAACCCACAACTAATATCGTCCCCTCACCTAGTATTGCAAGTCCCCTCCTTCTCTTATCCCTCATCTTCCTCTTTGGAGGCTTTGCTGCCATCAACCGTTTTGGTGCGACTCCTCTATTCTCTTTCTCCTTTGATTTTGGGCTGATTTTGGGCTTTAGAGGAAGTCTATGGACAATTCGTCACTCAAAAGTCCCTCTACACAGGGCTTTTCGTGGTCGGCATCCCCCTCTTGTGGTTCTCCTCTCCTTTCATGACTTTGTTCTGGCTCATTGGAGCATCTGCATTTCTCATTCTCACCCACGCATGCTTGATCGAACCAGGTGTCGAAAGTGAATATGCAAATATCGAAGGAGCAGTGTAAATGCCATGGGGAAAGAGAATGAGAACTGAGCGTGGTTGTTGTATTCCTTCGAGATTGGACTATTTCTATTGTTTTCTCGAATCCCAATTCCGGCCGCTCGTTGATCCCTCGTCTTTCAATATATGGGCGCGTATTTCCGTTGCTCATAAAGACGTGCATAGACTGTACGAATTGGAATGAGACGGACTGAAAACTAGCTTCATTGTCTACGTTTAGGATACCGGTACTAGAATAATGATTTTATGATGACAGTGGCAGCGCAAGTGAGATCATGTGCAATATAAGAAGTTCATAATGTAATGTACAGAGTTAAGCCATCCTCTCCAAGGAATGCAGTATCTCGATACAAATGTAGATAGATAGACAGATAGATAAGGGAATCAATATCATCTAGGTGGGACATCGGGTCATAGGAGCGGTAACCATTGACCTGTTGCGTGCCTGTCGTCAGTATATCGATGGGAATCAAGAGATCACTTGCCTATGACTATGCTGGGAAGATCAAAGATGTCCCTTCGTATTGAGAAACAAAAGGTCGAGGGGATCGGCGCGCCGGAGGGCTTGAGGAGAACGCAATGCGAGTATACCGATTTGGTCGTATTCTCAAAGGCATGAGAGGCGAAGTTTTCCCAGTATTCGACGACGGATTGATTTTCGAATAGCTGGCACCAACGCTGGATCAACGTGATTTCGAGAAAGAGACAAAGTATACAGACTTCGTATATGTACTTGCGCTTTCCGACAAGGTCTTCCAGACGCCATTCAGTGAGCATGCAGAACTCAGGTGCGACGAGACAGATTTCGCCGGTTCGCCTCCAGACCACCGTTGGTGTGCCGCTGTACGATATAAGCTTTTCGAGTTCCTACATGGGGGATCAAAACCAGCGTCATGTAAGAATAAAGTAATACACGTACGAGCAGTGATCTTTGGAAACATTTCTCGACGAATACTTCGTCCTCATCCGTCATAGGCATTTGCAGAGCGATAAGCGATGGTCGAAAGATGGCGAGTGCTCGGACAATGCGTAATATGTCATTCTTTTCAAAACTGAACGTTCGAGGGTCCCAGGGGCAATCCAACCCAAGATAATATTAGGATTTGACCACACAGGCCAGGAGCTCTCTACTTCTCAGCACACAGAGTATACGCACCGACTCGGGAGATGCTTCATGAGAAAGTGGTAACCTTCAGTATAATCATAAGGCGCTGTGACGTTGATGGTCTGAATGGGAAGATGAGCCAGGCACATGATGAGAAAGCAGACACGAACAGAATGATGATCACCGCTTTGAATCGTAGGTGATGGTGACGTTCGCGACGAAGACTCGTAGGAGTGAGAACGAGTATCCCTCGATGGCGTGCGCATTACGCTTGAGGAACCGAGACTGATAACACCACGCGAATAATGCGGTGCAAGCGGGTTATATGGAGCCGATAATTGCGGCTGTGGTTGAGCGTAAGAGTATTGCGGCGCTGGCGACGAAGTTCGACATAGTGGCGCAGGATAGCTTGCAAGAAAGGTTGGCGACGGTTGAGAAGTAGACAAGCTATCCGACTGCGGCATCGACAACTGAGGCGGATCGCCGAACGGGGAGCCAAAATTGCTTGGCGCTCCCTGCATATACTGGGGTTGTGCGTGAAGTGGCTCAGGAGACCACGCCGAATTTGGAAGTGGCTGGGAAACCTGTTGCTGTTGTTGTTGCTGCTGCTGTTGTGACGGAGATGGTGCTGGACCGGATTCCGGAGGACTTGGATTACCCAAGATTGCAGAAAGTATGGAGTACTCTAGGTTGGCGGCCTCGGAGCCGAACGTGAAATTGGGATCGAACGACACATTAAAGAGTGGGTCGTGCGATTGGAAGGTTTCAGCTGCAAGCAGTGTCAGAATATCACACGACTAGACAAAAGAGCCAAGACGTGTTACATGTCGGTTGGAGCGCGGGTGCGGGCTCTGAACTCGATTCAGGAACTCTGCCCTTTTTCTTAAGTTGTTCTGTCATGGACACGTGATCAAAATTAACCGGGCGAGCGGAGATACCAAGAAGCACGCACGAAGTTCGTCATCGTCGAGGAGATACTTGGCTTTCTTGCGGTGACCTTCTGTACATGTACTTGCAATTCCGCGCTTGACACAGCGCTGACAAGGACGAGCTGTTAGAAGAAACATGTAAGGTTTGACATGTGCAAGATCCGGGCAACAAACAGGTGACCTACAATCATCACATGTTAAATGTGCTTTCTGACAGTGCGCGCAGGCACGATTTGCTTTCTTTTTCTTGGGACCGTCCCTGCTTTTGCGGGGAGCTTCGGCCTCATCATCGCGTCTGCGTTTCTTCACAACGACTTTGTCTTTTTGTGTGCGGTAATGAGAAGGGCCTGCCTGTGGTTCTGGAGTGACCATCTGGGAAGGATTGACGTATACGCTAGATGGTGAAGGAGCAGCAGTAGTCACAGGGGATGGGTCGACCAAAGTAGTCATTTCTGAGGATGTAGTGGCGAGTGCGGAATCTGCTGCCATGAGAATTGCTATGAACACATATAATGATCAGCAAGGTAAACTGTTAAAGACTTGTAAGAAGTAAGAGGAAGACAGTCGGTTGGAAGCAAGGGAAACTTTGACGTCGGCCGTAAACCGATGAGCGACTGATATCCTTCCTTTTACATCAATTCTAATTATTGCCAAGTACATACTTATAATATTTTTTTACTATTTCACTTACATAATCAAAAAAATAGCCGTAAACCGGTCGGCATTGCCGATGACGGTCCGGATTAATTTCGGCTTGACACTTCGTTTAACATGAGGCAAAAATTCTATAGGTTCAAGGACAACAAACCATCAGAACTTGGTCTGGTAAACTTGAGCTCTGCTTTAACTTGGACATGCGTAGCGACGTGACTGCTGTGAAACAATTATTCACTGGGCTGGTTTCTTCATTAGGTCGTGAAACCGCTACACGCGAACTCAAATGGATGAAGCAAACTCTGATTGCATCTCATTCTCCCACACTTCCCGCGATGCTCCAGCGCAGGTTGAGTGGAGAACCACTCCAATATATCTTGGGTGTGCAGGCTAGTTCATCAAACCCATGTGCAAATAAACTCATGCAGATCTCTAGGCACTACGCCATTTGGTCCACTTGACCTGCTAACAAGGCCTCCAACATTAATACCTCGTCCTGAGACTGAAGACTGGACTCTTCGTCTTGCGGATATGTTAACGCCGACCCCCCTCCGTCCGCTAACCGTCCTCGATCTATGCACTGGCACCGGTTGCATACCTCTTTTATTATGTCATCTCTGGCCACCAGGCAGCACTCGTGCTTATGGTATAGACGTATCTCAAGACGCGATCCGCTTAGCCGCAGATAATGCTGCACGTTGCAACATTCCATCATCCCAGCCCTCGTCCCTGACTCCATACAGTCAAAACGTATTTATTCCAATGCTTGGTGATCTCCGTGATCCAGACGTCTTCAAAAGCCTCCTGCCGCCATTCGATATTATTACGGCGAATCCTCCTTATATTCCAAAACGAGAGTACGACGAGCTTCCTGTATCAGTCAAGGATTACGAAGATCCTGCCGCATTGCTGGGAGACCTCCCAGATTCCGAGGAACAGGATGGCCTGTCCTTCTACCGTCTCATTTCACAACTTCTCAGACAAAAAGGGATGCTGCGTGACGGTTCAATCGTGGCATTGGAAGTCGGCCGAGCTCAAGCAGATGCGGTCGAGGGTATACTCCAGCAGTCAGCAGGCTTGCGAAACACGCAAGTATGGAAAGACCCATGGAATGTCAAACGTGTCGTCCTTGCACGCGCTTGAGGATACTCACATCCACGTGTCATGTCCTCGAGTGATCGACGCTCTTCTCATCTCCAGATGCGCGTAATAATAGCAATCTTACTCCGTTTCTGCTGTGACTCATGACGTCCGAGATATGAAGTCTCTACCGCTTCCCTCGACAACGACGTGGTTGTCCCATGATCGAGAGAAGCCTAACTGCTGGTTTATTCTCCGAACGGAAACTCTTCTCCGGATATTTCACGGCGACCACACGTGGCATTTTGCCCACACGCGGGGAATACATACGGGAATCTCCCGCTGTGAAGGGCGAGGCGCCATGACAATGACAATGATTGCACGTGGCGCTTATGTGGCAGAGTAACCGCACTTGATTGGCGATGATTGTCGTTTGATCATGCTGACTGATTTGAAGGTTCGCAATTCAATCACTCAGGAGGTTTGTAATTCTGATTGATTTGATGTCACATTCGCAGAAAGCCGAAGTGTAAATGCTATGGTGAGTGCTCTCACCGTGAGCAGCTTGATGAAAATTTTGATCAGCCCCATGCAGACCCCTCGCCTTGCGCATTTCCGCCGTGTCTGATTTCACCTTACCTCACCACATTCCAAAGCCCCAGCAAGTGCCACATGTTCGTCTGAAGATGTCTATCCCATAGTTGGTGTTGAAATTTGGCATGCCCCTTGCTGTTCTCCCGATCGGTGGAGGTGGAGAGATTTTTCCCAGGAGGGAAGCGAGAGCGAGTCAGAATATATGTCTGATGAGTCCTCGGGGAGGAATGATGGATCAATACCTGGACAGCAACGTGCTGTATTCTAGGCTTCAGACCATCGACTTCGACTCCAGAATGCAGAGGACGACATTGGTGTGGACCTCCTTGTAACATTTGCGTTCCGCAGCTTCGTCGCCAACCCTTCAGTATCAAGCAAACAGCACATCTTGGTCTGAAGGATAGCATACGTGATCCCTCAGATGATCTTAAGCCTTTGGTATCGGAAATACGGCGAAGACAGCCAGTTCTGGCAGTTCCACCTGTGGTCATGGCGCATGCCAGGGATATTGGTGGGGTGCGCTTCTAATAGGGTGAGCTGGTGTATGGGCACTCTTCTATCAGTCAAGTGCGCGCTACATGTTCACACCCAAAGAGCGTTCATCGCGATATATATTATTATTGTTAACCTGATTGCATGGTGGATTGCCTCATAACCGTGCATTGTTCACTCCTAAATGCGAGCTACATGTGCTCGCATCGAGAACGGTTGGACGCTGATCAAGTTTTAGTATGTACTTCACGTAACCTTCCTAATCGACACATGTGAGCGCTAAAAGTTACAACCTACCCTGCGAGGATGAACTAGCAGCATGCTGAGTAGCGGAAGTCCCTCGCCGTCAAATTTTAACCCATGCTGACTAACGATGTGCTCTAACCTCCTTCCGGTGCGGTCCAACCGAATTCAGATTTTAACTTGAAGCTTCACGAGGTTAGCTATAGCTCCTTCGATCACCTTGATCATTATTATGGACTAGTATGAGCCAATGGATATTAGTTCTGTTATCTGGAACAGACCACTGCCTGTGGCGCCACTGCTCGCGTGTTTGAATTCACGAACGCCCAAATACGTCCGTGGATTCCACAGCAAGATAAGATAGTCGTTTACCGCGGCGGGAGCCGGCGGAATAATTCATCTTGTCCTACATCCACCACCTTGCACGCAAAGCCTAGTATGGCATACGAGAGCATCCCGCTTGAAGCTTTCCATGAAACATTCAAGTCTAATACTGGTGTGTATTGTATTTGCTCTTTGTTCAATCCTCACGCAACCCGTTGAATTTAGAGCTCTCCAGTGTCGCACTAGGAGGAAAAGTTGTGACAGTCTCAGACGAGTTCTTCGCTGAGGCATTTCACCTGCTTGAAGTCGAGGTAATTTCCATGGCCAGTGTGAGTTTGCGAGATAATTTCAAGCCCCCCTCAACAGCCAGCTCCCAGCCTCAAAGGGCAGTTTGGCCCTAATGGCGCGCTGTACAGCGGCTGGGAGACACGGAGACATAATCCTTCCTACGACTGGTATGTTGACGAGGTATAATTCGTATAATATCGTGATATAAGTGTTCTCCGCACAGGTGTGTCATTAAACTTGGTACGTTGGGCACGATCGTCGGGTTTGATATCGACACAACCCACTTCAACGGTTTGTCTCAGTCTTATCTTTACACAATAAATGTTATCGATAAGCTCGTCGTAATGAGTAGGTAATGAAGCTCCTGAAGTGTCCGTAGATGGCATTATTGATTCATCACTGGATGAACATGACGTGAACAATGCAAAGGTTCGTGTCTATATCTCGCGTCCCTTTTCCTAAATATATATGACGCTACAGTGGACGGAAATTTTACCCCGTGTCCCACTCGGCCCGTCTCAGCGGCATCTTTTCAAGATAGCAGAAACCGAACAAGTGAAGTTTGTGAAGTTAAACATGTATCCGGACGGTGGTATTGTGAGACTCGTGTCCAACTACTCGAATGTGAAACTCACGTATTTAATTATAGGCGCGTTTCCGAGTCTACGGTAATGTCGCTCCTGTGCAGCCTGATGGCCCTCAAGAAGTATTCGACCTTGCCCATGTCTTCGCTGGAGGTCGTGTGACATTTATGTCTGATCAGCATTTTGGTGTTGGCGCGAATCTGATTCTCCCAGGCCGAGGTGGGTGTCTCGCGCTTTTCGGGAGTTTGATTTCGGTACTATATATGTGCAGGTAAAGATATGGGTGATGGTTGGGAGACTAAGCGAAGCCGGCAGAAGGGCCACAAGGATTGGGTGATCATTAAATTGCAAGTCACCAAAACTTCCCAGAGTCCCATGGATTGAGCTTATGGGTGACTATTTAGGGGTACACCGGGCCATCTGGGAACAGTCGAAATCGACACGGCACATTTTAAGGGCAACTTCCCGGAGACCTGTGAACTCCACGCTTTGTGTAGCGAAGACGAGGTACCAGATAGCGATGCTGCCGATTGGACACAGATTTTGTCCCCAGTCAAGCTCGGACCGCATCGGAGGCACTTCTTTGCACTGGAAGCAGATGTGTCTATTGCCTATACGCACGTAAAGCTTACCATATATCCTGATGGTGGTATCAAGCGCGTACGAGTCTATGGTACGAAGGGACCCTGTCCCACTACAGCAGACCTTGCGGTCAGACCCAGTAACACAGCACAAAACGATGCTGCTGTGCCACTTGAATCGGCGCCTGTAGCAGTCAAACAAGTCAAAACCATACCTGTTCTCCCTCTTACACCAGAAGCTTTTTGCCCTTTGGTCAAGTCATTCAGGCATATGGTGACCATACTGCAGCTCCCCCAGGGACTAAGATCACGCCTGCGAATCAAGGATCTGCAACCAAATTCCATAAGCTTTCACTTTTAGAATCGTCGTATCCGGCTGGTCTGGGGGCTAGCAGTGGGCTGTCTGTCTATCGCTGCAATCCGACAAAAGTTGTTAACGGTGGTGTGGAGCTCAAGGTCGTCGAGCGTCACCCATACACGAACCAGGCCTTCATTCCTATGGGAGGGGGAGGTATACAGGGTGACGAGGCGCTGAAGGAGCCAGGTAGTGCATACCTTGTAGTGGTCGCCCACAATGGAACAGACGACAAACCCGACTTCAATACTCTTCGTGCATTCGTAGCGAGTGCAGGGCAAGGAATCATGTATAACACTGCAATTTGGCGTAAGTGACCTACCAACATTTCCCTTTCCAGCTTTTACAGTATGTTTCAGATCAACCGATGACGGTTTTGTACAAGGTGACAGGCTTCTTTATTTTGTTCTAGAATACACGAGCTCACCAACTTTCTGGAAGCCAATGGACTTCACTTGCGTGGAGACGCAAATTGGGAATGGCGACAAGGCGGATTGCGAAATTTTGGAGTTGGAAGCTAGCGAAGTGGTTATTTTGGCGCTTCCGCGTCACTAGGTAACCTTCCTCCTCGACGCAACAAACATTCGAATAATCGATCGACAGAGCGTGATATCAGATGGGAGTGATGTGTATTATTTAGGCTCTAGTGTTGTTCGAGATCAAGCCACGATCCAGGCTTGTAAGTTCTATGTAGGTCAGTGATGTGTCTATTAATGTAACAAATCTACTTCTTTGCCTGTGGCATCGTCTTGCGGTAGGCCTCTTCCAGTTCCTTCTGAACGTTGGGTAGCACAGGCATGTGGTTCTACAAGGACAACATAAGCTTCTACCCTTTAACCGACAGGCAAAACATACCTTGTACTCCATAGTAAACTCGCCCTTGCCCTGCGTAGCACCGCGGAGCTGACTCGAGTAGCCAAACATGTCATTCAGAGCGACTTCTGCAATGCAAACGAACTCTTCATCGCGGACCTCACTGTCGATAATAGTACCTCGCCGTTGATTCAGTCCACCGATGACAGCGCCTATAGAAGAAATTGGAGTTCATCCATGCAACCAAAGGGGTTCTGACGTACTCTGGAATTCAGATGGGGCAACGACCTCGACAGTCATGATAGGCTCGAGAATGACCGGCTTTGTATTTTTATAAGCTTCGCGGAATGCACCGATAGTGGCGTTTCGGAAAGCAAGTTCAGATGAGTCCACAGCATGGAAAGCACCATCCTTGAGCACGAAGCAGCAGCCAGTGATGGGGTTACCTGACAATGAACCCTTCTCAAGCGCCTCGTAAAAGCCCTGTGCAACAACATGAGGATACAGTCAATCTTCCAGTAACTCCATCAACGTACCTTCTCCACAGCAGGAATGAAATTAGTAGGGACATTCCCTCCCATGACGATATTCACAAAGTCAACATCACGGCCAAGGTCCTCGCTGTATTCCATGGGCTCAATGTATCCGATGACACGTGCGAATTGCCCTGCGCCACCAGTTTGTTTCTTGTGCGTATAGTTGAACTCCGCACGCTGCGTGATGGTCTCACGGAAGGCGACGCGAGGTTTACCAGTGGTACAAGCAACATTGTACTCACGACGCATCCGCTCGACGTAGATCTCCAAGTGAAGTTCACCCATACCAGAAATAATGGTCTGCAGTGAAACTTGAATAACGGAGTGATATTGCATACGAGCATACGTACCTCTTTGCTCTCCTTGTCCAGATGAACTCTGAACGTCGGATCTTCCTTCTGGAATCTGTTTAGGGCACGAGAAAAATTGGGAGTCTCTTTGCCTTCAGGTTTGATTGCGAGGGAAATCACGGGTTCGGGGACGAACATCGACGTCTTCACAATAATATGGGTAAGACCGGCACCAACAGGAGAGCGTTAACGTGCTTACCATGGAAAAACTAGTTGAACCATCGGTGAAAGTGTCACCAGAGGAGCATTCAACGCCGAAGATAGCGCAAATCTCGCCGGGACCGATAGACTCGATATCCTAATCCACAAGGACATGAGGTCTGAATCGCGTAAACTGCAAAGATGCGTACCTCCATTTCGTTACTGTGCATACGGACTAGTCGAGGAACCTTGACCTTCTTGCCAGTGCGGGCGTTATAGATGATACCGCTCTTCTTCAGAGTGCCTTGGTAAACCCGCATGTATGTCAGCTGACCGAACCGTCCCTCCTCAAGCTTAAAAGCCAAGCCGACGAGAGGTGCATCTGAGGCAGGGACAAGTGGAACGGGTGGGGCAGATGCAGGCTGAGTTGTATCATGGGCTGTCACGGTTCCTTCAGCGGGGTTCGCAAGATAGGCGCATACACCATCGAGCATGGGCTGGACGGCGGTGTTCTTGATCGCGGAGCCAAGGAAGACTGGTGAGAACTTGAGACCAACAGTGGCGCGACGAATGGCCGCAACAAGCTGGGCAGTCGTGGGAGTCTCGTCCATGATCAGAAGTTCACCCATTTCGTCATCCACTTCAGCAAGTTGTTCGAGCAACTCGACACGCTTAGCCTTGGCGAGATCGAGCACAGATTCAGGAATATCGTCAGACTCTACGACATTAATGCTGCAGTATATGGTCAACACAGCCGGGGAAGACAAGTTATTAGAGACATACCCCTTTTCTCCTTCATTGTAAATGGCTTTCCAACGTACAAGGTCGACTACACCCTTCAGCTCGTCTTCAACGCCTATAGGCACCTGAACCGCTGCAGCTGCAATCTTGAGTTTTGACCGGATCTGGTTGATAACTCGCCATGGGTTTGCGCCAGGCCTGCGAGGGAAAATCAAAATTCGAACTTCAAATCGATGAATCGGTGCTTACCTATCCATCTTGTTGATAAAGGAAATCCGAGGAACATTATACCGTCTCATCTGTCGATCAACTGTTGTAGTTTGACTCTGTACAAGTAATGAAACGTTGTTGATCAATTTGACTATGTTTTACACACCTGTACACCAGATACAGCACAGAGAACTAGAATGGCACCATCCAAAACACGGAGGGCGCGCTCAACCTCTATGGTGAAGTCTACGTGGCCTGCAAAGACCCGTCATTTTCAGCACGGAGATAGTCAGGCGACCAACTTACCTGGGGTATCGATGATATTAATTGCATACTTTTGTTTCTCGTTTGTCACAGGTGAAGTTGCTTCCCAATCACAAAATGTAGCAGCACTTTGAATAGTGATACCCTTTTCGCGTTCAAGCTCCATGCTATCCATCTTGGCACCAACAGCATCCCGACCTCGAACCTTGACCGAATAAAAAATAAGTCGCAGTCCCATGTGAACAAATTTGACTGTGAAACAAATGCTATTTGGAAACCAAAAAGATTCACTAACTCACCTCGTGAATTTCTCGAATACGACCGGTATAGAACAGTACACGTTCTGTGAGAGTGGTCTTTCCGGAATCAATGTGGGCGGAAACACCAATGTTCCTCTGGAAATTGAGCCTTTGCACATCTTTCCCTGTTAGCTGATATGTGGGATAAATCGGTGGCTCATATTCCACCGGTGAGGACTTGGCGACCGCAGCTGCTGCTGAAGCACCGCGTCTGCCTGAGCATGATGCCAAGCACTTCAGAGAAGTTCTGGATGATCTAGAACTGTATAACGCCCATTGCCATGAACTGGGCAGCCTCCGGACAAATGTCTGCATGACAGGTCAGAAGGACATGCAAAAATTAGGCGGGCTGGCGATAAACCCGACAACCCGCTACAGCCATCGGAGTTTCAAACCCAGATACTGTTCATTGCTAAGGTCCACTTTGAAAGTGTTTATTCCATTCGTCGCGTCCTACCAACGCCTCTTTTCATCCATCATCATGTTGGAATCAAGAAAGAGGCCCTTGCCAGACGATGGAGAGGTTGCTCAAGCAAAAAAGCGGGTGTTAACGAGCACGAGTGGGAGCCCGGAGGTCAACGGCTTGAATGCTAATTACGACGCAGAAGAACCTGCAGACAACCACCAGTTAGAGGTGATTTTGGCATTCCTTGTAACCTTACGGCGTACAAAAACCTTACTCTTTATTAGCTATTTCGAAAGGAGGCCATCTTCAGGCGTATGAGGCACTACTCGAGAGAGAACGAGCGGAATCAGGCGCGCATAGCTCAACTGGAACAGAGAAGAAGCTCGTGCGAGGCAGGTCTAGTAGCTATTGCCGCATGCTGGAAGCAGGTATGTTATATGTTACTGCCATTTCAGTAGTGGGCATCAACTTTCTGGTGGGATAGTTGGTAGATACTGTTCAAACCCTGACGCCACCAGAGGAACTTCCAGCCGTCGAAATCGATACGAAAGGTAGGTCAAAGCACTCCCTCCACAACTTGGTTCCTGTTAAACATTGTACCAGATATTTTTGATTTGTCACAGCACATTTCAACTGACTCGAGCCTCAAAGCTGCACTGGAGAAGAACATGCCTACAACCGAAAAACTAATTGCAAGTTTCATGAAGCTAAATCCGGCCACCTTCAATGATAAGGCATATCAACGCAGTCAGACATCACAGACCGAGGTCAGTATTTCCACTGGGCCATATCATACCATGTTGACTTGACCTAGTATGTTGCTCTTCGCTCCGAGATAGCACTGCTGCAGCAGAGGCTTGACGAGGTCCAGTCAGAGAAGGAGCAACTTCACGACGACCTTATTGCTGCGGAGATCAAGTTAGACCGTATGCAAAGTGGCACTGTTGCAGCCATGCAGACAAAAGGCGGGGCAAAGGATGAGGCAAACCCGGACCAATCATGCCCAGCGGAAGGAAGCACCCCAAATCATGGGTCATCAACTCCACCAGTCAGTAATTATCGGTTCTGCTCACTATTGCATGGAACTCACGTTTACTAGCCGCCTCAAATAAATGGTCATAATGATTCATCCCTGTCAGATATCGAAGCTTGTCGATTGGAGCTCAAAATTTCCTCCGAACGTGCAAGTAAACTAGAGGCAGAAATTAGGATCCAGGCGGAGACCATAGCGAAGCTCGAGGTTGAGGTTTGTTAGACATTACCTTCCGCAGGACGAAACTTACATTAAAATATCAAAGCGCGCCGCTCCAACAGTCGAAATGGTCTCTGGGACTGTGCATTACAAGATACTATCTGAGCGTAGGGATCAGCTGGAGCACATGAAAGCTGAGAACGATAGCAGAATAGGACGGTTGGACGTCACAATACGAGACCTGCAATCAAGTCGGACACAATTTGAGGAGGAGACTCGGGTAGGTTATTCCACTCTTGTTCTCTTGCCTGTTCATTTCATCTTTGTCAGGCTTCTGCGCAACAAATGAACCAAGAACTCAAAGTTGTACTTGCTAAGCGGGATGCAGATCTCACTCGCCTTCGCGACCAACGTGAGCTGCTGCATGCCGAATTAAATGAACTTAGAAGTCGTGAAAATATAAAATATCAGTCATCTCGGGAGCTCAAGGCCCTCGCCGAATCACGAGCGGTGCGCCAGTTACACACAGATTCATACCAAGTTGTTGATACATTGCGAATAGGAGAGGGTGACGCAACTTGAGTCGGAGGTCAGGAGACATAAGGCGAAATTAGCTGCGCATGCCGGTAATGAAGATCTCATGAAGCATTTCTGGGAGGGAAAAGTTGACGATCTTCAATACGTGGATGGTCTTCGGAGGAAACTGATGTGCGTGTTATATTCTAAAGTGTAGAGACGGTACAATTGACATCACACAGTGAAACCGAATCAAAGCTCACCGCACTTCAGCAATCCATGTCCACCATACAAGAAGAGCAACCTGATATTGCACGTCATATTACCTCAGAAGCAGCTACCCGAGAAGAGCTTGCTGCCGTCACGACAGAATTATCACGGTATCGATCTCTCCTTGGAGATCCGTCTTCTTCAGATCTCGCCAGGCAATTGCAAGCGAAGGAAGATGAGCTCCAGAAAATGCGACTTCTTACAGTACAACATCAGCAGGCGGAGGACCCAATTTATGCAGAGATGGAAAGGCTTTCGGGTGCATGGGAGGCTTTGGATGGGCAATTAAAGAATAAGGTGATGAGCTTAACAGCGGCAGAGGAAAAGATCGCTAAGAGCGCACACGAGGTCCGTCGCCATTTCTCATTCGTCCGGCAGGTTAAGTGAACACCTGGCATCCAGAAAGCGAAGGCGGATAACAAGTACTTTGCAGCCATGCGCGACAGGGAATCAGTCGAGATTGAGCGGAAAAACGCCATCCGGAACCTCGAGAAGCAAGCCAAGGTTGTCGAACGATTAGTTGATAGCGAGAAAAACCTGCAACAACAAATAGTGCGTCCTTTTTCTTTGCATTCTGTCTCTCCTTCGTTTCTTACTATCGTCATTTTGACTCAGGGTCATCTCGAAGCAGCCAACCAGCGTCTGCATCGAGTGATGGATGAAGCAGAAACAAGATTCAATGTTCTCGAAACCGATGCCCTGATGTATAAGAAGCAGGCCGAATGTACCGAAGAGATGATGAAGAATGTACGATTTTACATCGTTGTCTGGTCCATATCCGTAACTTCTCTGCCTAGGTTCGAAAGATCGCTGACGAAAAATACGCTCATATCCACCACCTCAAGGGCTGTCTATTCAAGAGGGATGACGACCTAGCTCGTATGAAAGCCGAGGTTAATAAACTCCGTGTTGAGATGAAGAAGTTGAAATCTGCTTCAGCAAGTGAAAAGGAAGCAGACCTTATGGAAGAGGCTGCGTCTGTCTGGGTATGATGCACCCTCCCCAGTGTTTGGAAGTGATTATTGAATGAGTTCACAGAGGCTCATTAAATGTTCGACATGCAAAGAAAATATGCGCGGAGTTGCTCTCACCAAGTGCTCGCACAGTACGTATCATTGCTAGCAATCGATAGCGCATGAACGAACTAATTCACTCCTTTCCAGCGTTTTGCAAACAATGCGTCGAGGCGAGGATCTCGACACGTCAGCGGCGGTGCCCACATTGTAATTCAGGCTTTGCACAGAGTGAGGTAGTGAACGTCCTCTTCCAATGACTTTCTCTCCCACTCCATCCACCCTTACTCAAATATAGACTTCTGGTAATCTTCGCTGCCTGGCGCCTTTTTTATTGGACCGAATCTTCAGTCACGCAGCGATGTATTGTAGCATATTTTATGCTTTTTTATGGAATTCTCGTGCCAGGTAATGTAATGATATCTTTTCATCTTTGACATCTATGCGGATGAATGAAAATCGCAAAAGGGTCAAGCTGTGAAGCGAAGTGCAAGGCGTGGGGATGACTGGCTGGATGCCACGGCTAAGTGAGCCCAGACACCATTCTGCATTGACCACTACACAGCGAGACGGAACCGCTTTATAACGAACCAACGATTGAGGCTCAGTTGGCGCGTTATTAAGTATGTCTAGAGGATAATTAGATTTCGAGAACCATCTGAGAGGTTGTGTGGCTCGCAGCCTGACTCGGAGGTGTCACTGAATCTCTCGACATCCCCGACTCCACGAGGAATCATCTTGGTTAGTGTCCGAAGCGATGACCTCCCATTGTCATATCAAGCGATGGAGGTGAAAACATCTTCTAGGCAATATTCACTTATGTATTTCGTGCAGAATTGTCAAATTGATGGAGCACTGGTAACACGATAAAAGCGATGGAACAAGACATAGGCACTGCGCAATGCACTGAGAATAGCTACCGCTTGACCCAGGCATACTGTAGACAAGGTGAGCAAATGAGAGAAGGAATATAACGAAAAATACACATACCCGCTTGCGTGCCTTCGCAAGACCAGGTTTTTTGCGCTCGACCATGCGTGGATCGCGACGCAAAAGTTTCGCTATAGGCAAAAAAAATTAGTCGAACTTGTTAAGTGGAGGACAAAAATGATACACAAGACGTACCTTTCCTCAAAATCGTTGTGGCAGAGGGTTCATGAGCAACTAAGCCCTTGGCGATACCATGCGCGAGCGCACCGCTCTGTCCGGACGTACCTCCTCCACGTACGATGGCGAAGATATTATATGCGCCCAATAAACCGGCGAGTTTGATTGGATGAATTACGCGAGCACGATCAGCGGGAATAGGGAAATAAGTCGAGAGGGGAGTGTTGTTCACGAGGATCTGAGCGACGGATACAGCCTCGTTGCTCTTCGACGAGGAATTAGGGTTAAGAAGGGCCGTAAGCGCAGAGTCTGCTTCTGTTACTGCTGGTATGGACTGGGAGGCGGTGGATTTGTCTACGGGAGGTTGTTGCACGGGCACAATCCACACTCGTGCAGAGCTCGTCTTCCGCTTCCCAAGCGTGTAACTTCGCCCATACTCGTCGAGCTTGACGGGTTTGGCCTTCCCCCTCGCAAGCATTGTCGCGGCGTCTGCACGCTCAAATAGCTCTGTGATACCTCTGATACCTTCCTGCAACTCCATAATCCCAGCCTTCTCCGCAATGGACCTGTAGGTCTCAAGCTCGTTGAGCACGAGAACTACCCGTCTGTAGCGGCTCGTCGTGAGGGTACTCCTTAGCTTCAGGCCGAGCTCGCGTTTGTCAACCCAAGCGTTGACACGCGGTGGGAGGGCCTCTCGAGCAAATTGGGGAAGGGGAAGGAGATGACATGTTGTGAGCGCTGTTTTAGCATACTGGAGGGCCGACTCCAATGACGAGAGCTGGTCGTAGAACTCGGGACGAGCGGTATAAAACGTTGGAGTCGTAGGACGTGGCTTTTCGCGTTGACGTTGGCGAAAATCAAAACTGTTTAGAGACGCGGGAGGAACAAACGGCCTAGTTTGTGATGAGTAAAACTTAGATAGGCCTTGTGGACGCCGTAAAACGCTCGTTAACATTGTTGTCTTGCGAGAAAACCCGCAACGAGCAATTTGGCTGTAGATGTCACGTGACATGGTAGTATGTTTCGACACTGCATATGATTAGGCAATATTTAATGTAGGTGCCTCATCCCACAGCCTGCTAGAATGTTGTCACGATAGCGCAGGCGTGGCATGTGCGTGTTATTCGGCTTGCGGGTCATATAAACATTGAAACGTTGACAGCTCGGGGCCCACCCCTAGAACGACGCAAGAACGATACAAGAACGATACAATGTACCATGATTAGTAACGATGCGATGCAGCGCGTCTTGATCGGAAATCTCAGAGCTCATCACTTTTCGTGTTATGCAAATACAGGATCATCATATTTCACCCGACCTCATCATGTTGGGCTGTCACTGGAGTGGTATATCTAGCACGAACGTTAGATCCTCATACACCCCATACATCCCCCACTCGTTCACACCCATCCCTCGAATATGACCGTAGTCTCAAATGATCCCAGCTGGTAGCCGGTAATCAATTTGAACATTTGTTTAAGCTATTGGATAGGTTTGTCGCATCAATATGTCTCGATCTAATTGACTTGCGGTTCCGCAGTTGCCGCCGCCGGCGTGGTGGTATACGATTGGGGTGAGTGGGATAGTGTTCGAAAACTGCTGTTATTCTCATAATATTTCCAGTACTGACACTTGGACAAGAGGTGGGTCGGTGCTATTGCTAGAGCACCCAACTCGTTACTAGTAAGAATTGTGTCATAGATTGAACTGATCTGGGTGAGTGGCAGAGTCCCATATCAGAAGAAAAACAGGAGAAGGTAATGAATTTGCGACAGAGGCAACGCCGGTCTCTCATGACCGTGCTGTATCTCGTTGTTCGTACCTCACGTTATCCTATAGCGTGGCTGGCAAGTACTGACTCTAAAATGTTCTAGATACGCTATATTGGAATACCATATTCTGTGTATGTTTTTGTGGCTAACAAGTTGGTGCTGTACTAATAGCCCATCTCTCGTCATCAGTATCAACGTTCTGCGTATGTCTCATATGCGCTGTGTTCGATTCTTCTGACCGACGGCACTCAGAAAATATACCATTGGTCTTGCTGTCAGGTGCAGTGAGTACTCCGCAACTATCTCATTCCCATTAAACAAACACACTCATGTGTAGGGGTGAGTGGAATTCTGAGCATAGAACTTGGCTCAAAATAATCTCTCGACAGGTGTGAGTCAGCGTGTTTAATTCTAGTACGAGGTGATCACTAATCGGGTGTCTCAGGTAATATTATGGGCTACGCACTGAACGGGACAAATGTAGTCATGGCTGCCATACTGGGCGGTGAGCTGCAATATCTCTGTGATATCGACTCGACTGAAACACGATGCAAGTCATCATGATTGCTCGGTTACATGCCATGTATCAGAGATCTAGAATGATGCTTACCTTCCTTGTCATTATCTTCTTGGCTGTTAACATCGCCTGCGGAGTAATCGCGGCAGTAGCACTCAAGGATTCTGCGGCGGGTAAGTTTCATTTGTTGATATGAAGAACACAGCTCATTGGACAAACTCTAGAGGAGCTGATACTCTCTGGCACGTATATGTGCAATTATGAATATGAGGGGGATTTCCAGCTTCTGGCCTCAATGGTTTGGATGCTCAACACTGTTTGGGAGGTCCTTGCACTGTGTCTGTCAGTCTGGATTGCTGTGAAACACTTCCGCGACCTGCAACTACTCGGCCCATTGACAAGATTGACCATCGGGGACTGTTTCAGAGTGCTGATAAAATCCCACGTGCTTTATTTTGCAAGGTGAGCTTGTAATGTGAAGGCGGTTATCCTTTTCTGCTCAAATTCCGCACGTGCTAGCTTTGCTTGTGTCTCTTGCCTCGAGTTGGGTTATCTCTCTCTAGGGCTCTCGGTACGCCGACCTGTCGCTAACGTCTGCTTGTAACCACTGCTCATCATTTCTGTAGGAGTCAGATTCTATGGAAGTTGAGATATCCTATGGTGCTCTTCAAATTTTATTGGTCGTGCAGATGTTTGTGCTGGGACCACGCCTCATCCTTAGCGTTCGAGAATATCACGCTAACCTCGTGGCCGACTCCGATGCAGAGACTAGCCTGGATTCGACTGTCTTCCAAGAGCATGTACATGTGCCAACTAGCAGTATTGTGTAGGGGAATACTTGCCGAGTGTTCTGCATGGAGATATTCACCGTCGTAGTATTTATTTTAGTTTAGTTATAACGTTTTAAGTATATTAGCTGAGGCTTATGTAGACAAATTTTCATTTCATGTTGTATCACTACTGGAAATCAGTAAACTGCCCACCCACACTTGCACCAAGTGGCAAGCTGAATTGTCTGGAGGTTCTAGCAACCAACCAAGTTCTTGATGCCCGATACTAAAATACAACGAGAATCAGTATGAATTGCCCAGACAGCTGATTCTACGCATTTGTAGAGTTCCGCTATCTGAGCGTACAGATGATAAAGTGTCCGTGAGGCATGAAGCCCAGATACAGATAATTATATTCACAGCAACTTAGAACAGCTTCTCCCAAATCCCTTCAGATATACACAGGAACGGTCTTCCCGTCATCGCCATCCATTCAGTCCTGTTCATGTTAAATCTCGTTAGCTCTAGCTGTCCGCCAATGCCTTTTGCATTTGCAAGCCATCGAGATTGTCATAAGTTACAGGTAGTATCTTACATTTGACGGCCCATTCTACATTCCCTATTTACCTGCACTGTATCAGTTGTCAGCTACTTCCATGTCTCTCTTGACACCTGCGGATGATCGGTGGTAGCACTGCGGAGAGCGGGAGCCGACAACACATTTAGGTTATCCGCATGGTACAAAGGCGTATGAACAAACCAGACAGAATCAGCATTTGTTGTGGCTATAGGGGTCGAATCCATGTCCGAAAGAACCACGCTAGGCTGATGGGGAAAGCGCTGGAACACAGTACAGTGCACGTAAGATGCCTATCTCAAGGTGAGCGCGTGAAAATAAGATGTTGTCCTGTCCCAGGCGTACCAGAACATCGGATGCGGCACTCTCGACAGAGAGAGCATCGGTGGGAGGAGGGCAAATTTAGAAGCTCAAGGCGTGAGATGCAAGGGTCCGCTGTGATCACGCATAGAAAGTAAAGACATATAATGCAGGGCACTAAAACAGCCAGAAACAGGTAAGGAAGGAATGCGGATCGGTGAAACACCTACTAGCGTTTAAATGGGAATGAGACTCGTTCTTGGCAGAAGTTTCGAACAATGGAATTGGACCGACCTTAAACCAAGACACCTCATAGACTGCAAAAGAGTGCCTGGAGTAGATGTTCAGCACAACAAAAATCATGCATCATAGCAAGCACGACGAATGATGGAAGAGAAGGCAAAGTGGCAAAGGGACATACCAACGTAAAGCGCGATATTAATATTCTGGAGGGAAAACTACACGTTACTTCCAAGTTGCAATGAGGTAGTGAATGCGGCCTCCTTGGGTAGTCTATTCACGCGCACATGAAGATACAGGTGGCTGATGCTTAGAGGTCACATAACTTCTCCACTGTGTAGGGTCGGGGATTCCAAAGTTGCGAAAGCCGATGTCCCTAAAGTAAGATGGCACATGTTAGAGGGCGCTCCCTTGCTATCATTGATCAATGACAAATTGACATTGAAGCATCCTTTGCGTGAGCACCCCTGCCGCTCTAGACCGAGCTTCGTGATGCAGATGACCTTTTTGCTGATCCAGAGAGTATCTCGCCTGACGACGTTGCTGCTGAATTTGCGGCGCTCAATGAGTTGAAGATGACCGAAGAAGGTGAGCTAAGCTTTGACGAAGCTGAAGTGTAGTTACTGTAGGATAAGAAACACGACCAGACGTGACATATGGTGCGCGTAATACCTTCGCAAAGATTCTTTGCGTTTTGCACAAATTTAAAGTTTCGCTGTCTCGGATTTCTTAGATTTGTATCTATCTTAATTTGTGCTTAGACATCTATCTTCACGTATCGGCCTGATTCTTGTCGATTTTCACTCCATGCGCCCATATGTGGAGGCCCTCAGAGGATTTACATTTATCTTCCGAGTCAATATTGCCAGTTACTGCAGTCACGTGGCCTACTACACTTAGCGGTTGACCATGAGCGCGGCAGAGCACAACTTTTCTGGTGCACTAGCAACATGGAAGGGTATGCGAATCAAATTATATGGATGTCATGAGCTAACAAGTGCAGATATCAAGCTGCAGGAGCTGCAAAAGACGCTGGACACTCAAGGTATCGAAATCGTTGACAACCAGAAGGAATCTGTACTGGGTCGCAAGCAGCTTGCTGACCGCACGAAAGGTCCGTGTGTATACGTTCTTTGATTTTCAGCTATTCTGAAACATTCCGTAGAGTTCAAGAAGATTCCAGATGACGAGAAGTTGAACTCATTCAAAGGCCTGCTCAAAGGTTCGCGCATGGTCTTTCTCGGTATCCTGCTATCCATTCCTAACTCTGGCACAGCATACCAGACAGAGATCGACAGCCTCACGAAGCGGTCAAAGGTTTCTGAGAATGCATTTCTCAATGTGTACAAGGTCCTTGCCGAAGCACCAGATCCATATCCTCTACTCGAAGCTGCTGTCGTGCGTCTCACCCATCTTCTTCACCTCTCCTCAATTTCACACGTGCGCAGGACCAAGCAGTCAAAGCTACAGAAGCGCACGCACTGGAAGCTGAAGTTGCTCGATTACGTGTTGAGAATACTGAGTTTCGACAGTCGTCTAGCGCTCTTGATGCGTCCAAACGTCGTGTCGAACAGCTGGAGGCGCGTATGGACGAGCTTGTGTCACAGAAGGAGTCTGAGATCAACGCTGCGTACGACGAACGTATGCGTAATTACGAGGAGCGGTATGTGGCGTGTTGTTTGTTTAGGTTGGTGTTTTGCAGTTGCATGATGCTGATTGAGGTGTAGGGAACAGGATTTGCAGCGCCAGGTTGCACTATATAGGGACCAAGTGCGTGACCTTAGACTGTCGAACGAATCGAATCAGGCGAAGCTTTTTGACCACAGCCAGCGTCAGGGTGAGTTGTGCTACTTTCCTCCCTCCGCTTCCTTTCACTTCATTATTGTACCTTTTGTCTTGCACGTTGACACTTCTACTTAGACCAAGAGATCATTTCCCGTCTTGCAGAAGCTGACATGATCATGGTCGACCTGGAACGCGCGAATAGCAGAGTCGCGACCGTCGAGCAGCGAAATGTAAGTTTTGTCAGGCTCTATCCCTTGTTCATCAATTCGCTGTTGTTCCATACCATTTATTATGCATCATCTTGCATGCATCCACTCGAGTTACCACATAGCTGTCATGGCATATAGCCACCCTTCGTTACTATGCGCACATTTTGCCCTACTATTTTCCTTATTACCGCAACTTCTTATTTTTATTCCTTTGAAATTCGACACTGACTTCTCCCGCAGGAAGCGCTCCGTGGAGAGATTGAGGCGTTGCGCACTGGGAGCGAAAGCAGTGAGCGGTACGTCTGTTTTTCGTCTTTCACTCTGCTTCTCCCACTGCCCACTCTTTTAACTCGTATACGTGCTTTCAATCTGACTGACGTGCATATATTTCAACAGTGTCAGATCGCTAACGACTCGTCTCTCCGAACTCGAGTCCGAGTACACGCGACTCGAAGGTGCCGTTGACGTTGCACGAAGTGCTGCAGTACGATTAGAGGAACGGATTTTAGAGAAGGTGGGTGTTATTCCGAGTACGGAGATGCATAATTAACAAGAACAATAAACATTCCACAGGCTCGCGAAGCGGATGCTGCTCACGTAGAAGTAGATGCTCTCAAGACAAAACTCAAAACATACTCAGATTACGACGAGGTGAAGCGAGAACTGGAGATTCTGAAGGTGCGCCTTTCCCTCGTGTGTCATTCTCACCGTGTCGACCCCATGATAGTACGTTGAATTCGCAGGTCTCGACCCGGATGACGATTGGTCAAGTCCTGAAGAAGACGAAGACGGCGTGCATCTGCCAAATCCAAATGCAGACAAAGCAAATGCACAGCACGGCAAGAGTCTCGAGGTGCTCCTTGCAACGAAGAACAAACGGATATTAGAAGAGTTGACTCGATTTAGGGTGCGTTTACTATGAATTTTGACCTCCACGTCGCTCCTCATCCAACTTTCTGTTCCATAGATCCTGCATACATCACTTGAAGCCTCCCTCAAGAGCACACAGGACGAGCTCGCAGACACGCACGCAGAACTTGCCAAGCAACAAGCCTTATGTGAGAAACTCGAGACGGACCTACTCGCGCTGAACACCAACAGTGGGAGCGGGCCAAGAGAGGAGGGTGGAGAGAGTGGAGAGAGTGGGATTTCGGGGCTGGGGCTCGAGTTCGGCTTACGGACCAAGGTTTGTCTGCATTCGAAAGAGTTAATTCGTGCGGCTGATATAATTGGCATTGCAGGACGCAACGGGCCCAAGTACCACACGCTCAACACCGATACCTTTCACGTCATCTGCTGATACCTCGATCCTTCCTATCGTGACCAGCCAGCGGGATCGGTTCCGGCAACGGAACGCAGAGCTCGAGGAAGTGAGTATCAGATTTTGCATTTGCGTTCACGCCTCTGCCCCACCTCTTTTATTATCATTCACCCCGCTCGACACTAATTAACTCCCAGGAACTGCGCAAACACTACCACACCATCTCAGAACTTCGCACCGAAGTCAAATCCCTCCAATCCGACAACCTCAAGCTCTATGAGAAAGTCCGTTACATGCAATCATATCGCGAACAAGGTTCCGTCTCACAGCTTGATCCTCTCCCACCCTCCTCTTCTTCCTCGGCGTTTAACGGAAGTGGAAGCGGGAATGGAAGCGGCGGTGGAAGTGGAAGGGACGAGTTGGGGAAATGGCGCGCGAGGTATGAGGAAACGATGAATCCATTTGAAGCATTTCGCGGAAGGGTATGTGTCTATGCTTGGCCTCGTGTGTGCTGGACTGATGTATTGTTTGGCTTGTCGTTCAGGAAGCGACGCGTGCGTATGAGGCTCTCAATCCTATCGAGCGAGGTGTGCTCGTGCTCACGCGTGGGATTATTGGCAACCGGCGTGCGCGTACGGCGTTTATCTTTTACGCGGCAGCGCTGCATCTCTTAGTGGTCGTTACTGTGTATGAGTGTGCGTGGTCGAGCGGGCAGCTGCAGGTTCAACCGGGGCCATACTGATCATGGTGGAGTTTGATGGAGGTTATTTTGTTGGCTGCTCGCTCTGTAGTTCACCACATCACGGAACTTGGAGGGAACGTATGCGATTAGATTATATGCTGTAAAATATCAATGCACTATGGCTATGTTACATGCTGAGATACATAATCCATCTCCTGAATCACACTACGCGGTTTTCGGCGTCGAAGTCTTTGCACTCCGCGCCCTATAAAACGCAAGCGCATGCTCGACAGCGTCTAAGAGCGGTTTCATAGCCTATCAAAAAAAACGCGTTCAACAACAATCATCCAAACAAAAGAAGAAAAGAAAGACTCACCGCCTCTACCCTCTCAGGTTCCACACCCTCCAATTGCCCAGCCCGCACGAGCGCCTCAACTTTCTCGCGCGTCTTACTAAGGTAACCCGCCATCTTTGCCGCTTTAGCTGCGTTTTGAGAAGGCGTAGCGCTCGACGAAGTAGTCGTTGGTGGAGGATAGAGAGATGTCCAGAATTGCCTGAGGAACTCGTTTGCGGCCGTTTGGCACGTCGTAAGTTGGCGGAATAGCGTTGGTGGGAAATTGGCTTTAAAGCAAGGGTTTGAATCAAAGAGATATTGGTTGAGGGATACGTACTTTTTCTAGTGCGGATGTCTAGTCGCGCAGAAACGTTTTGAGTCATTGAGTCGAGCGCTGCGTCTCCTGCTCTTTTATCTATTCGGAGCTGTGGAGGAATTGGGGATGTGTCGCCGATATATATATAAAACAGGAGGTATTACCTGACTGAACCGCGTCTCCCAACCCCTAAAGCCATGTTTCAACTCTGCAAACGCTGCGCGGACGTCGACGACCTGATTGTTCGGTGCGTGAGATTCTGGGATACAACAGAATAGAATTGAATTGAGGAAGGAAACGCACCGCACTACCTGCCTGCTCTGAAGCATTCCGAGCAAGCTGTCCCTCGAAATACCGCTCGCGGTCTTGCATCTGAAGCGTGATTCCATCCATAGCTTCTGGGTCCCTTAGATCGTCGAGCGTGATCTGGGCGTATGTGTCCTCGTCCTCATCGAGGCCACTATCAATGCGCCGGCGTTTAGCGGGTGGCACTTCGCCTCTGTCATACATTAAGTTTATCAGCATCAGCATCAGTGTTGATATTGTGAAAAGAGGGGACGGACAGCGCGGAGTTGAGTAATCGTTCCGAGTGCTCGTTGAATTTTCGGATGAGGGGGAGGGCACCGCGTTGTCTACCGGCTTGCATCGTCACGTCTTTTTCGTTTCCTGTCTGTTTGGGGTGAGAAAGAACATGAGCCAAGTATGGCGGGAATTACCTCTCCATGGTCTTCGAGCGTCGCTCCTATATTAATGAAGAGGTCTGAAACCTCGTTTCGTGCTCTTCGGGGCTCTAGCTCTGTGAAATGAAATGACGGGGATGAATTTCAGGATGGATAGAAGTGATGTACCGTCGTCGTCTTTCTCTAGGTACTTGTCGAATATAGGGTCGTCTTTTACGACGTGCTGCGCAGCTGAGGAACGGATAGAAGCGCGGTGGGCGTTGAAGAGTTTTGACTGGAAATATCTCTTCCAGAACTCGGCTTCTGAGAGCTTGTAGCAGTGCGGTTTAGATACAGGTGATGAGTGAGGACTTGTGACGGACCTTATTAGGGACGTTATCGTTGTACGCTTTTGCAACAACGGGGAACTCGTCGAATATATCGTGGACTAGCTGTGGGGTGATGACGATCTTAACCTCGCCGCCTTCTACGGTCTGTGGTCTAGGGTCGACGAGCTGGCCTGGACGCCCGCGTTTCTGGCCCTCTGCAGCAGCTTCTGCAAGCAAGAGGTGCTTCGTAATAACTGAGGACAATAAAGGGGTATATGAATGCGGGATACGATACCTCTCTACCATCCCAGAACTCAGACTCTGTAATATGACCACTCATGACAAGCTCCTTATGAAGCGCCAGAAGTTCAGGATTTGAAAGGAGGACCTTTTTTCTAAGGCGAAAGTCAGTTGCTGCATCTATTCCGGAGAGGATTGGAGTGCGAGTGTCGCTCGAGACGGAGGTAGCACGGGATGTGGATTGTATTGGCGCGGGTGTCTTTGCGGGTGTGCTGAGTGGTGTTGGTTTTTGTAATGGCGTTGGTGCAGCGCTCCGGTTTCGGGAAATGATGTTTGTGAGCTCTTGCTTGAACGCTTCTCGCTCGGCGTACGCGACCGCTGAAGGTGAAGTGAATGTGAAATTATGTCCTGCCTCATCGTTGACGAGTCCAAGTTTGAGACGGACTTGAGCAGCGCCTTCTTTACTGCAGAATAGAGCTGAAAGCGATAGTGAGCTTGATATGAGTTGGGTTGAATTTACTTACAAGATGCTTCTAGGTGTGGAACACGAACTGCTGGTGCTTTCTTGCCTTCTTGTGTCCATGTTAGATGTGAATCTGTGAGCTCAAGAGTACCGGGTTGTTTTTTGTAGGATGCTTTGGCGGACGTCGTAGGCATCGTCGACTTTGCTCTCACACAACCACCTTCCAATAATGTACACTTTTAAACACCGCGGCATAAGACAACCGAGCTCATCTTTCGAAACGACGTTATCATCATTATCTCTTAAACCACCATGACCACCATCAAAACCCAGCTGGTCGTCTTCGACTTTGACTGGTAATTCATCCTAATTCCCTCCGTCACTTATCATACATGTCTCCCATCCTAGGTCAATGGCAGATCAAGACACTGATCGCTGGATATTCGAAGTCTTGGCACCTGATATTCGCAGAAAGATGAAAACCCTCAAAGAGAGCGTTCAATGGACCGATCTCATGTCCGTGCCTTTCCTTTTACTATTCAATTAACTTCATATATGGCTTGCAGAGCACAGTCGTTGCAAGAAATCCATTCACGCGGCAGGACGCGTGAGGAGATCGAACATACCCTCCGTCAAATGCCCTTCGTGAGTAGTTCGCACGTGAGAACGTAGGTGTGTTAAAGCATGTATACTTAGCACCCCGCGATGGTACGCGGTGTCACTAACCTCAAGGGCGCGTCCAACCCCACCACCACATTCTTTTGCCTCTCTAACGCGAACTCTGTTTTCATCAACACTATTCTCGAGGTGCGTTCCCTCACTTCGATTTTATTTCTTTGACTAAGGGATCGCAGTCAAAAGGGCTGCAAAACCTGTTTGAAGAGATCGTGACTAACCCTGCAGAGTTCGAACCTTCGGGTCTGCTCAAGCTCCGTCGTAGAGTCGACCCCCACGGGCCTCAGCACAGCTGCGCAGTCGGATGCAGCCCCAACATGTGTAAAGGTGACTCCTTCCGTTCTATACCACACCACCACCCTAGCTAACGCAAAGTTTAGGCGAAGAGCTTACCGCATTTTTGGAGCGCCACAAGCCTGGCTACGACCGTATCGTTTATGTTGGAGATGGATCCAATGACTTTTGTCCTATCCTCAGATTACGAAGGTAATGTCTGCTTTGTCGTCTTAGTACTCAGATCTTGTCACTGAGGTTGAGTAGCCAGGATATGGTGCTCTGCCGGCGGTTCCGCGGCCTCGAGGGCCGTATTTCTCGAGAGGGCGGTCATCAATGCCAGGTCAAGTACTGGGCGGGCGCTTGGGAGGTCGAGGAGATCTTTAATCAATTTATAGAGAAGAATTGATGGCGGCGATGCTGCTGGATGGCGTCGATATTGTCATATTAAAGCGATCTACAGAGTCTTCATATTCATATTCTATCCTGCTTGGGGCTGGGCTGCGAGAATGTTACCGGTGCCCTGGTTCAACACAATGGGTCTATATGTTATTTCAAACATCTCTCGCGCATGGCATCTAGATGCGATCAAGACTCGGCCCCGCAAGTGTTTAAGCGCTAATGACCAGCATTACACATTTCATACACATCAGAACAGTATGGGCCGGTCCAGTGCCATTTTCAATTCTTCAAGCCTCGCTGAAGCCTCATCGATGAACTCTCTTCCGGTTGTTGGCTCTTCCGATGCGACCGAGGATGACTTGAAAGCTAAAGGTGGGGAGGTTACATAATTTTCCTGAACGACTGTCAGACTTAGCTTGCGTGTATTCTTCTAGCCTCCGGCCCCATTAATGTCATTTTTCGTTTGACGGTGAATCCCGATAGTTTTGGTCAGTCTGTCGAAAATCTAGGTTGGCACGTACGCACCTCGAGGACATATTTTATATGTCTGAGACGATTTTCACGAAGCGTGCGCCAGTGAAGGTGAATTCCTGTTCATGGATGGACTATAAAAGAGGTTTCGGCGTAATGACTGGGCCTAGTTAAGACGTACCTCCGAGGATCTATACACCGCAAAAATGATGTCAGTAGGTTTCGAACCAATTCCAAGACAAGCAGATTTTGACTCTGCTGTGGTAACCACTTGGCTAAGACCAGATAGAAGGGCTTCCGAGGAAACTATTCATGAGCCAACATGAAGGTGTGTTTTGATAGAAAAAAAAATGACACTGGGAAGGTTTCGAAGCTGCCCAGTCCAAGGGGAACAGATTTTGATTCCGTTATGATAACCACTTGGCTGAGAGGAGTTGAGAAGGACCTCCGACAACACCATCCACGAGTGAATGTCAAGGTGTGTTCTGATATAAAAAGAACATTTGTCGGCAGGTTGCGACCCTTCGCCGGCCAAGAGAAACAGATTTCGACTCTGTTGTGGTAACCACTTGACCAAGACCTGATAGAGGGACCTTCAAGGAAACTATTCATGAGCCAATATGAAGGTATGTTCTGATAGACAAAAACTGTCATTTGGGAGGTTTCGAACCTGCCCAGTCCAAGAGGAACGGATTTTGATTGCGTTGTGGTAACCACTTCGCTTAGAGCAGTCAAGATGGACCTCCGACAAACCTATCCATGAGTGGATGTCAAGGTGTGTTCCGATAAAAAAACATTTTGGTCGGCAGGTTTCGACCCTGCGCAAGCCAAGAGAAACAGGTTTCGACTCTGTTGTGGTAACCACTTGGCTAAGGACAGTTATATGGACACCGGAGGGAACCACATGAGTCAATGTCAGGGTGTTCCGATAGAAGAAAAACCTCGTCATCTGCAGATTTCAAACCTGGGTGTTCCAACTGCCTTTTTATTATCCAACAAGACCTCCTGTGTTACAGTACTGTTCCACTTCTGCATCATGCCATCCCATGGGGCACTCGTGATGTGGGCGTTGTGGCGCAAGAAGACAAAAATTCATATGTCCTCCCCATGTTCTTGAAACTTGTGCTAGAGTAAAAAACATCATGTCGTTGGTAGGTTTCGAACCTGCGCAGTCCAACTTGAAGAGGAACAGATTTCAACTCTGTTGCGTGACCACCTGACTAAGACCAGTTGAGATGGTCCTCCGAGGAAATCATCCACGAGTGAGTCTTCAAGGCCTGTTCTAATAGAAAAAAAGGCGTGTGTTGGCAGGTTTCGAACATGCACAGTCTAGGAGAAACAGATTTCAATTCCGTTGTGGTAGCCACTTTCCCCAGGAGGAACTTGTGATTCCTCTCCGACCAACTATCGATGAATAAACGTCAAGGTATGATAAGATGGAAAAATGATTTATCGGCAGGTTTCGAACCTGCGCAGTCCAGGAGAAACAGATTTCGATTCTGTCGTGGTAACCGCTTTCGCCAGGGCGAAGTTGAGACGAGTCTCCGGGAACTGTCTGTGAGTGAATGTCAAGGTGTGCTCAGGAGAAAAAACGATTTGTCGCAGGAGAGCAGATTTCAGAATAATCTGTTCTGGCGCTAGTTGGCCATGACTACGCAAGATAGACGTCATGAAGGATCCGTGGATGTTCAAGGTGGGTAAAAGGGGGGGAACCTGCAACTGTTGTAGTTGGCCAGCGTAACTTCAAGGCTACTTGAGTCAGATCAATTTCTCTAATATTGTGAGCACCTGAGTTGACAGCGGCAGTGAAGTGATCGGCGGCTTCTTCGTGATGCGCGTCATCCAAGGCTTTGGTTCCAAGCTCAACACGTAGATATGTCTAATGCGAAAGTTGCAAAGATTAGTGTCGATGAACAAGCGTAGCCGGATCATACTTACTTCCACGACATGAAGCCCGAGAGGATCGGAATTCGGACAAGCGGATTTGGAGTGACCCGTGTCCTTGCCAAGACCCCAGTGCATCTACACCAGTCTGTTCAAAATATTGTGGGTGCACATGGTGCGACTGATTTTCTCCCGGCTCTCCATTCTTTCCTTCAGACGAATCTCCCGCACAACACCATCGTACCAGGCGTTCAAGACCGTTTCAACATTTATCGTCAAGTTGTCATTGTGACGCCACCTGCTTTTCAAGTTAGCGAGGCTCCAATGTCCAGGCGGATTAGAGCCACCCCAGAGAAACTTGCATCAGGACGGAAGGCTGGTAGTCCAGCTCGATTTGATATGGCATTGATATTGGATGGTCCTTGGACTTCACAGCTGTGTTCTCTAGATGGTAAGTTTGATTGGATTTTGGTGTCACAGTGATCCAATCTGATCATAGTCTGCAGCAGGTTTGTGTGTGGCTCAAGTTCGTGCTATATTCTCACTCCCTCATCAGTTTGGTGAATACTCAAGAGCCCTTGCATACATAGAGTGGTTCACGCCTTTCTGAGCACCAGACCCTTCATCTTGAATGCAACAAGTGTCACACTCAACCTGCCAATTTCACCAGAATGCAGCAGTGATTCATGTTGACAACATTGTGTGGCCATGCCATCTAATACTGAAGATGGGAGAGTCAGTGTACCTGAGGTTGATATGTGGTAATGTGTATGAAGCAGCTAATGATTTTTATTTTAATGATTTCATTGATGGTGAGATGTTTTGTGCATCTGTGACAAGTATTTAGAAGCCAGGATGTCCATATATATTTAGTAGACCTGCAAATACTAGATAGTTGTGCCTGTAGCTGCCTGTAGTGACCTGTAGCACAGTGGTAACTCTGGTAGTATCCTGTAGCTACTGTAGCACAGTCATGACTCCTGTAGCTCCATGTAGCATGGCATTAGGATATATAGTGCTATATACTTCTATGTAGCCTAAACAATGCCTACATAGTGCTACAGTGCCTACATGTGCCTATATAGCTGTCAGTGTGCCTACGACGATATTGGTTTTTTCCTGATGTGGTCCCAGTCTTGTTGTTGGGCCATAACAAATGAGCAATTAGCATAGGAAGTATAAGGGTTGGCATCAGTGTTTATTTCTTGGGTGAGTAACTCTTCAGCAGTGGACAGGTCCCCAGTTACACATGCATGGCAAGCTGTCATGATAGCCAGGATCTATGCAAGGGATGCTCTTGGAATTGTGTTATGAGAGTCAAGAATAGAAACCCACCTTTGAATTAGCATCACTAGGTAGTGTCCACTCTGAGATCTTATTATCATAACCTCCACTCAGGATGTGCTTGCCATCCATAGAGAACGTGACATATATTGGGATGGATGAATGCTGGAAGATGGTAATGGTTCGTTGATCTGAGAGCCACCAGAGACGAATATGGTTGTCATCAGATGCAGAAGTGATGAGGGTACCAGCAAGATGAGTGGCAATAGCATTGATACTGCTAGTGTGGCCTTCCCAAGGATGGCCAACCTGTTCCCAGGTCAATGGATCCCACTCTCCTATGGTAGAATCATCTTTATTGCCACCTGAAAGAAGGTGTGTGCCATTGGGCGTCCACACCAGTGACAAGTTGTGTGACTTGTGGCCCTCTAAAGATGTGACACGTTCCCCCGTACCTATATTATAAATGTCAATATTATTGTAGTCTGTTGTGATAGCAAGAAGTTCACCAGAAGGCGAATATCAAACACAGCGGACAAGTGCAAAAGTACCACAGTCAATTGGTTCTGCTAAGCTGCTTGCATCTGCCATGTTTTGGTATACCAAAGCTTCACCATATAGTCACCTGAACCAGTGGCCAGCACTGTACCATCCAGAGAGAAATCCAGTGAGGTGATTCTATTGGTGTGGGCTTTGATGAGCTGGGCTAGAGATTCTCCAGTTTCACCATGCCAGATGATGTTTTCTCTGTCTCTATTGCTGCTTGCTACCAATTGTCCATCTTGTGATACCACCAATGCCAGCACCTCATCATGATGCCCTTCCATCTTCTTCAACACAACACCTGCCTTCAAGTCCCAAAGATGAAGTGTCCTGTCCCTCAAGCCCATAACCATTCGTTGCTTATCGGGGAACACTGTGACTGCTTCTATGGCCCCCTCATGATCTTCAAAAGTTTGAAGGGGTGTGGTGCTTGGATTGAGCTGTGACATTTGATCAGGGGTTGATGGCATTGAGCATGGTTGAGGGACTGTGAGTGTCTTTCTCTAAGCTGCAGAGGCCTGGTGTAGGGCATGAGATTCCTCTAGGTGTAGATCACCCATATTACAACTCAAGATGATTGGTACAGTGCATGACTCACTATCTATAACTTTCCCGCAAAATGCGCCAGAGGCACGACGCTTTCCCACACTATGCGACGCATTCCCGTGCATGCGCTTAGCGCACTCTTCCTGCGCTCAATCACCCTTTGTCACACAGTGTCCTGGAGCATCCATCCATCATCCAACCAGTCCCCTAGTGAGTCCCTTTTCATTTATTTCTTATATCAGACCATTTCTGGTATTGTATGATATATTATTCCATCATGGACCCTTATTTACATCATTTACATACTTAGAGTGCTCCCTATTTGCTTCTGAGCCCTGGGAGCGCACCTAGGCACAGCTTACCTGTGGCCTAAGAAGTTTTCAAATATACCTACAACCACCACAATATAAATGAACCACCATCATGTCAGTAGTCACCTAGAGTTAGAATCCATTGTGACGATCATATTCCCACTAGGCTTGCAATGGCCATCTTTTGATATAGGTGATGGAAAGCTACAAAACCATTGACTGCTTTTCCCGCACTCAACCCACTCCAGATGTGTATTCCTGTGCTCTGCAGACCCGTGCATTCACTCCTGCACTGCGCGCATACCTGCGGTCAATTTCCTGTGCCTTTGGACTACCTTACAAATGTCCCATGTCAGTCCATTGTCCATCCTACCTCATTGATATGTATTTTGTCTTGCCTCATGTGTTGTAACAAGTGTTGCAGTCTTATTACATGTCTTTACATATTCCTACTGCCTGTCTGTCCTGTCCCTTCCGTTTCCAAGAGGGTTTAGCTAGTATGAAGTGCCTAGAGTGACTACTTCATATTTACTTCCCTTCTACAGTATTTCCTTCCCTTAGGTTTTACTTAGGAGCAGTCACCTTTAGTGTGCGCTTTTAGCCCCTATTGGTTACCTTATACCTGGACACCTTGTCTTGACTTTCCTTACCCATGCAATCAATACCCTTGCCCTCACTTGTTACCTGCACCATTCCTTAAAACTTCCCTACCCCTTACCCTAGCATCTCGCACTTCCACATCAACCACTCATCAACCGCTCATCAACCGCTCATCAACTGCACTTCTGCATTCCCGCACTCTACATACCTGCGCACTTGTTCCCATGCTCTGCGCACTTTCGGGTCTTTAGTATCATCGGCTGTTCTCAGTAGCAATTCCCTTTAGGGTTGAACATTCTTGCTTGCAAGTGTAGCAGATAGGCAGAGCATCGACCTACAACAATATTTTTGGTTAGGCACTTTAACAAGTGTATAGCCATTGTTGTGTTTGCACACTGGGCCTGGAGCTTTATAGCTGCTTAGCTTTGCAATTGTGCAGGTGATCTCCTCTTGACAAAATGGGGTGTGAGGTGCTACAGGATCAGGGTAGTCTGTGTCGGGAGGAACAGAGTTGTCAGCAGGAGGAGGGGGAAAGAAGGACTCAGCTAGGATTGTGCTTTTTTCTTGATTGGTGGTGGCTTTGGCATGGGTGCCATCTGGTCTTCGAATATTGAGGGTTGGGATGCAGGCCTTGCCACCATCTTTGGGTGCTGAAGAAATATATTTGTTAGCAGTCCATAGGTTGTTACCTTCTATATCTTCCAGCCAGTCTATCCAGTGTTGTTTCTTCATCAACTTGATTTCTTCTGCATATCGATTCTTGATAGACTTGAGATCATTGTGGCAGGCGTGGTCAGGGAGGCCCCAGAGTTGATAGGCCAGGTGGCTGGCTTTGTTTACCTGTCTATGGAGGTTAGTAAGGTCCTTTGTCCACCAGTGCTTCAAGTGTGGGTAAGGGTTGGTGAACAGGACAGTGGCTTCCATTGCGGTGGTGATAACTCTGGTGGGGCTGCTTGCAGCTTGCTGAAACTCTTCTTCAGATGCTAGAGGAACAGGGGGGAATGGTTCAAGTGATTTGCTGAGGTGTTCATTGAAGGCTTCCCAATCAGTATCTCTCCAGTTTCTCCTGGGTTCAGATGGGGATTTGGTCGTTTTGAGTTCTAGAGTTAGGAGGATGGGGACGTGGTCCATACAAGGGCCATGTTGGCTTTGGTTGGTGTCACAAAAGATAATTGAGTCCACAATAGATTCCATCCCTAGGATGTTATCTGGTCTAGTCCAGTTACCAGTGGAGTTAGCTTGGAGGGTAGGGATTCTGCAGGGAAGCAGCTGTAACATGCCATAGTTAGCGATGAGGTCAATGAGCGGGTTTGCTGCTGTGTAGTTGAACAGGTGGCAGTTACAAATGTCCTCCCATAAGGGGTGGTGACAGTTGAAGTCACCCATCCATAGCATGTGGTCCATTTCCGTGGCACGGATGGTTTCAATGTTTGCTTCAAGGTAAGTATTGAGGGCCGTAAGAGTATCTTGGGAGTTACCATTGTTATAGATGTTGAAAATTGAGCATCCACCGTAGGGACCAGTTAGTTGCATTATGACCACATCTGAAGAGGGGAATGGTATCTGTTTCCAGAAGTTAGTATTGATAGATGAGTTTACAAGCGTGATCACCTGGGAGTGACACTGAGGGTTAGTGAAGTGTTCTGTGGGATATAGTACATGCCAGCAGTGATTAGCACAGGTGTTACGAAGGAAGTTAATGTAAGGTTCTTGAATGATTATGAGGTCCCAGTCTCTTGTGAGTGCAGAGTTATTGAGGAGGGAAACTTGTGTTACCATAGATGTGTTGAGGTTCTGTTGCAATATGCATAGGTGAGCTAGAGGGTTAGTGGCATGATTAGACATGGTTGGGAGAGCTGGATGGGGAGCTGTCGGGGTTGTTGTCCCCGAATGCGGGGGGTGGGGAGGGGGGGAGAGGGAGGAGGGGGAGAGGGAGGAGGGGGAGGAGGAAGAGGGAGAAGATGAAGAGGAGGAGGAGGAGGAAGAAGGAGAGGAGGAGAAGGGGGGGATGGGGGTGGTGATGAGGCTGTGGATGGATTTGTCTTGAGGATGTTGTGGTGACTGTTCATGGGGGGGTTGGTTGGGGAGTGTGATTGTTGTTTGGTGAAGGCATCCAGGAGGGAGGCTATGAGGGCTTTGAGAAGAGGGATATGGGGAGGTAGAGGTTCTGGCTGGTCTTGGTGGATGGGCAGCATGTGTCCATGTGTGTTCAGTGGGGAAGTATGGCATTCAGTTCTCAGGGTGCTTGTTGTTGAGTTCCTTGCATCATTTAACGAATTCTGGACATGACCAGCTCCAGCTCATGTGTTGTTGGCTTTGGCAATTGACACAGCGTGTTGTGCGGTAGGAGTTGCAGGCTGAAGTGTGATGTTGGTTCCCACATGTACTGCAGATATCCTGTGGGGAGGTACAGTTTTTAGCGATATGATTGAATTTCTGGCACTTAACGCAATGCATTGGTTCCTTTCTGTCCTTTCTAGTGCTGATTCTCTCATTTTCCAAGCAAATTCCCTCCTGGATGATGTCATTTGCTGTTTTGATGTCAGTGACATGGAGTAGAGTGAAGGCTTTCCTTTGTTCCGCTGAGCATTTCAGGGGCAGTTTGATCCATCTGATTGAGGCCAGGGTGTTGGTGTCTAACTGGTTTTCTGCTTCTACTTGTTGTAGGAAACCTTCTTGTTCAATCTGCATTTGAATGGGTAAGTATTCAAGGACTAGAGGGTATTGGCATTGGCGGAACAATACAGAAATGTCCAGGTGAGCCTCCAGTGCAGTCCTACCTGGTTGGCTATTGAGCCATTTGGCCAGTGATTCAGTTTCCAATTCAACTATTATACCTCCATTATGTAATGCAGTGATCGAGCATATGGTGCCTTCTGGAGTGGAATTGTTTCTTGCAGCTTCCAATGCAGTCTTGATTTTGGTTGCCATGTCGCATTTTGAGGTGTTCAGTGAGAACAGTACTCCTCCTGGGAGGGGGTCCAGTAGGATTTGGTGTGCTTGAAGTGCTGCACAGCCTATTGCCTTGTCTACTTGTGGTGGTAGGTGGGTTGTGACCACTGAGCTGTAGGAAGGGTGGACAGTTCCTTGGGATGGTGCTGGGGTTTTGAGGATCTGTGTAGGGAGCTGGTCAATCTTTTCCTGTGTTGCATCTAGGGATGGAGTTAGTATCTGAAGCGCTTTCTGGTAGGTTTCTACTGAGTCGTGGAGAGCATCTGCAGCATCCTCAATATGGTCTGCCACAGTCTTGACATTATCCTCTTTTTCTGTCCTTTCCCTTCCTATGGAGGTGTGAAGTGCAGACATTTCCTCTAGTGTCGATGTGAGGGATTGTGAGGCATCATATACCAAGGCGACCTGGGGTGATATAGCTGCTATAACATGGTCTACCAGTTTGGCAGTGATATCCTCCGTGATTCTCTTAGACATGGTGCTGGCTATGTTGGCATCAGCCAGTTTGGTGATGAGAGAGTGCATGACTTGCTCCATGATGGCATCTGCTGCACCACTAGTTTCTACATCCTTCAGGAGGAAGGCTACTGCCTGGATGGCTGTGACAACCAGGACCAGTGTGGAGCTTGACATTTGCATAATCTGGAAAAGTACTGAGATCAGGTGATTTACTGTAAATGGTGCGTCCTTGACTCTATTTGTGAGAGCTTCTATTGCTTCTTGTGTGATGGGTGATCTTGCTGTTTTGCATGTGTTGAGCCCGTAGGTTGGTGAAATAGTGCATGAGGTGGGCAATGCAGTCAGTCTGATGCTCATGCTTCTTCTGCCTCCAGGCATGTTGAGGGCATGCTTGGTGTTTTAGAAAGGAGAAGTGGGTTAGTTTGAATATTTCCGCTGGGGTGGGATGACGCTGTTAGGCGGCAAACGCACTGTTGAGCACATTGAATGATAAGGATTTTTCAGGGTCCTTGTCAGGGTGCCACTTGGTTTGGGTCCAAGAAGCAATCCATCTGTTCTGTTAGAGGTCACAGAGGTGGTTGAGCACATCTTTCTTTCATGACATTTTCCTGATGAGTGGATACATAGCCTGCGTTTTACTCATCGAAGATGCTCTTTGGGTCCTGATCTAATATTAATCACCAGAATAGTAATCCATGTTGTTTACTGATCTGACCCCCTCGTGCCAGTGCACAATTTGCGGATCACTGTCAACTTGTCACAGTGCCAGTCCCGAAGAATTGGAGGGGATGAAAAAGGGTTGCAAGAAATGATGACAAGACTTGGGCATAATTTGTACCCGAGCAATCTATAGTCCGATGCACATGCATGTTTGATATGTATACTGCATGGATATCATCTTTAAAGTGCAGATGCAAGCCACTCAGAAATCCATAAACTTTGAAACAAAAACATACAACTACAATATTTCTATGGTCCTGATGTCCATCAGGTCTCCAATGTCGTTGACCTGTCCAATGATGTCATGATCCGATGCAATTCTCTTGTATTCTCCACTGTGCTGCTGTGCTAGCAAAAATGTGCCAAAAGGCTGCTGAAGGCAAACAAGCATTGTCATATTGCAGGATGTGAGCTGACGCCACTACGCCACTCGCCTTTGTCCTGTTTGGTTTGTGCTCGGACCAAGTTGCTCCCTCTCCATCGCTATCGCGGATTGCTCAGACTCCGACAGCATCGACATAAAACAGGAACATCAGAACGATATGGCTCAGTCTGCCACTTTCAATTCTTCAAGCCTCACCGAAGCCTCGTCAATGGACACTCCTCTGGTCATTGGCTCTTCCAATGCGATCGAGGGTGACTTGAAAGCTAAAGGTGGGGAGGTTACATCATTTTCCTGAATGACTGTCAGACTCACTCTGTCCTTAGCTTGTACGTATTCTTCTGGCCTCCAGCCCCATTAACATTTTTTTCATTCAGTGGTCAATGCCGATAGTTTGTTTTGGTCAGTCTGTCGAAAATCTAGGTTGGCACGTATGCACCTCAGGGACATATCTTATATGTCTGAGACAACTTTCATGAAGTGTGCGCCATGAAGGTGAATTCCTGTTCATGGACAGACTATAAAGGAGGTTTTGGCGCAATGACTGGGCCTAGTTAAGACATACCTCTGAGGATCTTTACACCACAAAAATGATGGCAGTAGGTTTCGAACCAACTCCAAGAGAAGCAGATTTTGACTCTGATGTGGTAACCGCTTGGCTAAGACCAGATAGAGGGACCTCCGAGGAAACTATTCAAGAGCCAATGTGAAGGTATGTTCTGATAGAAAAAAAAGCTGTCACTTGGAAGGTTTCGAGCCTGTCCAGTCCAAGGGGAACAGGTTTTAATTCCATTATGGTAACCACTTGGCTGAGAGCAGTTAAGATGGACTTCCGACAAAGCCATCTATGAGTGAATGTCAAGGTGTGTTCTGATAAAAAACATTTTTGTCAGCAGGTTTCGACCCTGTGCAGGCCAAGAGAGACAGATTTTGACTCCGTTGTGGTAACTACTTGGCTGAGACTCGATAGAGGGACCTTCGAGGAAGCTATTCATGGGTCAATTTGAAGGTATGTTCTAATAGAAAAAAAAAACTGTCATTTGGGAGGTTTCGAACCTGCCCAGTTCAGGGGGAACAGATTTTTATTCCATTGTGGTAACAACTTCACTGAGAGCAGTTAAGATGGACCTCCGACAAAACTATCCATGAGTGAATGTCAAGGTGCATTCCGATAAAAAATATTTATTGGCAGGTTTTGACCCTGCGCAGTCCAAGAGAAACTGATTTCGATTCTGTTGTGGTAACCACTTGGCTAAGGCCAGTTATATGGACACTGAAGGAAACAACATGAGTCAATGTCAAGGTGTTCCGATAGAAAAGACTTGTTATCGGCAGATTTCAAACCTGGTGTTCCAACCACCTTTCCATTGTTGTACGACAAGACCCCCTGTGTTAGTGTGTCACAGTACCATTCCACTTCTGCATCATGCTGTCCTGTGGGGCACTCGTGATGTAGGTGTTGTTGTGCAAGAAGACAAAAATCCATGTCCTCCCCATGTTCCTCAAACTTGTGCCAGAGTAAAAAACATCATGTTGTTGGTAGGTTTCAAACCTGCGCAGTCCAACTTGAAGAGGAACAGATTTCGATTCTGTTGCGGTGACCACCTGGCTAAGACCAGTTGAGATGACCTCCAAGGAAATCATCCACGAGTGAGTCTTCAAAGCCTGTTCTAATAGAAAAAAGTCAGTTGTTGGCAGGTTTTGAACCTGCATAGTCCAGGAGAAACAGATTTCAATTCCGTTGTGGTAGCCACTTTCCCCAGGAGGAACTTGTGATTCCTCTCCGACCAACTATTGATGAATAAACGTCAAGGTATGATAAGATGGAAAAATGATTTATCGGCAGGTTTCGAACCTGTGCAGTCCAGGAGAAACATATTTCGATTCTGTCATGGTAACCGCTTTCGCCAGGGCGAAGTTGAGACAAGTCTCTGGCAACTGTCTGAGTGAATATCAAAGTGTGATTAGAAGGGAAAACAATTTGTCGCAGGAGAGAAAATTTCAGAGTAATCTGTTCTGGTGCCAGTTGGCTATGACTACACAAAATAGACATCATGAAGGGTCCATGGATGTTCAAGGTATCAAGATGGCATTCATTCATATGTATTTTATCTTACATACACAATCACTCCTTTCTACACATGTTCGACGCATGTTCCTCTTTGACTCTCCATCTCAATTAGCGTATTGATTCTTCCTTCTGTCAGATGATTTCCCTCAGTCTTTGATCCCAGACTGAGGTAAGATCCCTTGCTTATGATTCTATATATTCTACTAACTACGATCCTACTTAGTCCCTTCCTTGTTCCTAGGTATGATCTATAGTTATCAATAGTCTTTGATCCCAGACTGAGTCCCTTCCTTGTTCCTAGTCCGAGTCTTGTTGCCTTTTGATAGGTTATGAGCCCTGGCTCAGACTAGGCATTACATTCGTTCTTGCTTCCCTCTTTTCAGCCTATCTGAGCCATCCTGGCCTTTCCCGAACTGGAACAAGGCCGCCCTCTATCACCGCTTGATCTGCAGATCCTTTTCATTCCTTTGCCACTGTCACCACCATTGACTCCTGTCCTCTCAACTCCTTCATTGCCAAATCTGCTCACTCTTCCCATTCTATTGTTGCCATCGCTGACATATCACTCTATACCAGCAATGTCCACTATCTCTGCATCCAACATTCAAATTCCCACTTCGTTTCCTCACTCTCTGCTAGATGCCAATGGCTCAAACTACACCTCGTGGGTGATGGCTATGGACCTTCGGCTTTCACTCTTCAATCTCTGGCGCCTCCTTACTGGTGATGAAAAGGGCCCTCAGCACCCAAGTAAAAGTCCCACTGAGTCTGACAACGACTTTAATAAATGCCTCACAACCCACGATGCAAGTGTGGACATCGTTTCATTCCAGGAATGCCAGAGTATAACCAAAGGATTACTCAGCATGGCGGTCCATTCAAGTGACCTGATTCACTTTACAGGTGCCACTGACCCAGCCACTATCTGGAAGGCACTGGAGGACAAATATCAGGTGTCTGTCAGCATCCACTTTATGAGCCTTATGGGCCATGTTTTTGATCTTCATCAGCAAATCACTTTGCCTCTGTGGGCTCTGTACAGCTCTGTACAGAAGGGACCAAGCTGTGGCCAGCCATTTTTTGGTGGTGGGAAAAAAAGTGTTTTACTGATATTCCCAAAGCTTCCGACAGTGACTCTCTTACCAACACTATTAAGGAGATAACAGATATCAAAGCTCAGTTCAAGGTTATCAAGTCTGTGGAGTGGAAGTGCAATGAATATACACTCGTCCAAGCATTATTGCGTGCCCTCCCTGACTTCTATGTGCTGCTCTCCCAGCTTATACCACATACTTCAGTCATTTCCTTACATAGAACCCCTGCCCTGGATGTGCCAAAAGGTTGTAGAATCATGGCTAGCCAGTCCTCGGCCAGTGCATGTAGAACAAGTGCTGGCTGGTGTACTATCTGATTATCACCTGAATATCATTTGTTCATGTAGGATAGGCACTGGCCAGTGTATAGTATGCCAATGTCTTTCATGTAGAATTGGTGCTGGCCTAAAGTATAGTAGGCCAATGTCTTTCATGTAGGATTGGTGCTGGCCGAGGTATTATAGGCCAATCTCTTGTATGTAGTATCAGTGCCAGCCGATATATCATATGACATATACTAGCCACTGGCTGGTATATGTAGGATATATCTACTGCAGTCTGATTTCATTAGTAGACTGGCCAGCTTGTATGTACATGTGTAGGACCATGGCTGGCCAGTTTGTAGTCCTTAAGTGTACTAACCAGAGGATCAAGCTGGCTAGTATATGTAGTCATTAGTGAATCAGCCAGCCTGTATATACATATGTAGGAACATGGCTGGCTGGTTTGCTTATATTTCACTAGCAAGCCGGCCAGCTTGGTCCTATGTATGTAGGAGCATGGCTGGCTGGTTTGCTTATATTTCACTAGCAAGCCGGCCAGCTTGGTCCTATGTATGTAGGAGCATGGCTGGCTGGTTTGCTTATATTTCACTAGCAAACTGGCCAGCTTGGCCCCACATGTGTAAAACCATGGCTGGCCAGTTTGCTTATATTTCATTAGCAAACCGGCCAGCTTGGCCCCACGTGTGTAAAACCATGGCTGGCCAGTTTGCTTATATTTCACTAGCAAGCCGGCCAGCTTGGCCCCACGTGTGTAAAACCATGGCTGGCTGGTTTGCTTATATTTCACTAGCAAGCTGGTCAGCTTGGTCCTATGTATGTAAAACCATGGCTGGCTGGTTTGCTTATATTTCACTAGCAAACTGGCCAGCCATGGTCCTACACATGTAGGCCTAGGCTGGCTGGTTTGCAGCCCTTAAGTTAATACTGCCCAGTAGGTGGACTTACAACATGTCATTCAACGTGAAATTTGCAGGAGTGTTGGTATAATATATCAAAGTACAAATCCACACCCATTGAAAGCCTTCTCAGCATCCTGAGCAAACCTTCTCCACATCAAGACCTGTTGATAAGCATAGGCTTGATGACCAGGTCTAGTCGTTTCCTGCCACCTTCTGTTCCATTCTTTCTGGTGATACTTGAACCAGTTTATGGTCCAACCCATTTCATGTCTTACCAGACTCAACTCCTCCTGCCATCTACTCCATCTAGCCTTTGCCTTCAACCAGTTGACTCTATAGACTAAATCAGAGTGAGTTGAAGTGACTTGCACTTGAGATAAAATTTTGTTCTTACATTCATCCATCCAAGCATCTTCTTGACCTTCATTGCCATTATTCACCCTCCAAAACCAAGCCAGTCTGTCTGACCCTTGACCAAATCTATTTTCTTCTGTCACCTCTTTGTCAATACTGAGTTTGGTGGGCAATATTTCTCAATAAATACTGCCCAAGGTAGCTTCATCCATGCCTAGACGTTGCATTGCTGACCTTGCCCTCTGATAGCTTCTTACATATTTGTCAATTTTGAGCTGACATCGATGAGCTTCTTGCTTTGACCTGGTGCCAGCCCATGTGGAATCAGCACTTCGAAAATACTGACGATAGATAAGGGCCTTGTGACCGAGAGCCATATGAAGGTTTTCTAGGCAGTCATTAGCTTGGCCTTTTCGAAGCTCCAATTCTTCAGCTTGGAGGGGGCCCAGCCCAAGAGTCAATCTATTGTGTTGTGATGTTGAAGATGGCATCCAGATACCCATCTCTTCTGTGAGGATTTCTTCATCTATATCCTCTGAGATCTCTTCATCTGAAACCTCCACCCACTCATTACCATTGTTATCTGTATGACAGAATCTAGGATCGTCAGAATGCACTGTTCCAATATCAAGATCCATGCCAGCAGTCATAGCATTGGTGGTTTCATGAAATTTGGTGATCCTAGCTGCCAATCTCTGCCGCTTTTCTTCTATAGAAGCTTTCTGAGCAGAGGTTGCATCATTAGGAAGTTGTCATATATTTGCTCTCAATGCATCCCTAAAATAGCACTTTGTCAAGCCATTCTGCTGTTCCAATCAACCATGTACTGTAAATCCTCCAGATTGATACCAGTGATGAGCCAAGATACTGTTCCTGGATGTCTGTCATCATTGTTCTCAGACTCAGTTAATTTGAGCCGAATCTCTGCCATAGTTGGGGCTGAACTCAGTTCCAGATTAGATGTCTTATAAGCCTCAGACCCAGACAGAGCTGTGAGCACTTACCTTTGTTGATCTGCAACTGGTAGATGTCAAGATACTCCCCACATTCTTCCACAGCCTTTTTCTCATCAATTTCCCACATCAAAATCTTCTCAGGATTCAGAGACTGGGACAGTTCATCAAAAGGAGACTTTGTTTCATCAACACCTTTGAGAGCACGTTTATACTTTGTCAAGAGAGTCTTCACTAGAATTTTAAGTGTCAACCACAGTTTTTGATATATACATGATTGAAGTGCTTACTTATTCCAACTAATTTTTTCCAGTTTGAGTCTCTCATATGATTGTCAAGAACTTCTTGGCGATGAGCATGACTCATTGACTGAGCAGTTGGGGAAATCTTATTGAATGGTGCCCATAGGGTTTCCAAAATCTCCCCATCAACATGTCCAGCACCTTGAACAAAGTTGAGGCTGTACCTTGCAAAGAAAGCCAATTTGTGAGCGCTGAGATGGAACTTTCCAACCGCAGGGATGATCTGCATATTTTCTGGTATTGATAAGCTTTGGCTCTCAGCAACTCTCTGTAAAAAATTAATACTCCACTGACACCCCACATCATAAATAATGAGAGAGGAGTCTATACCAGACAAATGATAATTCAAAGCATTGGATATTGAATAGTCAATGTTCATGTGTCTAAACATCCTATGAGCTCACTTAATGTGCTGTTTAGGAGGATGTACAGACCTTTTGCCCTTCTGGAAATCAACTATGCTGTGTGGAACAAAGCATCCATGTTGAGCACAGGCAGTTGCTCCTACCCCTGTTACTTAAAGATTACTCCTGCTGATATTGGCGGTGTTGATCACTCAGTGATTGCTACAAGAAGAGCGCTATACAGGCTGTCAAGCAAAGTCAAATACCCTTGCTACAGGTCAACTCACCTCCTTACTTTCAACAGCCAATGAGAGATGAGTCTAATATTCTCTATCTTTCACCATATAACCAAGACCATCTGAAAGACTGATGTCTAACTGTGGTTTTTTCATAGTCATATGTTGAGCAGTAAAGTTTCCATCCACAACAAATCTTTGCAAAATGAGCCAACTGTGTAAAGAATAAGTATAAGTTCAATGAGTTGACAGACAATGTATTATCTGAGTTTAGCCAGCCAGCATGGTTCTGCTTGCTGTCTATACAGTCCTGGCCAGCCAAATACAATATCAGAGTTTGGCTGGCTGGCCCAGGTCTACAGCCTGTCTATACAGTACTGGCCAGCTTTGTTAGAAACTAAGCCAGCAAGGCCAGAGTTTGTGTACAACATGTAGCACACAGCCGGCCAGTCAGTATAATGTTCTTTGTTGCATAGAAGAGAAAGCCAGCTTCCTTATAATCCAAACCACAAATAGATGACTTGCCTTTCATACTTGTCTTGCCAGTTATCAGGTATGTTGATGCCAGGCTGAGGACATGAAGGGCAAAACCAAGCCAGATCACCCTTGCCAGGTTTCTCCCTAGTGTCATGCCCAAATCCAAAGAATTTTCAGCTCATCAAGTCTCTCCATAGACGTGACACCCTCATGAGTTCCTGATATTAATTCTAGCCAGCAAAGGCATTTAATATGGTCAGTCCAACTGTTGAAAAGAATAACTATATGCTCTCACAGGAACAGTACCAGGGAATGAGTGATTGGTCATGCATCAAATTTTCTCAAAGAAGCTTGATGCTGAAGTCTTGCACTCCAGGCACATCAATTAGAAAATGATCTAAGACTTCAAAAGTGAAGGCAGTTCGAGGTCAAGTGATGCTTGCAGGAAATAACCTGGCCTTCAGCAACTGCAGATGCTGCTGATGCTTAGACCCAGGACAACCACACCAAACAACATTGTGCAAAAACACTCCAGTTGAATGTATGATGGTCAAGGTGGATGTCGTAGTTGAACTGGAAAATGTCTCCATTGGCACAGACCCAGCCTCTGCATCCAATGCACATCCTCCCATGCCTGTGGGTCTTCAGAAAATGGACACGGTTGCCCCCCATGGCCCATATACCAGACAATACCTAATTCTTCGAGTGACTTGTCTTCAAAGCATTTTCCAGTCTACTCTTGAACCTTGTGAAAGGGCAAACATTGATGGGTTTTGACAATGCAAGGATGACACAATGTCTGATCCCTACTGCATGTCAAACAATGGAATTTCCCTTCACTGATCTGACAAGACTGGCACTCCAAGACATCAGAGGGCTTCTCCAAGTCAAGGAGGATATTGAGGTATGTGTCTCGGAAAGGCAGATATTCTTGGATAAAGTCATTCTGAGTCTAGTTCATTTGATCTTAATTGAGTATAAAATTAAATTTCTATGCATCAATCTTGTCACCTTTGTTTTTCTTGATTGGATCTCTGTATATGAATTAAAGTCACCGAGGACTTCTCCATCAAATTCCTCCTGAATGTTTGGCAAGCCTTGAGTTTCCTCTCTAACCTGTTTATGAGGGCTAGAGGAAGGAGATGGTGTTGGGGCAGTGTTGTAGAGGGCATCAGCACACGATTCTACCCAGGTCATCTTCCTTTTCTTTCCAACGACTTGTTTGTGAGACACATAGTCGACATCTAGGTCCTTGCCTTTGGATAATCAACCTCTTCCTTTGAAGGAAAATGTAGCTGCCTTGAGGCAAGTTTTTTTTTGGGGAGACATACTGTTACTAAGGCAAAAGAGGATGTCCTTGATATTTTGATTGTAATTGACAAAATCATTCATAGAAATTGCTAAACTACTACCTCATTTAGATCTAGTACCTAGTACGTATGCTCAAACACCTGACTTATCCCTTCACCCCCTCCCCCCACCCCCCTCCTAGGTTTGCCTTCCCACTATCTGCAAAAAAAAGTCCTGTGTTGGAAATGCTGGTCTTGGCACCTCCACCCTAGAATGAACTTTATCTTTCATGAAATGGGCAATGACAAGCCTTTCTCCTTTAATCCATGGGCCAATAGAATGCTCCAGAACCTTCCCTGAAATGAAGACCATGGTCCCAGGGTGATAATCCAGCTCCGCTCCGATATCTTGTAATGTCAATTTGGCCTCATGGCCACTACCCAAACTCACTAAAAGATCAAAGAGTGAATGTGCCCCACCAGGGTCTCTGTGAGAGAATGTGATGCGGTTGGCAATTACTTCCAATCCAGAAAAGATTGAGGGCCATTGAGACATGGGCACTGCCAGATCTGGTTTACTCACCCCCCTGACTTGCTGTACAACTTCCAAAATAGCAGTGGAACCTGCTTCAAATAGACCAGGAGCCGAGGTAGCAGTAATTGCATTCCAAAAATATTCAGTAGTTGATAAGGCAGCAAGCCACTCTTGGACTTCTGCAGATGAGTATGAAGCAGATGTGACCAATGGGTCTTGAATTCTTTGCAAAAATGAGCAAGAACTAGCTAGATGTTTTTGATTAGACAAATACCTCATGTCTTTGCATAAAATATGCCAGAGATACTGTAACTCTTCCTGCTCCGAAAATTCCCCCTCCCTCAGGCACAACAAAGCCTTGAGATCGCCAAGATGGTTTTGAGGCCGATGAAGTCAGAACAGTTCTAAGAAGCATCTTTCGTAAACCCTTAGTGGCTGTGTTCACATAGTCCTACAAATAATTAATGTTACAAGAGGGAATCCCCATCAAATAGAGGACTTACAACTCAAGATCTTGACAAGATACCAGGCAAGTACACCATCATTATTTTACCATGTTTGTCCACAATGGTTGCTGGTGCAGACATTTTGCCTATTGCTGCTGGTGGGAAGTATTTCTGTAGCCATTCTATTTCTGGGGAGGGTGAACCAGTCTGCCTTGGGTAGAGAGCACTTTGCCATCTTAGCATATCTCTTAACATCCCAGTCTACATAATCTGCCACTCAGATTAAAACCCCAGTAAATTGGTTATTATGTATGTAACTCACAAGGATTTACCATTGCATAAGCAATTGTGAGCGCTGCTTAGTTTATTTCATATTTAGATATCGAGGAAGGACACTTTGATGGGGCATCAGCTGTTGCCAAGCAACTGTTCAGTTGCACTCCAATTCTCAACCTGAACAGGTTAGCAAGTCAAAACATAATGTTAAATGATGAACTGTCATACCTTGCCTTGTGTAGAAGGTGAGATTGTACTTTCCCCTCCTTAAAAACACTTGTGTTTGCAGAATCCCTCATAATTTGAGTGATCTGACCAGTGAGTGCAGCCCTTAGCTTTGTTGTTTCACTTCTTAAGTTGTCCATGTGAGGGAGGGAGGAAATATGAACCGACTGAAACAAAGCAAAAATTGTTGTCAGAATTCCCGCACTGTCAAATTAGTCCAAATTTAGGTATATTGTAGATATGAAATGATGGAAGCAACTGATAGAAAACAGAAGCGGCTAATTTAACTAAAATGGTATATTATATGAGATCAACAGTTCCACCAATTCAGAACTTAGATTACATCACACATAAGACTTGGTTCAAAGTGACAAGGCACCTGTTACCCTTGAATTTTGAATGAGGATCTAAGTATTCTATGATTTTCGAAGTTGAACATGTGGAATGACAAGCGGCTAATAAGAACTCACCAATGGTGAGGGATGATACTTTGTGCAGTGGAGGGCATATGCGTTGAATGTGGAGCTTCACTTGAGAGTTAGAAGGCAATGGTGGGGGAGGTAGACAAGCAAACAGATGGGTTATGAACTGTGTGGACAACTGCAAAGGCTGCTCATGACCATGAAATGGGTCAGAGTGTCTTGTGGAAGGTTGAGTTGATTGGGGTTTGGGTGGTGCCTATGCGAAGTTGAACACATGGAATGATGAGCGGCTAATAAGAACTTTCTGAAAGGGGGGGTGGGGGGGTAAGTACAAGTGGACCATGTACAGCAGCCATGATGGGGTGATCATTGAGTGGACTCACCAACGGTGCAGGATGATAACCCATACGTGAATGAGGAACGCTCTGGGCATTCTGAAAGGGGAGGGGGTGGGTAGGTACAAGTGGACCGTGCACAGCAGCCTTGATGGGGTGATGAGTGGAATGGGCAGTGTGGTGTCGAGAAGGAAAAAGTGATCTGAAAAGTCAAAGTCAAAGTCAATATTGGGATTTTAGTTAGAACGGGACTGGCAGTATGCAGTACTGCACATTGAGTCTCAAATGTTGCTGATTGGCACTTTCAGCACACCAAATGGCATACTTGACAAGGCAGAGAGTTGTTGAAGCTTGCTTCTTGGAGTAGTAGTAGTAAGTAGTAGTGATGGCAGCAGGTACTGCTAGTGAACTTGTGCATTGCACGCAAAACAAAGTGTTTCAATGGTGTTTCACATTGGTTACTTTTATTTCGTGTGCTTCAAGTTGAATCAACCAAGCTTCAATTTCATAAGGCATTTTTGCAATAGATTGTTCAGTTGCTTTGTCCATTTGATATGATTCTCAAGCTATTTACAGTGGCTCAAAAAACTGTCCACATGTTTTGACATTTTTCACTATCTATGATATTGTGTGAGAACGAACAAATGCCTCAAGGACATGCTTATACCACATTGTAGTATGGCTTCAGGGCTTTCATCTGAGCCCTACACCGTGGGAATCGGTGGAGATATGGTAGAGACATAAGGCTTATAAAATGATGACTCATGTGGACAGTTTTTTGAGTGTATATTAAAACTATATAAATCATTATTTATGACACCACAAAAATCATGCCACTATTATATAAATTATGAAGTGGTGTCATTATGTTATTTTATGACTATATCTAACTATATAAACCAGAATATCTCATGTATCATAGTCATAATCACCATGAAAGCCATCTCCTCCACTCAAAGAGATAATATCCTCTCTCTGTCTTATGCTGGCCTCCCTGCTCGCCAAATTTCCTCTAGAACTGGAGTATACAAGTCCACTGTGGCCAAGTTTATCAAAGAAAGCCACCCAGACAAGGAAAACTCTTGTGGAGGACATCCATCCAAGCTTACCTCTACTGACAAAAGGGCTATTATCCAACATATCACTACAGGAAAGGCTGATAATGCTGTCCAAGCCACCCATTATATCAATTCCACCATCACTACCCCTGTCTCTTCACAAACTGTGAGGAATGTTCTCAAGGCAGTAACAAAGAAGAAAAAGCCTTTTCTCTCCATCAAACATAGGCAGAGAAGACTAGCCTTTGCCTTAGCTCATCAACACTGGACTGTAGAGGACTGGAAGCATGTTATATGGTCAGATGAGACCAAAATCAATAGGATTGGGTCAGATGGGAAGGTATATGTATGGAAAAGAAGGGAGATGGCCTAACAGACAGAGAGGTTAATGGGACTGTCAAGTTTGGAGGAGGTTCTTTAATGGTATGGGGCTGTATGGGATGGAATGGTGTGGGAATGCTTGCTGAGGTTGAGGGGAAGATGAATGCTGAGCAGTATGTGGACATTTTAAATGACCACTTGCTGCCTAGCTTGGCAGAATCAGGGATTGATGAAGAAGATGTCATTTTCCAACAGGATAATGATCCCAAGCACACATCCAGAAGAGCTAAGGAATGGTTTGAAGAACATAACATCAATGTTCTTGACTGGCCAGCACAGTCTCCTGATGTCAATGTCATTGAACATCTCTGGGGAACACTCAAGAAAAAGCTTCAAGCCTATGAAAACCCCCCTAAAGGAGTATGGGAGCTTTGGGAGAGAGTAGCAGTGGAATGGGGGAAGATCACAGCTGAGGATTGCCAGAAATTAATTGAGAGTATGCCTAGAAGGATAGAGGCAGTAATTAAAGCCAAGGGAGGTCATACAAAATACTAGAATACCTGGTTATTATTGTAAAATACTTGAGTCAAAAAACTGTCCACATGAGTCACCATTTTGTGAGCCTTGTATCTCCACCATATCTCCACCGATTCCCACGGTGTAGGGCACAGATGAAAGCCCTGAAGCCATACTACAATGTGGTATAAGCATGTTCTTGAGGCATTTGTTCATTCTCACACAATATCATAGATAGTGAAAAATGTCAAGACATGTGGACAGTTTTTTGAGCCACTGTACATGATATCTATAGATTTTACACTTGCAGTTCTCACTGAGAACATTGGGTGTTGAGTTCATTTTCCACCAGCACAGCTGGTGTACCAAGAAAATGCACATGGTCATGTGATTTTTTCCACTAGCAACAATTCACATCATTTTGGCCTACTATTCAAAGAAATAGTGCAAAGTACACAAGCAAATATTTTACTACAAGTGTAATATGAAAATCGAGTGTGGAAGTCAAAGGCAAGCAGTGAGACTTTGATGAGGGAGCCCTCCTCACTAAAGCCTCATGCTCAAAGAGAAAACTAAGTAGTAAAATGTGTAATATACATCCTACAACTGTGTTAGACAGACATTGATTAGAAAAATGACGCTTACCACAAAGAAACAGGGGGCACAGTATCATATACATCCTACAACTGTGTTAGACAGACATTGATTAGAAAAACGACACTTACCACAAAGAAGCAGGGGGCACAGTACAACACGACTGCCAACAAACCAAGAACAATCACTGAAAAAAAACAGGAAGTCAGTGACAAACACCCACCCCAAGACACAAGAGAAGCAAGAGGCGCACCACACACAAACCAAGCCAAGACCAGTGCTGAAAAAAAGACAGAGTCAGTGATACAAGAGAAGCAAGAGGCACACCACACCAAACCAAGCCAAGACCAGTGCTTAAAAAAGATGGAGTCAGTGATAAACCCCCAGACCCAAGATAAGCAGGGGGCACGGTGCCACACAACTGCCAACAAACTAACCCCCAGACCCAACAGACATTGAAGCAGGGGGCGCAGTGCCACACAACCACCAGAAAACCAAGACATGCACTGAAAAGGAGATAAAGTCAGTAATAAATCCCCCAGACCCAATATAAGCAGGGGGCACGGTGCCACACAACCGCCAGAAAACCAAGACATGCACTGAAAAGAAGATAAAGTCAGTAATGAATCCCCCAGACCCAATATAAGCAGGGGGTGCAGTGCCACACAACCACCAGAAAGGAACCCCCAAGACCCAAGGGAGCACTACAGACAGAGGCAGTGAAATCAAAGGTAGTCAGCACCAAAGAACAAATGTACATAGTACTTACCATAGGCGCCGCCAATACACCTTGATGAAAATAAACATAGAAAGAAAGTTAGTAAATGTGTGAATAGAGAAAAGGGACTCACCATTAATGAAAGGCGACTCCAGTGCATTGCCTTTAGATCCTTGCAGCTGCAGTCTGCAAAGACCTAAAGGGTACACCAGAGAAGGCGCCCTTGAGAATGAGATGAGAGTGGAAGTGGTGAGGGTAATGGGTGAAGAAAATGAACTGTGGGAATTGAAGTTGGTGTTGATATGACGCATGTGCATTTGTCCTTGTTTGGTTGTTTGGCACTTGGCACATTAATTCAACCGTGTGTCTTTATTTGGCTTACCAACCAGTTTGTGTTTATTTGTACTACATGTGGAAAATATGTGTAAGTCTTTCTCTGTCTTTGCTTGATGCTCATCCAGCTTATCCAATTGTAAGTCTTTCTGTGTCTTTGCTTGTGATGCTTATCCTCTTTCTTCAGCTTACAAATCCAATGACGTGCACCAAGCAAACCTGCAAGAAGTTGACTGGAGGCACCGCCAAGCATATCACTGTCGACTTTGCGCCCTTACTCGACTTCTCTTTGATTGGCGTTGATTCTTTGATCGATCTCAGCTTCGATGCTTCAATCCACATGGATCTCAACTCCAATCTGGCAATGGAGGAGATGGTTTTGGATGAGGAGACTGGAGGAGATGAGGTGGACAAGATGGATGGGATGGATGATGGGATGGTAGCTGGTGAGGTGCAGTCAAGTCACAATGAGGTGAGTACTTGCCCCATATCTTATTGATCACTAATCCACATGTTTTACAGTGGTGTATCGTCTGCCAGGACGGTTCAAGTGACCACGATTTTTTGTACTTGTGTGATTTTTGTCCCCACAGGATGTGCTCTCACTGCGTCAACATTCCCATCACTCACGCTCACACTGTCAACTGTGACAATGTCACGTTCACATGCATATCTTGCCACTTGGCAGCACAAGACCCTCATGCAGAAGAAACATGCACTGCCTACTTTGTAAGTCCTTTCTTCTTCTGTAGTTGTGTCTTAACACGCTATGTAGGGATTTTACAGGAACAACTTGCCAGTTTTGCCCACCTTCCTCCCAATCTGCAGTGCATTGGAAGTATCTCTGCAATCGCAGATTTCTTCCACACCTGTGGTATTAATCCACCTCACGCTCATTGACTTCGAAACTTCTGGCAGACCTTTTGATCTCATGTACTGCTTCCTCTCCCCCTACTTTCCACACAGAGGTATCGCTTTCCACGAGCTCATCTTCGACGTCAGCTCCAAGTCAAAGAGTGACTGGTACCAAGTCAAGGTGGGCAAATTGGTCCATAGCCTCATGGCTCAGCGTAACTGGCCCTGCATCGTGTTCACCATCTCCAACCATACTGACAATGATCTTGGAGATCCATTCCTGGGCTATGAGATGAAGAAAAAATTGTATGTGTCTGGCTGAGTTGACAGTGTGAGTAGTGTCTTTTATGACATGCTGTTTGCTCACCATTCTACATACAGTTTTTGGGCATCATCCTCATGCCATGGCAACTGCTCATCAGAGCTGCCAAAGACTCTTACCTATGGTTTTTGTCTTGTGGTGCTCTAGTTAACAATGAGGAGTCCTTTTTGTCCTTGCAAACAGCCATCCTTCAGTAAGTACCATAGTCTATCATCCTGCACTTCTGCTGACACATACTCCCAGTCATCACATTACAGCTACCATCTGCTTCAACGCCATCCATTTCCAGCCAACCTTTGTGGCTCCCCTTCTTCTATCATTTGCAGAACTTGTCCTGACTGAGTGTCTGCCAATTCACGAAGTTTTTCTGGACATGCTTATGCAGTCCTACAAACTTGGCAGACACACTGACATGTTCTTATTGATGACTAATGCTGGTCATGCCTTGGACATCACTAGATTCGCATGGACCCATTGTAAGGAACGCCCTTGGGGCCACCATCTTCCACTCCAATGCCCTCAGTGTGGATGGGCTAACTCTTGGTGTTCAGCCAACCACAAGAAGACCTACTCCTTTGAATGCATGAACTCAAAGTGCAGGAAAGGGTATCTCTTCAGCCCCCCTGAGAACTCAGTCATCCTATCTCATGCCAGAAAGAGTGGTTCCTGCTGGATTGCAGTTTGTGTGAAGGCCAATTGAATTTCATCACTTTTTTTTTACTACTACTTTTACCCATGTTAGATTTGCTTTTCTGCTGGATTGCAGTTTGTGTGAAGGCCAATTGAATTTCATCGCTTTTTTTTACTACTACTTTTACCCATGTTAGATTTGCTTTTTTACATGTTTTGGATTACAAATCGATGCTTGTTCTCATGACCTTGAATATCAGTTGTTTGCCTTAGCCTTTGAAGACTTCAAAAATTAAGTGGTTCAAACACGATCACATGATTTTAACTACTTTGATTGACAGATTTTCATTTTTTTTAGAAACATTATCTCCCCAGTAGGTTTCAACTACCATTAGAAACTAGTATATAGTTGCAGCCTTGAATATCAGTTGTTTGCCTTAGCTCTTGATGACTTCAAAAATTAAGTGGTTCAAACACGATCACATGATTAAATCAACACGTTGAATACAATCATGTGAACTGATTGTTGATTGTTGAAAATCATCTTAATATGGTCATATGATTAGCAACTTAATTTTTGTACCTAAATATGGGAGTCAAATCAGTTTGTCAGCCAGCCGCCCTCCTACTGCAAGTACATGTCAGCTCTATCAAAATTTTCAGCCTTTTTTTTTGACTGAACTATAATGTCTTCTGACTGGACAACTCACTTTAAATATATTCTTGATCATTATCATCAAGATTGTTAAGAACCATGTTGCTCAAGGGAGAGAGAGACTGACTCAGAGGGGCTTGGCCTCAGCTCATACACTGTGCCCCTTACCTGAGTATGTGCCCTTCATTTCATATGAGGTCTGATGATGGTCCAACAAAGTCTGGAGGACTTCCAGAGGCTGGCTACTCTGCTGGAGAGCACTAGAGGACTTCCAGAGGAGCGCGGGAAACATCCGGAGGAGCGTGGGACAGTTCCGGAGGAACACAGGAAGTGCTCAGGAGAGTTCCCACTGCAAGGTAATACTTCTACAGGAAACAGGATGGAAGGATAGGAGGTCTGAAGGTCTGGAGGACAGGAGGACAGGAGGGCAGGATGACGGAGGACAGAAGGACAGGATGTCTGGAGGTATGAAGGACAGGAGGATAGGATGTCTGAGGGTTAGGAGGACAGAACGTCCGAAGGTATGGAGGGCAGAACGTCCGAAGGTATGGAGGGCAGAACGTCCGAAGGTATGGAGGGCAGAATGTCCGAAGGACAGGATGCCCAGAGGTACAAGGGACAGGAGGTCCGGAGGTCCAGAAGGAATAGGGGCTACATCGGACTTCATCCGATGTAGAAACAAGCAGGGGTAGACTACCCTAAGGTAGAGTCGGAGGGACAGGGATTGGACCTAAGTCCAGAAAGAGGGTAAGTGCCAGAAAGGCAGAGCTCCAGCCTAGGGAATCAATCCCTAGACCTGATGGGTAGGACAGACTTAGGTGGACCAAAGTCCGAGAGAGGATTGGGCAAGTCTAAGTTGATATTCAAACTAGGGAACTACAGGAGTATCTACAGGGGTTATATACTGAACAATATCTGAGGGGATCAGTAAGCAAAGGAGCAAGGCTATGTACGAGCATGTGGAAACACATTAGTAAGTAAGACAGAACATAAGTAAATGAACTCGGAGATGAAGACTCATACAAGGATCAATAAGCAAGACGGAAGAAGAGGTAACCGAAAGCCGGAAAGCAGAGAATGCCTAAATGGGGATAGGTGCAGGATATCGGACAGAGGGTGGGAATAGGTCTGGAGCTAATATCCGGAGGTCTGGAGATCTGGGGATCTGGAAGACAAGGTGGATACAGGACCAGAATACAAGAAGGTGGATATAGTTCCAGAATCTGAGACAAGGTGAAGTCTGGATGTCTTGCTGGATGAAGTGCACATAGGGTGGACAGGATAGGGTTGTACAGATCAGGCTAGCAGTGAGGATCCGATGGTCCGGAGCTCAGGGGTAAATCCGGAGCATAGTCGATCCTGCTGAGGTGTGGAGCACAGCAGAAGGGGATCTTGGAATGAGCTGGATATGATGTGGGGTCCGGATGTAGGCTCAGAAGGCGTGGGAATATGATGGAACGTGGGTCCGGATTGTGGGATATGACAAAGATGTTGTGACTGCAGATTCACCACAGGCTGTCAAACGCATGGTGAAGAAAATTTGTAAGGCTATACTTGAAGCCCAAAAGGAACTTGAAGATGAAGATGTGCCCCAATTGCCTACTTCTTTGAAAAAGGTAACAAAATTTTAATTGTGTATGTAAATACATTTGATTGATGGGTGAATGCTACATATAGGAAATAAAACAATACTGTTCCCAAATCATTGCCTACAAGGAAGAGGCCGAGGTTAGAGAGGCCACAAGTCGTCCAAGAGAAGCATCCTTCTACAAGAAATCACTTACCAAATGGGATGTCACACAGAGGTTGTTCAAGGAAGAAATAGATAAGTTTGACAAAGCTGAGCAAAGGAAAGGCGTCCAACAGTCAATCAAGTATCGGACAGGCCATGCCAGGGAATGGTTTGACAATATGTCACCTTCACAACAGGAGGAGGTCAAGTTGGCCATGACAAAATGGAATAGGGAGGGGGCACCAGAAGAAAGTCAAGCAATGTAAGTTTAACTTAAAATTTACTATTGATCTTGTCTAAGATCTTCCTTAAGGTATAGGAAGAACAACCTCAAGAAAACACTTGAAGACTTTTCTGAGCAAATCCGGCATACTATGGGTTGTCGAGTGGTGATGTTCGTTAGTCACAAGAAAAAAGCTAGTCAGACATTGTCTGTCAGTCTGTAAGTGATTGAACTTTCTTAATTCTCAAGGCTAACTAGACTAACTAATCACTATGTCTCAGACATGAAACCGACCCTCAAAATGTCAAGAAGAGGTTCTCTGTCAGCTCCAATTGGATCAAGGAGTGGACTGCAACTGGATTTGAATCCTTTGCAGAATGGTCAAAGACCAAGTTTTGTATGTGGCTAATTAAAATTTGAATCTTGCATGCACTAACACTAATTATTCACTCAAACTAATAGATCCTTCAGATGATCAGGACCTCAAGGGTTCAGACAATGAGGATGCTGGCAATGAAGCTGCTATCCCCGAAATTATCCCAGATGAAGACAGATATGCCAAACTTCCTAGTTGTGATGGTCTTGGCCTTAAGGGCCAACATGAATTGATTAGGGGTATATTTCATGCTTCATATAGTAAGTTCTTATGTCTTCATATTTGTTAGCATTTCATTGATGCTTTGGTTTGTAGAAATTTGCACTGGGGGCTCTAGACCTGTGCCTTGGGGTGTGATGACTGCTGCCTCGTCCAATTATTTGGAACATGGTTCTGTTCCCACTGCATTTGTGGTCAAAGACCCTTCTCATATGAAGACTGAGGAGGTAAATCGTCTATGGAACCATTGGGAACAAAATTCAGCTGCAAACAAGAAGCTAGTTGTTTTTGTCAAAGCCAAGGATGGTGATGTTCGTGCAAATGTAAGAAATGAAGAAAGAAAGAAGAAGTCTAAGGCAAAAAGAGTAAGCTTACTTGACTCAGACAAAGAAGACAGAGACCAGCTTCCTTCCTTGAACAGCTCTGATCTCACAGAACATAGAACCCAGCCAGCCGACACAACCCCTGACGACGTTTCAATCACTGATCAATATACATTCCTGGAATCTCTAAGCAAGAATGACAACTACCTGGAGCTTATAGATGCCATTAGGGATCTGGCAATCTTGGCCAAGCAGAAGGTCAGTATAACTTCCAGTGCATCTTAATCTTATAGCTCATAGTTCATCCAATAGCCAACTTCAGTGCAAAATCCAGATTTGCCTATCTGGGCTAACTGGTCTTGGGGAGGATCTTATCTTCCTGAGGACATGCATGTGTCATATGACACTTTGAAGGCGAGCTTGGATAAGCTGCAAGCATGTCCAATCTCAGGGGCAGCATCTGCCATGCCAGTGATTCTAGGAATTGGGCTCCTCTATAGGGAGTCTAAACATGTCATAGAGTATGAGGAAGATGAGGCTGACCCCAATATGCCTTTCTACCTACCTTATTCTGCTTTCAATCTAGAATTCTTGGTTTCTCTTGATTGAGTTGTCTCACAGGTTAAGTGCACAGTTGTCGAGCACATAGAGAAGCTGACAAAAGAGGCACTTGGTGAGGACAACAACATGGAGGATGAAGATGAAGTTGGAAACAAGGTGACTGAGGAGGAAGTTGATCTCACAAAAGAGAAGGAGAAGCAGCAGGAGCAGGAGGAGCAGGAGGAGCAGGAGGAGCAGGAGGAGCAGGAGAAGGAGCAGGAGCAGGAGCAGAAAGGGAGGAAGAGAAGAATGCCCCAAGCTTCGACCAGTAAGTCTAAGAAGCCTAGGATTGAGCCTGAAGTCTGCAGATCAGCCAGGACAAGGCAACCTTCCAAGAGAAACCAGAACTGATCTTATATACTCCTTTGTCTTCATTGCTGATCAATCTTGTACAATAAATATATCTACTTGTCAAGACTTGGACAAGAATTGAACCATTAGCTCCTACATATGTAGATGAAAAAAGGCCAGTATACTAATGCAAAGTGATAATTCAAAAGCTCTACACTGGCCAGCCATGGTCCTACGTACATAGAACCAAGCTGGCCAGTTTGCTAGTGAAATATAAGCAAACTGGCCAGCCATGTTCCTATGTATGTAGAGCCAAGCTGGCCAGTTTGCTAGTGAAATATAAGCAAACTGGCCAGCCATGGTCTTACACATGTGGGGCCAAGCTGGCTGGTTTGCTAATGAAATATAAGCAAACTGGCCAGCCATGGTTTTACACACGTGAGGCCAAGCTGGCTGGTTTGCTAATGAAATATAAGCAAGCTGGCCAGTTTGCTAGTGAAATATAAGCAAACCGGCCAGCCATGTTCCTACATATGTATATACAGGCTGGCTGATTCACTAATGACTACATATACTAGCCAGCTTGATCCTCTGGTTAGTACACTTAAGGACTACAAACTGGCCAGCCATGGTCCTACACATGTACATACAAGCTGGCCAGTCTACTAATGAAATCAGACTGCAGTAGATATATCCTACATATACCAGCCAGTGGCTAGTATATGTCATATGATATATCGGCCGGCACTGATACTACATACAAGAGATTGGCTTATAATACCTCAGCCAGCACCAATCCTACATGAAAGACATTGGCATACTATACACTGGCCAGTACCTATCCTACATGAACTAATGATACTCAGGTGATAATCAAATAGTACACCAGCCAGCACTTGTTCTACATGCACTGGCCGAGGACTGGCTAGCCATGATTCTATGACCTTTTGGCACATCCAGGGCAGGGGTTCTACATGTAAAATGACTGAAGGGTCTGCTTATACTCCACAGTGCTGATGCCAATGCTGGAAAGCTAACACTGGAAGGCATCATTAGCTAGATCAGGAATTCGGAGCAGTACTATGCAAGTTTTGGTTCCACAAATCCACACATGCACCACACAGCCATGGTGGCTAGGACAGTGAAAACAGGTAAACCTACCGAACGCACAAAGCCAAAGGATTTTGACGCCACAAAGGGAGATAAATGGGAATTATCATGGCGTTCAATGTGCAGGTCTTGCAAGCACACAGGCCACATTTGGCACAATTGCTGTGCCTGTCTAGCAAAGGCTGACTCTCCAAACACGTCAGCACATCCCCCCTTACTACCTTCACAAATCACTGATTCGCCCAACCGTATTGCAGAACAACCTAAGCCCATCCCATCATTTCTTCAACTCTCTCAACATGAAGCAAGTCTTTCTAATACAAGTACTAGTTCCTTCGCCTTTCATGTAGACTCTGCTGCAACTGCACATATGGAATCAAACAGCTCTCATTTTACCTGCTACTCTGCCTATAATCCACCCATTGTGGTGAAACTTGCCAATAATGATGTCGTTTTCACTCCTGGTTGGGGAATTGTGAAGCTAGCAATCTACAATGGTAAAGAATGGGACACTATTGAGCTACCATTCATACATGTGCCTGATTTGCAATGCACGTTGATATCTGTTTCAGCTCTCGCAACAGAGGGTATCTTTTTCAGAACAGATGCTAAGGGAGGGTGGATGCACCACATAGATGGCACCAATATTGCACAGGTTGACTGCACCACAGGACTATACTACCTTCGTGTGAAGTATAGCGATGACCATACTGCCTACACAGTGAAGACTGTCTCAACCAAACCACTGTCAATAACTGTTTGGCATGCATGCATGGGCCACACAGCTTATTCCACCTTACGCAATGCTGAAAAAGTGGTTAATGGCCTCGTCCTTGACAATGATGGACAATGCCAACCTATGGAAGTTGGTGATCACATTGAGTGTCTATCATGCCTCATGGGAAAACAGAAGCGCCTCTCATTCCTGTCTCACACTTGTCACCGTGCCACACATATCGCAGAACTCATTCACTCTGACATCTGGGGACCCATTAACACTGCTACCATGTCTGGAGAGACATATTTTGTCACATTCACTGATGATTTTTCCTGCTACATGACAATCTTCCTTATTAAGCACAAAAAGGATGTCTATTCTCATCTACAGCAATACATGGCTTGGATCAAAAATCAATCAGGTCAACGGGTGAAGCGTTTTCATAGCGATAACGGTGGTGAATATATTTCCAATGCTGTTACTGTTTTCCTGCATAACAAAGGTATCAACCACGAACTTACAATGCCATATACTGCAGAGCAAAACAGTGTCGCTGAACGTGGACACCAGACCATTGTCACTCAGGCATTGAGTGCACACCATCAGAGTGGTTTTCCCCATTCTTTTTGGGGACATGCTATTTTGAATTCAGCATACATCAAAAACCTACTCCCATCATCAGCTACAGATCAAAGAATGCCTTTCAAACTCTTTTTTGGCTGTCCACCTGATGTCTTGCACCTACACCCTTTTGGCTGCCTTGCCTATGTACATGTTCCTGATGGCACACGTCACAAATATGACTATGTGTCACAATGCTGTTTCCTGTTGGGCCACGTGAAAGACACTGGTTACTTGCTATGGGACCCAGCCGCACAGAAAACTGTGTGCTCCCATAATGTCCATTTTGATGAAAGAATCTTCTACGGAGACCCTAACTCTGTTACTTCCCCACTCATCAACCTATATAATCAGCATTTCCAAGTGCAAGAGCTATCTGACGCCCCAGCTACTGCCTCAAATCCCAAGTCACAAACTCACAACAAGCCACCTGAAGTCATTATTGAAACTACCATTCCCTCAATAGTACCCGAATCCATAGTTTCAGTGGGAGCAGTTCCGATCCCAGTGGCTCAGATATTGCCAGATACCCCACTCCCATTTCTGCAACCTGATAACATTGCCCCCACACCATTGACTGGCAACATACAGGACTCAGAGATTGTCTTACCGTTGGAGCCATGACGATCAACCCACCAGCATGTTGATGCAAAGCCTGCAGTTCTGCAATCAGCTGCTATCCCGATGAAGAGTGTTCCGGTGCAACAACGATGGACATACACACCAATGGAAACTAGCCATGATGAGGAACCTATCATGGCTGATACCATCAACGAACACTCTGCAATGTGTACATCTGTGACTGTTGATGGACAAAAACAACCTCCAGAAACCCTCACTCAGGCCCGTGCATCTCCAGAGTCTGGGCATTGGGGGTACAATGCTAGAAGAGTTAGCGTCACTTCAAGAGAAAGAAACCAGCATCTTGACACCACTCCCTCCTGGATGCAAAGCAGTTGGCTCCCATTGGGTCTATGCCTACAAGTATGATGAAGATGGTCAAATTAGTCATCACAAAGCTCACCTGGTAGCACAGGGATTCTTGCAGATAGAAGGACTGGATTACACGGAGACTTTCGCACCAGTCACCAAATATGACACAACACGTGCCTTACTCTCCATGGTGGCGAAATATGACCTCGAACTGGACCAAATGGACGTGAAAACTGCATTCCTTAATGGTGATCTTGATGAAGATATCTACATGAAGCAACCACCAGGTTTTGAAGACACAGAATATCCAGACTGGGTTTGGAAGCTCCTCAAAGCTATCTATGGGCTGAAACAATCCGGACGTCAATGGAACAAGACCCTTGATGAATTTTTGCGCAAAGAAGGTTTCAATTTTGTTCGAAGTGAGGCCAATTATAGTCTGTATGTATTGTGGAAAGAAGATAAGGTCATATGGCTCCTCATTTATGTTGATGACATGCTTCTCGCCTCAAATTGTCGAAAATTCCTCGATGGGTTCAAGGGTGCAATGAGCCAGCGGTTCGAGATCTTGGAGACACCCGCCACTTCCTGGGAATGCACATTAAGCGAGACCGTGCAAAACGCACCCTCACCATCGACCAGACTTCATTCCTCGAACAAATCCTCAGTGAGGCCAAAATGTCAGACTGTCGACCAGTAGGTACTCCCATGGTACCTGGGGTTTCATTAACAAAATCAACTACACCCCTTACCGATACCGAAATGGAGCAGTTCGCGCACATACCATATGCACGAGTCATCGGCGAGCTCAATTTTGCTATGCGCGTCAGCCGCCCTGACATTGCTTATGTGGTGTCTACCTTATCCAAGTACCTAAGCAACCCCGGTGTTGAGCATTACCAACAGCTTACCCATTTGCTTCGTTACATTTGTGGAACGGCACATTTTTCCCTCAACTTCAGCTTGTCAGATGAAGGACTGGTTGGATACTCTGACTCCGACTTTGCGTCTGACAAAGATGATAGTAGATCCATCGGTGGCTACGTTTACTATCTCTTCGGCTCCCCCATTAGCTGGCGTTCACAGAAACAGCCTGTCATGGCAACATCCTCTACAGAAGCGGAATACATCTCTCTTTCCAATGCTGCTCGAGAGCAGATACACCTCAACCAATTGTTGCAAGACTTTGGACTCGACCCGTCGCTAATCACGCCTACGATCCTGTATGGGGACAACAATGGGAGTCATGCGCTGACGAAGAACCCTCAGTTCCACGATCGCGCGAAACATATCCGCGTTCGTTACCACTTCATCCGTGACCATGTCAACGACGGTATCATTATCATACCATACATACCGACTCACGACATGATAGCGGACATATTCACGAAGTCGCTCCCTCGAAAGACTTTCCGTCAACATCGCTACTCTCTCGCACTCCGATCATCCCTGGGTGGAAATGCCAATGGGGGGCAAGATACGGATGAGTCAAACACTGAGTGATATGTGTCCGAGTGGGAGCATCAAGATGGCATTCATTCGTACGTATTTTATCTTACATACACAATCACTCCTTTCTACACGTGTTCGACGCATGTTCCTCTTTGACTCTCCGTCTCAATTAGCGTATTGATTCTTCCTTCCATCAGATGATTTCCCTCAGTCTTTGATCCCAGACTGAGGTAAGATCCCTTGCTTATGATTCTATATATTCTACTAACTACGATCTTACTTAGTCCCTTCCTTGTTCCTAGGTATGATCTATAGTTATCAATAGTCTTTGATCCCAGACTGAGTCCCTTCCTTGTTCCTAGTCCGAGTCTCGTCGCCTTTTGATACAAGGTGGGTAAAAGGGGGGGAACCTGCAACTGTTAGTAGTTGGCCAGCGTAACTTCAAGGCTACTTGAGTCAGATCAATTTCTCTAATATTGTGAGCACTCACATACACTCTAATATGCATCAAGCTATGGTCTCCCCCGAATAGCAAATAATTTCGTTACATAAATCATATCTATATGCGTAAGCCAAGCTGTACATATTATGGAGACGCGAGTTTGATGATTATAATTAGCTATGGACGATAACGCGAAATGATCTGGAGGATAGCCATTACCTATCGATAAAATAAGTGCCGTCCACGTACATGGATGAAACTCGAGCATAATTTGTTAGTTTATAGTCTGATACACATGTATGTATGATAAGTATATTGTACGAGTATCATCTTTAAAGCACAAATGCAAACCGCTCAGAAATTTGTAAACTTTGAAACAAAAAACATACAACTACAATATTTCTATGGTCCTGAGGTCCATTAAGTCTGTAACAGAACGCACGTCGCTGACCTGCACAATGATATCATGATCCGACGCGATCCTCTTGTACTCTCCACTGCGCTGCTGCGCTAGCAAAAATGCGCCGAAAGGTTGCCCAAGGCGAACAAGTAACCGCAATGCACGCGATTCTGGGCCAACCACCTCCTGTTTTATAGGATAATCACTGGACCACGCGTGTGACGGGGAAGAGGGCGGCGTCCCATAATCCTCCTCGCTCTCTGTATCGTTTCCAAAGTCAGACGGTTCCACATATTCAGGCGGTTCTACAAAGTCAGGCAGCTCGAGGAGAGACCGATCCCAGGGACGGACAAGGATAAATTTTCGCTCAGTGGGCTTTGCCGACCAGAACTGAACCAGGGTATCTTCGGTGGTAATAAGCAAGTCATGAAGCCCGTCTGCTTTCACCGCGTACGTGATATGAGTTTCCGGGGCTGGACTACGCACCCGTCTGATTTCCCCGACATTGAACGCAATACAAGGCAGATGCAGTCTCTGTGCCGAGAAGCGAGGGGCGCTCGTGTTCTGAAGCAGGGTATAAAGGTTCGAAGCGAAGTCCACAGCCACCGTCTTTCGTAGGGAAGAAACCGATGACTGAATTTTATCTTCGGATAGGGGTGGTAGCTTGCATGGTGGAGCATGGTATGACGTGATGGAAGCTGGTACACAACTGTTGAACTCTGATGATTTTCCGATCCAATCGAGGCTAGTGATGTCACCCGACCGAGCCACAATCTCCTGCAACAGCCGCCCGAGAGCCTTGTCCTGCTTCTCGCCATAATCTACAGACAGGCGGACACCAAAGATGCCAAACAACGAGTATGCGATGTCTTCCTGACGCGTGGTAACGCGAGTTGACGCCCAATGGAGTTTCTCTCGGGCGCTATTCATACTGGGACGGAAGGCCACAACGGCTAGTCGGTCTATGCCTGTCGCGTGCTTCAACTCCTGCATGATTGCGATGGACTCCTTGTGATTGGGAGTACGATCATTGTGATAAAGAGTCCAATTGTTTTGATAAAAGAGAATGATTTTGGGAGCGATGAATTCTTGAACCGTCCATCCGCGAGTGTTCCAAGCGCTCTTTGCCAGTGCGTCAGGCTCTGACGAAGGCGGAACATCCGACAGGTAGACAATCGTGAGCGCAGAGTGGTGGTACCAGATGAACATAGAGTTAACCGATTCTTGGATTTCGACATTGTTGCTCTTATCAATGCAGCAAGTATCGCTCCATGCCCATTTATAACCCGCATCACGAGCAGTTTTGCAGAAGGACCGCAGCTTCGTCATGCCACTAACCGGATCTAACTCCGAGTCATACACGCTCTTGCCCTGGATATCCTGCAGCAGCGGCTCCTTCCCTTCCCACCTGTGTGATAGCATGGCATATTGGAGGTACGTCATCACCACCTCTTCAATGTGTCTCATGTGGAGGTCTATATGCGTGGTTGTTGATGATACAAGCTCCTTATACTCTATGCTCATTTTGAAGGCACTTATCTGCGCCTCTCGATCGCATAGGAGACCGGTGGTGGTGTCGAGCACACGGAGCGGAGCATTTTCGAGCTGAGCATCGACGGCCCGTCGAATAGCACGTTCTACTTCAGAGGGTCCGAGACACTGCTGGTGCAACTCTGGAGAAAGACTTAAACATATTGACGGATATGTTATTCGGAAGCTTACTGAGTGTCCGAGTGTCGGGAACATTATCCAATTCGGAGATCATCATTTCGATGGTCTGGATCGCTTCATCATAACGTCGTGGACCATGAAGCGCTGCATGCTTCAAATTGTATCCCAGATAAGATAAAGGGTTGAGTTCAATGACCTATGTATCGCCACAATGAGCAATGAATATGAGGTGATAGATGGCAACGCACCTTCTGCGCATCAAGAAGTGCTTCCATCCATAGCATTTTGCCCAACTTTGCCTTACTACGATTTGCAAAGACAGCATCAGATGCAGAATTCATGTTTATTGCCGCCGAGTATAGGTCAATAGCCCTGTCATAATCACTTACAGTGAGGGCGGCATCTCCGTTGGCAGTACAGAGCGCGCTGCATTCTTGCTTGAAAGCTAGATGAAATATGAGTGAGGATTGTAGTCTACATGACATCACGAACTCCAGACTTGCCGTTGGACCAATCGAGGCAGCTTGCCTTCGCAGCGTCGTCAATGACGTTCATCATGCATCGGTATGCTCGAAAGGCTTCATCGGGTTTACCTGCCGAAAGGAATGCCTGGCACCGTTTCTGGTGTGCAATGAGACACAATGACACGAGATCCCAGCCGAAGAGCTAGACAAAATATTCAATTATGAAAAGTGTTATGTATACATCATCTTGACGCACTACGGTCAAGTCCTCGTATGTTTCATGAATGTTTTTTGATGAGAAAGCGCCGGAGTTGACAGCAGTAGTGAAGTGGTCGGCGGCTTCGCCGTAACGCGCCTCACTCAAGGCTTGGGTTCCGAGCTGAACGCATAAATATGTCTAATGTGCGAGTTGCAAAGATCAGGTTTAATGACCGACGTGGCTGCATGATACTTACTTCTACGACACAACACCCGAGAGCATCGGCATTCGGACAAGCGGCAATCAGCTCTTTGATAAGCAGTATTGCTTCCTCGTGTTGATCTGCGTTGAAGAGTGCGATAGCCTGAACATGCAATGAAGCAGAGAATATGCGAGACAAATTAATGCTACCTTGATCAAGAGAAGAAAATGGGTGGTTTCTGAACCTTGGTTCGTGAATATGGATGCGACGTCGAATGCTATTCTTGCCTCCCGGACGTGGCCTTTTCCGTAGAGAGCAATGCCTTTGGAGATGTAGCCTGTCAATGAGGGCTGAATGTTGATGGACTGTGTCACAGACGAAAGTTAGTCTTTTGTAAGAGAACCATAATAGGTCAGTACAACTCACCTTAATTGCATCCTGAAGAGCATGGTCCCAGTCGTGTTTTCGGGCCATGACGAATGAGCGATTGGCATATGAAGTATATGGGTTGCCATCGGTGTCGATCTCTTGGGTGAGTAACTTTTCAGCGGTAGACAGGTCTCCGGTTACACATGCGTCATGGGCTGTCGTGATTGCCAGGATCTGTACAAAGAATGCTCGAAATGTGTTATAAGGGTCTGGGATGGAAACTTGCCTTTGAATGAACACCCTTAGGTATTTCCCACTCTGAGATCTTTTTATCTTGACCTCCGCTAAGGATGTGCTTGCCGTCCACAGAGACACATGGAGTCGGGCTGGATGAGTGCTGGAAGATGGCGATGGTTCGTCGATCTGAGAGCCGCCAGAGACGGACATGATTGTCTTCAGATGCGGAAGCAACGAGGGTACCAGCGGGATGAATGGCAATGGCATAGATACTGGTAGTATGGCCTTTCCAAGGATGACCGACCTGCTGCCAGGTCAATGAATCCCACTCTTGTATGGAAGGATCCTGCTTATTGCCTCCTGACAGAAGGCGTGTGCCATCGGGCGTCCACGCGAGTGACAAGTTGTGTACTGTGTGACCCTTGAAACATGCGACGCGTTCCCTTGTTCCTGTATTATAAATTTGGATATTGGCGTTGGTTGCGATTGCAAGAAGTTCACCAGATGGCGAATATCGAACGCAGAGGATCCAATCACCACACTGAATTGGATCTCCTTGCATCTGCCAAGTTTTGGTACACCAAAGCTTCGTCGTAAAATCCTGTGAACCAGCGGTGGCCAGTACTGTACCATCCGGAGAAAAATTCACTGAGTAGATCCAATCGCAGCTCAGGTGGGCTTTGATGGGTTGGGTGAGAGATTCACCAGTTTCACCGTGCCAGGCGATAATTTCTCCATTCTGATCACAGCTTGCTATCATTTGACCATCTCGTGATACCGCCAATCCCCACACTCCACTGCTATGTCCCTCCATCTTCTTCAACACAATACCTGTCTTCAAGTCCCAAAGACGAAGTGTCTTGTCCAACGAGGCTGTAACCATTCTTCGCTTATCGGGGAACACTGCGACTGTTTTTATGGCCTGCTCGTGACCTTTAAAAGTTCGAAGACGTATGATGCTTGGAATGAGCTGTGCCATTTTACTGGACGTTGATAGTGTTGAGCACGGTCGAGGGTTTGTGAGTGTCTTTCTCTAAGCTGCAGAGGTGCGTGTATTGTGACGTTTTTACACTGCGTCACCACGCTAACCTAACTCGTTTCCATAGACGCCCAAGACACGAGGCAGGTGGCCTCCACACTCCATCACCGTTTCAGTAAGAATGTTCCCTACGAGTCGTAACCACCTTATGTCTCCATAGCTTCCAGAATTTATCCCCTCCCACCCAATGGCGAAGTTACTACCTAGCCCTGGAATTTGGTCGAAAGTTATCTATCCTACATAGATTGCCGCACGAATATCATTGTTTCTCGTGTCGAGCAGTTTCCCCAACACTTCATCGTGTAACTTACCCGACTGCATACTGCAACACCATCTGCCCATCTCGTTGATTCTCGAGATCTGCTTGTACACCAGATGCTACCACATTTCTCTCTTCTCGCCTCTCAAATCCCCTCCTCATGGAGGAGTTTCCGTCTTTCAATGCGTGTTTTATCCAAATCTTAAATGTCAAAGGTGTCAGCATTACTTGCAGCGCTTTGCTCCTCCCTCATATCAGTTCCTCAGCCAACTCCCGGAGGACTCGAGGTCCCAGCCGAAGAGCTAGACAAAACACCCAGTTATGAAAAGCGTTATGTGTGCATCACCACGGTCAATTCCCCAAATATTTCATGAATGGTTTTTGATGAGAAAGCGCCCGATTTGACAGCAGCCGTGAAGTGATCAGCGGCTTCATCGTGACGCGCGTCATTCAATGCTTTGGTTCAGAGCTGAACTCGCAGATATGCCTAATGCGCGAGTTGCAAAGATCAGTTTTGATGACCGGGCGTGGCCGCATGATCCTTACCGACACGACACGACACGACACCCAGAGGATAGGCATTCGGACAAGTCGTAGTGAGTTCTTGGACGAGCAGCATTGCTTCCTCGTGTTGATCTGCGTTGAAGAGTGCGATGGCCTCAAACACGCAACGAAGCAGAGAATATGTGAGACAAATTGATGCTACCTTTATCAAGAAAAGAAAACGGTTGGTTCCTTGGTCCGTGAACAAGGATGCGACGTCGAATGTTGCCCTTGCCTCTCGGACGTGGCCTTTTCCGCAGAGGGCGATGCCTTCGGAGATGTAGCCTGTTAATGAGGGCTGAATGTTGATGGACTGTCACGAACGAAAGTAAACCTTTAGTAAGGGTGCTATGATAGGTCATGTATAACTCACCTTGTTTGCATCATGAAGGGCATGATCCCAGGCGTGTTTTCGAGCATAACGAACGAGCGATTGGCATAGGAGGTATAAGGGTTAACACCAGTGTGGATCTCTTGGGTGAGTAACTCTTCAGCGGTATTAGACAGGTCTGTACGAAGGATGCTCGAATTGCGCCATGAGTCTCAGTCAAGATGGAAACTCACCTTTGAATTAGTGTCACTGGGTACTTCCCACCCTGAAATCTTTTTATCTTCACCTCCGCTGAGGATGTGCTTGCTGCCCCCGGAAGAAGTGACGCATTTCAGTCTGGATGAGTGCTGGAAGATGGCGATGGTTTGTCGATCTGAGAGCCGCCAAAGTAGGTCATGGTCACTGTCTTCAGATGCAGAAGCGACGAGGGTGCCAGCGGGATGAATGGCAGTGGCGCCGATAATGCTAGTGTGGCCTTCGTAGGGACGACCGACTTGCTGCCAGGTCGATGGATCCCACTCTCGTATGGTAGGATCGTGTCTATCGCCTCCTGAAAGAAGCCATGTGCCATTGGCCAGGCGTCCACGCGAGTGGGCAGTAATGTTCTGTGTAAGCCTTGATCAGAGATGCGACGCGTTCCCCCGGGACTTTGTTGGTCGTTGCAATGGCAAGAAGTTCACCAGATGGCGAATACGTCCTCTATGCGTCTCAACTCTATCTGTATCACCGCTCTCATATTTTTTTGATCACTCGTCTTGATTCCCAGTCGAACTTGCCATAGTTCTCCTGAATTATCAGTGCGTTTGTTGAGCTTGTGCGATAACTGGACGTGTTCAAACTTCGAGAAAAGGTTATCAAATGTGGGAACGAAATTCCCTTTTAGTTATGCTCGTTTTCGAGAACGAGAAAGACTGAAATTTACAAGACTGACATCAGCGCCGCAGGGGGAAATGGACGATGGACTTGTCCTAAATATTGCGGAGGATCCATCTACAAGACCCACAAAGCTAGTATCAAAAAAATCTGGTCGTTGGACGGACAGGTGGGCAGGAGTTTGATTTCATGCATGCAGCTAATAGTCATAGTCTAGGTTGAAGGCTAAACGAGTCCAAAAACGAAAGACTGACCGTCATCCTGGCAGCGATGATGATGACCATTCTCGTCCCGCAAAGCGGATACGACCTGACATACCCTTGTGTGCTACCAAAGTAGCTACTGCAGCGGACCGTCCGGCACCTCCAGCTAAGCCTCCGACTCAGATAATCTCTTCTCTGTTCTCGTACAACCCTAAAGTCGAAGCTCCTATAGCTTCTGCTGTTCAAAAAGCACCCTCTAAACCAAGTAACGCACCATTGACTGGCTCAGCCACATTTGCAGACCTAGGTCTCCACCCTCTCCTCGTTGCTCACCTACAATCCAAGATGAGTATCACGAAGCCGACATCTATTCAACGTACTGCCCTTCCGATATTCACGAACCCCTCTTCTGAAGATATGAACGCACGCGACGTATTTATACAATCGCAAACAGGCTCTGGAAAGACCATGTCGTTCCTCCTACCTATAATCCACGATCTTCTCCCCCTCAGTACGCACTCCTACATCGACCGCTCGATAGGAACGCTTGCCATTATCATCGCACCTACTCGGGAACTAGCGAAACAAATTTGCGATGTCTTAGAAGCGCTTTTGACGCTTAAGCTCTGCCCAGAAGGCGAACACGAGGACGCAGAGGGGTCTATGCATTATACCCGATGGTTAGTTTCCGGCTTGCTAAGTGGAGGTGCAACTCGTGCGCACGAGAAGGCGCGTCTACGTAAAGGTGTTCCCATTCTCGTTTCGACCCCGGGTCGCCTTCTCGATCATCTGCAAAATACATCTTCTTTCGACGCTGGAAAATGCAGATGGTTAGTTCTCGACGAAGCGGACCGCTTGATGGAACTCGGGTTTGAGGAGACTATCAGAGGGATTATACAGGGTCTGGACGGGAGGAGGAAGCTCGCGTTACAAGCTGTTCGGGACGGTAAGACCTTTGGGGTCGGGGGTTGGGATTGGGACCGGCAGAGACGGACGATCCTTTGTTCGGCTACTATCCGTGAAGACGTACAGAAACTCGCAGGCACCACTTTAATACGACCGCTAGTAATCAAGGGCCTCGACAACGAGAAGGCGGAGGATTCGCCTGCATCAAAACATGGCAACGAGATAGCTACCACCGGCACCGAGAAATTCACTCCCCCGTCACAACTCTCTCAGAAATATGTTATTGTTCCCCTCAAAATGCGTCTTGTCGCACTTGTCGCACTTCTTCGCTCATTGCTCGCTCAGACACAAGGACAAAAAGGGTCGAAAATCATTGTATTCCTCAGTTGTATAGACTCTGTCGATTTTCACTGGCGCCTGCTAGGCGATTCATCTATGGGCAGCGAGAAAACGGAAAGTTCTGGGCCTGGCGAAGACAAGAGTGATGACGAAGGTAGCAAGGAAGATGAATCTACTGAAGAGGAAAGCAAAATTGCTGCGCAGTCTTCGCTCCTTCCAGGCGCTTCAATCTTCCGTCTTCACGGCTCCCTTCCTACACCAATCCGTCTCGCCTCTCTACGGGGATTCTCCGCTATTCCTTCCTCAAAGTCCAAGACACCTACTCCCGTGTCTTCTATTCTCCTTTGCACGTCCGTGGCATCCCGAGGTCTCGACCTACCCCTCGTTCGCGCAGTCGTACAGCACGACCTGCCCACCGAAGGCGGCGCGACCGAGTACGTGCACAGGGTGGGACGGACAGCACGTGCAGGCAATGGTGGCGAAGCATGGAGTATCGTCGCGCCCAGCGAATCTGAATGGGTCAAATGGGTGGAGGGGAAGATGAGGGGCGATGCGACGGGAGAAAAGTCTAACGATGACAAAGCCAACATCACTCTTGAAGGGGCAAGTATCGAGAGCGTGTTGGCGAAGGGTTTTGGTGGAAACGGGTCCAAGTACGAGGCGCGCGCGACAGAAGTGCAACTTAGTTTTGAGCGATGGATTTTGCGGCACAAACAGGTAACTCTGATTTAGAAAGAAATTCGAGTATGTTGACATCATCTTTGGCAGAACGCTAACCTTGCTCGAAGAGCATTTACTTCTTACATGAGGGCGTACGCAACCCACCCTTCGAACGAGAAACATATATTCCATGTTCGACATCTTCACATTGGACACCTGGCAAAAGCATTCGCACTGCGCGAGGCGCCAAAGACGATTACTGACCGGAAGACTAAAACCTCTAGCGTATCCAAAGGTCGTGGCTCGCGTCCTGCTAAATCTACAACGCAGCATGATGTCGGGGATGCAGAGCAACGGATGCAAGATATTGTCCGCGCGCAGGGCCGGCTGTCGAAGAAAGGTGGCAAGATGATTAGCAGTGGGACCAACGAGTTTCAAATTGCATCGGGCGCTGCTTTGGATTCACTTATCCATGGCTATCGGTCGTAGTTGGGCAGTAGGGCTTCGAGCTTCACTCCCATAGCAAGCATTCGAGACTAGCGACGTGGTACAGATCATGAACTACTATATCACACCAAGAATGTGAGAATAAACGGGACGTCTGATCTTTGTCAGTGCCCTATAGGTAAACCAGCACCAAAACTCTCTTCACAAACAAACAGTATCTGCCATGTTATCATCAGCCTTGATCGTGGGTAGGTCAGAATAAATACTCGTATATTTCCAACCACCGAAGACACGTCAAGACCGTTTATGCGGTAATGTTTATGGTTACGCAATGAGTGGTGTAGGAGGTGCGAATCTCCGCGAATTGGAAGTGTCGTTCTCTGTTTCATCGTCCGCGCAGGACCCAGGCAAATTCAAGTCACCAACTTTCACAGAGCATTGTCCTCGAGTGAAGTCAGAATGTATTATGGTTCATTTGCTATGCGCAAGCCGAGCTGTACATATGGAGGACACGAGTTTGATAATTATAATTAGCTATGGACAATGACGCGAAATAATGATAAGGATGCAGTCATGACCTATCAATAAAATAAGTACTGCTTCCAGTGTACATTACGAACGACAATAGAACAGAAATTTCTGAGGGACACCCACAAGACCTGCTAGCAGCAGACACACGACTTCCCGCCCCCATGTTCGCCAGGGTTTACCTGCACTACTACTGGTTGTTGCTGGTGCTGTTGCTGCTGTGTATTAGAGTCCGGTTGAGTAGTATCAAGATCCTGATCCTCATAAGGTACGATGTCCGGGTCCTTGCCAGGAGCACCCGCTGCAGCATTACGCTGTAGATTATGCATCAGACACCCAAGACATGGCAATAGAAACCGACCGGGTACCTCTTTACCCTTTGCGAAAGGAACTTCGACGACAGGCAGCGTTCCATGATGAAGTGGCCGGGTGAATAAGTGTCGTAGGTGGGTTCTTAAGGTAGTAGTGACGGCGACTGGTGGTGTGGTGATGGGGGGTGCGGGTGCACGATGTGGGTTCCTCGTCAAAAGGAGCCTGACTCTCTTGAAGCGCCCCGGGCGCTGCTGAGGTCGTAGTCGAGAGGTGTGAGAATTCTGTGATGACTAGTGTGAGACAAAACGAAAGTCATTCTACACTGTTTCGCTCACTTCTTGCATTCCCTGGAAAAAATTGGGTTCTGTATCATAGCCATCCTGATCTTGCCCGTGGACCTCCGCCTGTATACAGGTCAGTAGAGAAAGGGATGAGGAAGAGAGTGCATACGCCAAGAATACGGTCATCGTGCGCGGCGAGCGCACTACATTGCTCCTTGAATTCTGAGTGAAATGAAGGTGAGTATGATAGTCTCGGGTGACGACGTCACTGAGAACATGCCGTTAGACCAATCGAGGCAGCTGGCCTTCCCATTTTCGTCAATGGCGTCCATCATGCATCGGTGGGCTTCGAGGGCTTCATCAGGCTTACCTGCTGAAAGGAAAGCCTGGCACCGTTTCTGGTGTGTCGTGAGCAATAAGCACTCGAGATCCCAGTTGAAGAGCTGGACAAAATACTCAGTGATGAAAAGCATTGTCTATGCATTATGTGGACGCACAACGGTCAAATCCTCATATGTTAGATGGATGAATTTCGCTGAGAGAGCACCGGACTTGACAGCGACAGTGAAGTGATCAGCGGCTTCGGCGTGACGCGCATCATCCGAAGCCTTGGTTCCGAGCTGAACACGTAGATATATCTAATGTACAAGTGACAAAAATCAGTTTGATGACCAAGCGTGGCCACATGATACTCACTTCCACGACATGACGCGCGAGAGGATCGGCATTTGGATAAGTAGCAGCGAGTTCCCTGACGAGTAGCATTGCTTCCTCGTGTTGATCTGCATTGAAGAGTGCGATGGCCTGAAACACGCAATGAAGCAGAGGATATGCAAGACAAATTGAAGCTACCTTTATCAAGAAAAGGAAATGGTTGGTTCCCGAATCTTGGTTCGGGAACGAGGATGCGACATCGAATGCTGCCCTTGCCTCTTGGACATGGCCTTTTCCGCAGAGGGCGATACCTTTGGAGATGTAGCCTGTCGGTGAGGGCTGAATGCTGATGGACTATGTCATGAATGAAAGTAAGCCTTTTGTAAGAGGGCCATGATGGGTCAGTATAACTCACCTTGATTGCATCCTCAAGGGCGAGGTCCCAGGCGTGTTGTCGGGCCTTAACGAATGAGCGATTGGCATAGGAAGTATGGAGGTTGGCGTTGGCGTTGGTGTCAATCCCTTGAGTGAGTAACTCTTCAGCGGTAGACAAGTCGCCGGCGATGCATGCATCACGGGCTGTCGTGATAGCCAGGATCTGCATGAAGGATGCTCGAATTGTGTTATGAAAGTCAAAGATGGAAACTCACCTTTGAATTAGCGTCGCTAGGTACTGCCCACTCTAAGATCTTTTTATCTTCACCTCCGCTGAGGATGTGCTTGCCATCCACGGAGAATGTGACACATATCGGGGTGGATGAGTGTTGGAAGATGGCGATGGTTCGTCGATCTGAGAGCCGCCAGAGACGGACACGATTGTCGTATGATGTAGAAGCGACAAGGGTGCCAGCGGGATGAATGGCAATGGCGTTGATACCGCGAGTATGACCTTCGCAGGGATGGCCGAGCTGCTCCCAGGTCAATGGATCCCACTCCCGTATGGTAGGATCTTCTTGATCAGCTGCTGAGAGAAGGCGTGTACCATCGGGCGTCCACGCAAGAGAGAAGTTGTACGATGTATGAGCCTTGAAAGATGTGACACATTCCCTTGTGCTTGGGTTATAAATTTGGATATGGTGGAATGTTGCGATGGCAAGAAGTTCACCGGAAGGTGAATATTGAACGCAGCAGACATAAGCACCACAATTGATTGGTTTGCTTTGCATCTGCCACGTTTTGGTACACCAAAGCTTCACCGTGTGGTCCCATGAACCCGTGGCCAGCATCGTATCATCCGGAGAAAAATCCAATGAGATGATTTGGTCGGAGTGGGCTTTGATAGTTTGTTGTGTGAGGGTTTCACCAGTTTCACCATGCCAGGCGATGACCTCCCCCACCCAATCACTGCTTGCTATTATTTGACCATCTCGTGATACCGCCAATGCCAACACCTCATTGCGATGCCCCTCCATCTTCTTCAACACAACACCTGTCTTCAGGTCCCAAACACGAAGTGTCTTGTCGTCCGAGGCTGTAATCATTCGTCGCTTATCGGGGAAAACTGCGACTACGTTTATGGTCTCCTCATGATCTTCCAAAACTCGAAGGGGGTCTGTGCTTGGAATGAGCTGTAACATTTTACTGGAGGTTGATGGTACTAAGCACGGTCGAGGGATTGTGGATGTCTTTCTCTGAGTTGCAGAGGTGCGTATATCGTGCGCTTTTATGCCGCTTCACAACACTACTACCTCACTTCCATAGACGCCCAGGGGCCAAGACACGAGGTAGTTCGCCTCCACACTCCATCATCGCTCCCGCAAGAATGCCCTCTACAAGTCATAACCGCCTTCCTCGACTGCACTGTGTACATGCGTCCGAATCCCATTGCCACAGCTTCCAGAACACATCCCCGATGGCGATAGTGCAGTTGCTACTTCCCGGTCCTCAAATCTGGCTGAAAGCTATCTATCCTATATTGCCACATGAACACCATCGTTTCTCGCGTCGAGCTGTTTCTCCAATACTTCATCATGTAACTTGTCCGAGTGCATATAGCTTACTGAAAATATCATCTTCTCATCTTGTCGATTCCCAAGATCCGCCTGTGCGTCAGATGCAACCAAATTCTTCTCTTCTCGCGTCTCAAATCAGCTCCTAATGGAAGAGCTTCCTTCTTTCAATACGCATTTTATCCAGATCATGATTTTCAAAGGTGTCGGCCTTGCTTCCAGCGTTTTGCTCCTCGCTCATCTCAATTCGTCAGCCAACTCCCGACTCATTTGGTTTCAGTTTGTCTCGTTCACCAATTACCTTCCCATGTCCGTTCTTGTTGCGATCCTACGTTCAATTGTTCGCATGTCACTGCAGTGTTCAGCGACGTTATGTTTATCGATCACGGAACAATCCTCGGTCCTACTCTCTCGCCGAATGAGTTAATGCATCGAGGAGTGGCTGGATTTAATTTGTGTTGCTGAACAAGATGCTGCATCACCAGATGCATATAAATAGGTGCCTTCCATCTGTGACTCCGTTGGGGAAAACATGCCAGCTGAAGTTGTCTGCGTTCTGCATGACTCACCCCCTTCTCCCTTTCAGTTCCTCATCCTTTTGCTTTCGCTTTTGGTTTTCATTGTTTCTCCAGCATGCTGGTATACTAGATTCCTCTCTTGCTTTCATCGTCCGGTTTGCACCTCCACTGATCTCTCCAGATTCATATCATTTATCATTCTCTTCATGGCACTTTGGCATTGCCTTGCTCTTCGTCCGTGTCCGACGCGTTACCTTGTATATGTAGTACTGACTACAACTTGGGCTGAGCTTGATTCCGAAGGAATTTCATGCTCATGATTCACCGGCATCATCCTAGGCCCCCTTTGCACACTGTTTCGCTTATCATCTTGCTGTCGTGAGTCTCACTCTTTGCATCGTTTTATTGACATCTTTTTTACCGTTTTGTCTTGCATCCGGTATCACGAGGCCTGAGTTCTAGCTGCATATGTGTGCTCGGTTCCTATTATATGTCCGAGTCCGTCACGGTTCGTGCCCGCTATCTCGCATCCTCACAACATCGCTTCTGCATCCCGGCTTTTGCCGGTTTGAGATCCTAAATGCTTCCCCGCATGTTATTTCGTGCCCCTTGTGTCTGTGGTGTCGTGGCTGTCAGACATCTTCTCTGGTAGACCCTATTAGTCTTGCAAAAAGAGATGAGCACAAGCTCACTTCACTTGAAAACCAGTAAGTCTATTAGAGAGATGTCTAACGGCTGCTAGACATTCAAGTAATTAGTTCTGCTTTCGGCTAGAACCAACGTGTTGTGGCACCCTGTACCACGACGATGAGGGCTACAATGCAGAATCATCCGATGAAAGGACACATAAGGACTTCGACATCAAAACGTGGCGAGCATTAAAACAGCTGGATTCTTTTTCGGAATCGTATGGTACTAGGTATGGCTTGTGCATGCCCGTCTAGACCCTAGCATTCACTACCTGAGTTTCATTGCAAATATCGAGTGTCGCCATCGGCTCGCCGAAAGATTGATCAAGGAACTGGCTATAGTACTAGAATTCGAGTGCCATGCTCCTGTTGGGCGTTTAAAATCTGAGATAAAAGGATGATCTAAAGATTATGAAAAACGCACCGAGGGGGCATGGTTCTACCACCTTTCGCATGATGCCATATATGTCAGGATCATTCTGGGGGAATTGTCATTGAACGGCACAGCACGGAATCACCACAGTACACAGGTACGAGTAACGCTATATCCAACTTGAAGGGTCGAATATCACTGACCGCAAGTCTAACATACTGAGATGGCGCCAGTGTTGACTCGAAACATCGTTGTCTTTGGAGAAACAGGAGCGGGAAAGAGCTCCGTCATCAACCTGATGGCCGGCCAACACATTGCGCACACATCACCCGACTCTCACCGCTGTACTCTGCATTGGACAGAGTACCAAATATCTTTCGAAAATGGGACTCGATACAAGGTGTTTGATACGGTCGGCCTTGAGGAGCCCCGTCTACAAACCGGAGACTACCTCACTGCAATTTCAAACGCATACGGCCTCATCAACACCTTGAAAGAACGCGGAGGTGTCAACCTCTTGCTCTTCTGTATACGCGGAGGTAGAGTCACGGCAACTATGCAGAGCAACTATAGGTTGTTCTTCGAATTTTTCTGCGAGGAAAAAGTCCCGCTCGCGCTAGTCGTCACCAACCTCGAAAGAGAGGCAAGGATGGAAGACTGGTATACGCGGAATGTGGGCCACTTGAAGAAGCATAGCATCAGGTCCGCGGGACACGCATGCATAACTGCGGCGAATCTTCTCGACGGGAGACATAGAGACAAGTATGAAGAGTCGCGCGGAATACTCCGTAGAGTGGTTGAGGCTCATTGCAATACGTCCATGGAAGGGTGGACCGGTGGACAAGAATGGCTTTCTTCGTTCATCAGCAAGCTCGCGGAATTTGATGTTGGACGTCCCAAAAAGACAGATATCATTGGGATCCTCACGAAACGATGTGGAATGACCAAGGAGATAGCTCGGCAGGTAGCGCAGCATATTAGAGACGAGAATCAATCGTAGGATAATCTTGGACTTGTCACTATGATCGGGCATACCACTACTACCATGACAATGACCTTGCAGTGTAACGTTCCCTGGCGAGTAGTAGTCATCAGTGAATTGATGAGTCCTTGATATTGTAGCCGTGAAAACGATAAGAACACATACAGTGTAGGACCGCATCACTAAAATTCACTTAGGCCGGTATGACCAGAGTTATATTACCCTTTCAACCAATTGTGTTTGGCATGACATACCCTGATATACCAGTGCATTGGCAACATCGTCATGCGAACTCGCGAAGGGGTGGACCACTTCGACATGGCAAGGGCTGGCTTACAAACGGTCGACCGTGTTTTCAAGGACCGACCAGACCGTTTGGACCGTTTTCAAGCACGTGAGTTTCAACGTCACGTGACGTGTGGCGTTGAAGTTGTCGCCTCTAACACTGGGGCCCGCAGCGGAAGCAACCTTTTTGAGTGCAGAAAAGGCATGACAAAGGCGTGAAAAATGGACAAATTTGGAATACCTTTCTGGGTGATGGATATGAGCCTTGGTTTTAAACTTTTTGAGAGCTTTTGCATGGACAAAAAGTTTAACTCATGAGGCATCCAGTGTGTTTTATATTTTGAGACTTAACTGCAACAGTAGACATAATCAAGAATGAAGTGGATGATTCCATGTAAGAATAGAAAACACTCGGGGCCCTTGAACTCATACCATCACCATGGTCGATTTTTTCCCACGCAATTTTGCGGGCAAGGTAGAACAATCCATGTTCACAGTCCATCACTGGCCCTAAAATATTAATCCCTCCCCAACTCAAACCACCCAACACACCTGAACAATACTGTAATGAAAGGAAACACCCAAACCTGAAAAGAAACACCCACCCTCAGCTTTCAACAAGAGAATATTGAGATGAAAAACCCCCTACACAAATATCCCCACCAATCCCTGACTAGGTGTCATCACTGGCGATGACCTTGCTTAGAATCTGCTTGTGATATCCTGAGTTCATTGAGTTCCATGGGCTTAAATACCAGCTTGGGGGTTAGGGTTACGTCCCAGGATGGATCTCCTTATATAGATTAGCCCACCCTAACCCTAGGTCACATCTCACCACACATGCAAAAATGCCACATCACTCTTCCTTCCTACAACTTGCTTATTTGAACTTTGAGGCAACATAACAAACTTGGCATAAAGTACAATTGATGAAGGTGGGGGGCCCTTAAACTCATACCACAACCATGGTCATTTTTTCCCACGCTTTTTAGTGGGCAAGGTTGCACTCATAACACTCAACAGTCCACTTGACTGGCCTCCCCACTATAAATCATAGCCTCCCCTATGAAGACACAAAATAAAAATGATTGAACACCATCCCAAACCAAGTCAAACCAACATGAAAAGAAACAGCAATAAAACACAGTGATCACACTATGAACTTCACAAACACCACTCTGCATAAGATAAATGAGAACATGACTCAATAAACATCACTAAGTAATGATTATATCACCCTCATACATGACTGAAAACAATAAAAACCACCCACCACTACCATCACCTAAAAGCCACACCTCACTACCAAGAATCAATATACACATCAAAATCCCCACCTTGAACCCAAACATACATTAGGAAGAGCCCCACCAACGTAAATCAAACCCACCCTAACCTTTATAGCCCACTATACACCTCTTTAACTGACAACCAAAATGAATGCTCTCCCACAGAGCACATAATGCCCCCTATCACACTGCCCATACACATATGAAGAACAACACCTCACTGTCCACACACAGCCTACCAATATTGAACCACACTGGAAAATATATACACAAAATACCACCAACAATAACATAAATACACTCCACTACGAATGAAATCACCCCAACTTCCTCATCAGCAGAAATGAAAGACCAATCCTCTGTCAAAGCTGCTAATGTTAGTGCATGCCCATCCCTGATGGGAATCTGCCAACTGCTGCCCAGACCATACCACTCTGGTTCATAATACTTCCCCCAAAATGTCTTGACTGACAAAGGGGAGTCCATGGAAACACTGTCCTTACCACCAACCCCCACCCCCAACCCAAGGCCCAACTCACAGCCCATGCCCAATGACACCAATACCCCCGGAAGACCTGCAACTCCCACCTCTGCTCCCCCTCTGGTTGCAGCAGAAGTGACCACACCTGTAACCAAAAATACCCTAGAGGACCTCTCCAAATCCATCCATGCCCCCAGGGATGATGAAGACACTGCAATGTCCAATGACAACACAATACCAAACCCCTTTATCCCTCCCTCTACTACCACCTCCACTCCCTCCAAACCCATCACCCATTCCAAAGAAGACCTTCTTAGAGCACACCTCACTGTAGCAGAGACAAACCACTCCATTGTCAAACTAAACAGCTTGAACTCTCTTACAGCAATCCCACACTTCACCCCCATCCCATTAGGAGGTTTCCCACAAATCCACCTATCCCACGCAGCTCAACTCTTTGATTTCCAATCCTCCAAAGTCATCATGGCATGGCTAAAAGTCCCACACCCAAAACTCCTCATACAAGTTTTCAATCATGATGGGAAGAACCCATTGGCCAAAGGCCCAATCTTTGTGGAATGCCTCTGCAAGGCAATCATGGACATTGTGAACTTTGTCCATGACAACCAAGAAGTGAAAGTTTCCCCCCTGTCCCCAGATGCTACCATCAAAGATGATGACAAGCACCCCATCAGTTTCCTAGCATACAACTTCTTGGAAGAGACAAAGAACATCATTCTTTCACAGCACATATGGTCTTCACCAGACATCACCTTTGTGGCCCACCAGTTCAGTGTAAACACCCCCCCCCCCTCCTTCTCTTCTGCCTACACAGCTTCTCAACCACTGACACCAAAACCGTCAAAGACCTAGTCTACAAGACCTGGTCTGAAGAAGTCGCATGCTGGGACATAGGAGAAATCCTTGTTGAAAGTGATATCCCATATGAAGAGAAAGAATCCACTACCTGGGAACTCATCAAAACACTTTGGATAGAGTGCCTTGACTACAAAGTAAGTGGAGGAATACCCCTCCCCCACTACAACATTTTTGCCACCAGCCCAACTAGTAACCCTGCAGTATGGACCAAACTCCACCTTTACCTGTACTCCCTTGCATACCTGTCTGAACTTGAGGGTACAGGCACAGCAATAGGATTCTCCACTTGCTCCCTATGCCACTCAATTGCCCATCCTCACAGCTTATGTCCTTTCCCAGAGGTATCACTCTGGAATGGACCAAAGCACCACAACCCTAAGTCCACAGCCAGTAACCAGAGGGAAAGAGGATGAGGAAGGAAGACCTTCTCTTAAGGAATGACTCTCTAGAACAGCTTGAACATACAACCCTGTCACATATATAACCCCACCCATCATACATACCTACCTACCCACATAGCTTGTAGACCTACTACCCATGTAACTACAAACTCTGAATATCATCCCCACTCCACCCCATACCCAAAACACAAACAAGAAAATGGATCAAAATAGCCTACCTCCTGACTATAGGTTATTAATGCAATTCCAACAGTCTGCCAAGGTGCATTCTGGACCTCCCTAACCCATAGCCAAAATTTACTGACTGCTTGGCAGGACAGGGAAGCTATGGTAGCCTTGATGGCAATTGCCAACAGCAGAGACCTATTTAGGTCGAGGGTTAGCCACACTGAGAAGCTGAAGCCACCGCTGAACGAGATAGGTGACTGGACACTTACCTCCGAAAGCACAAGCATGTACCCACTGTGGTTGTCTGGGATAAGACAACCCACACTTCCTGATGGTCATTTTGGAAGACACTGACAACTTGACCACCTCCCCATTAACTCCTGCAAATACTTCCCAACATGGTAGCACTCCTGGTCATGGCTCATTCCTCCCAAGAAGCAGAGAGGGTGGGCTTCAAACCACCAGGCCACCCCTTGAGGACACTACATGAGAGTTTGGAGGTGGAAACAACCCCACACCCCATCAGGCACTGCACAACCATGTGCAACATAATAATGACATTAGAAATCAACCAAAAAAGCGAAATAAAACAAGAGCTAACCTTTATATTGTGTCCCTGAATATGAAAGGGAGAACATCCATGCAACTAGATTACAGTGCGATATCGAAATGGTCAGTTATACACCAAGTCATGAGAGAAAAGAAGATAGGAATCTTGTGCCTACAAGAAACACACCTAACAGAAGAACATGAAAACCAAATAAACACACTGTACTCCTGCAGATTGAGAGTGATAAACTCCAAAGACAGAGAACACCCAGGATCATCAGCTGGAGTAGCTTTTGTACTAAATAAAGAATTAATGAGCACTGAAAACATTGAGTTCAGAGAGATCATACCAGGAAAAGTGCTAATCTTAAAAACTCGATGGCACAACAACAAGGAACTCACCATCCTCAATATATATGCCCCAAACAACCCAGCAGAACATCATAACTTCTGGGCAACTATTAGAGATTCGGAAATGATAAGAAACAACCAACAGATTGACTTACTACTGGGAGACTTCAACCTGACAGAGGACCCACTAGACAGAGCCCCAGCATGAATGGACAACAAAGTAGCAACCAACGCACTCAGAGACCTAAGAGAAACATTAAATGTACATGACTCCTAGAGGAAAACACACCCTACATCTCGCTTATTCACCTTCTATAGTAACACAAACTCCTACTCCAGACTAGACAGAATATACTCCTCCCCCCTGCATGATAATAGCCTGTATGACTGGTCAGCATGCATGTCAGCCATCCAAATGGACCACCATATGATCCTAGTAAGATATGCACCTCTGAAAATGCCACATATCAGCAAGGGATGATGGTCATGGCCACTTGGCCTAGTAAACGACAAAAAACTACTGAACAAACTGAGTAAGATAGGACAAATGACACAATGAAAAATAGAAACAAACCAACAAACAGGTGGATTCAACCCACAATCAGAATGGGAGGACTTTAAAATCAAAATTTGCCAAGAGGCAAAGAAAATGTCCAAAGAACATCTGTATAAAATCAATACCAGAATACAATAACTAGAAAATGGCATCAAACTCACCTTATGAGATGATGACATAGACACTAACAGCAACACAAGAAGCCAAAAAGCATGGCTTGAGAGTGAAATTAACCACCTGGAGAAAAAACAATTCAAAAACCTTCAACTTTGATCAAAAGTGAAATGGAATGCTGCAGGGGAGACCATTAGTAAATACTGGTGTAAAATAAATACACCAAAAAAACCTTGAGACATCATCTATCAACTTAAAATACCAAACTCAAACCGACTCACCTCCCACTCTGGTAAAATGGCAGAAATCACAAAACAATACCATGAATCCCTTCAACAAGAAAACATATACCCTGAAATACAACTGAGAAAGAATGAAGCAAAACAAAAAACAATGAACGAAATACCAAACAAACAGAAGTTCAATAACAACAACTCCCCCCTAAGTCAACTCCTAGAGGAACACCACATACATGAAGCACTATACTCTTTGAAGTCCAGTAGCACTGCAGGAATTGATAGAATACCATATGAGGTATGGAAAAGACTACATGAAAAACATTTAGCCAACTCAGAAGATAACAAACCAAGCTTTAATATAATTAAAACACTTACCCTAGTCATAAACAATATACAAATAAACAGAGTAAAAGATGAAACTGAATTCACATTAGGATGGATGTGTCCAATATATACAGTGGCTCAAAAAACTGTCCGCATGTTTTGACATTTTTTACTATTTACAATATTGTGTGAGAATACATAAAGACCTCAGTGACATGCTAATACCATATTGTAGTGCTGCTTCAGGGCTTTGGATTGAGCACCACATCGTGAGAATCAGAGGAGATATGGTGGAGATACAAGGCTTACAAAATCATGGCTCATGCGGACAGTTTTTTGAGCACATATTAAAACTATATAAATCATCATTTATGACACCATAACAATCATGCCACCATTAAATAAATTATAAAGTGGTGTCATTATGTCATTTTAAAACCATATCTAACTATACAAACCAAAAATTTCCATATGTCATGGTTATATTCACCATGAAAGCCACCCCCCCTGCTCAAAGGGATAATATCCTCTCTCTTTCCTATTCTGGCCTCTCTGCTTGTCAATTTTCCTCTAGAACTGGAGTATGCAAGTCCACTGTGGCCAAGTTCATCAAAGAAAGTCACACAGACAAGGAAAACTTCTGTGAAGGGCGTCCATCCAAGCTCACCTCTACTGATTGGAGGGCTATTATTCAACATATCACTACAGGAAAGGCTGATAATGCTGTCCAGGTCACCTATTACATCAATTCCACCATCACATTCCCTGTCTCTTCACGCACTGTGAGAAACATTCTCAAGACAGCTCATCTCAGGTCAGTAACAAGGAAGAAAAGGCTCTCCTCTCTATCACACATAAACAGAGATGACTAACCTTTGCCTTAGCCCATCAGAATTGGATTACATGGACTGGAAGCATGTTATATGATCATATAAGACCACAATAAATAGGATTGGGTCAGATGGCAAGGTATATATGTGAAAAAAGAAGGGTGCTAGTCCTCTCTGCATATGTGTGATAGAGAGGAGAGCCTTTTCTTCCTTGTTACTGACCTGAGATGAGCTGTCTTGAGAATGTTTCTCACAGTGCGTGAAGAGACAGGGAATGTGATGGTGGAATTGATGTAATAGGTGACCTGGACAGCATTATCAGCCTTTCCTGTAGTGATATGTTGAATAATAGCCCTCCAATCAGTAGAGGTGAGCTTGGATGGACGCCCTTCACAGAAGTTTTCCTTGTCTGTGTGACTTTCTTTGATGAACTTGGCCACAGTGGACTTGCATACTCCAGTTCTAGAGGAAAATTGACAAGCAGAGAGGCCAGAATAGGAAAGAGAGAGGATATTATCCCTTTGAGCAGGGGGGGTGGCTTTCATGGTGAATATAACCATGACATATGGAAATTTTTGGTTTGTATAGTTAGATATGGTTTTAAAATGACATAATGACACCACTTTATAATTTATTTAATGGTGGCATGATTGTTATGGTGTCATAAATGATGATTTATATAGTTTTAATATGTGCTCAAAAAACTGTCCGCATGAGCCATGATTTTGTAAGCCTTGTATCTCCACCATATCTCCTCTGATTCTCACGATGTGGTGCTCAATCCAAAGCCCTGAAGCAGCACTACAATATGGTATTAGCATGTCACTGAGGTCTTTATGTATTCTCACACAATATTGTAAATGGTAAAAAATGCAAAAACATGTGGACAGTTTTTTGAGCCACTGTACATGTAATTGGGGGTATGCCCCCAGAGAAACCATAGACAAGTCCATCTGTGATGGACAGATATTTATCGAGCAGATTCGACTCTGCCAGCAAGTGATGCCAACTCTCTGGGTTATATGGTGTGTGTGCCTTAGCTCTTCTCGCTGCGAGGGCAAGATTGAGCTCCATGCTCCTTGCTTCTGCAGCCTGAGCATTCGTGTGGGGCCTCGTGGTTTGATATCTGGCAGCTCCCTGGGTGCTGCCATTTGTAGCATATAGGGAGGCCTTGAGGGTTGATGAGGTGTCCATTGTCTTCCCAATGGCAGTGAGTGTTGGTGCCATCCCACGTGGTTCAAGACTCGTAGCATTGGATGTCATGAGTGAAGTGGCTGAGACAGAGGGCACAGGCTGATCAACTGCGAGTGCCTGCACCCCGAGAAAAACCCCCTTGCCTTTGTTGGTGGTCGTGGGATTTGTCTGGTGAGGATGGTTTGCTTCTCTGGTTGTCTGACCTTTGTGCTGGAGAGCGTGACCGTGAGTTGCGGTTGCGCTGGTCGTTGTTGCCCCCGCGAAAGTCCCAGTAGCTGGACTTCTGGTATTGATTTGAGGGTGTCTCTCTGCTTGAGTGCTGCACGGTGACGTGGGTGTGTGCATCCATGTTAAGTTGTGGGCATCCACGTTATGGTTGTGGGCATCCATGCGAATGGGTATGAGCATCCGCAGGAAAATGTCACAGGCATCCACGGGATCAACATCGCAGGTGTCCATGTCAAATGGGGATGTTATTCATTGTGTGTGGAATTTGGAAGGGGGAGAAAGGTTCATAGATTAGCGGGTCTGCTTGATATCGATTTTAGACTGGATACGTACAATGTTTGATGTGCAAGAGCGAACTTTATCCCACAACTCCTTGTTGATCATCTGAATGAGGTTCTCATTGATGTTACCGATGTTGAAACCCTCATTGCATTTGAGACGGTTGTGCCAGTCTTGATGTATGTGCGATGTGTATGTCAAGATCACCATGTCACTGATTTCACTGTTGTTTCGAATTGAGTGGTTCTCGAGGTGCCAGAAGAACAATGACAGTGCGTCGATGTTTGGTTGGGGCCACTTGGCTTTGCTGATTTGAATGAGGAATAAGTTCTTTGCTCAGAGGAAAATTGAGAATGATAACTCATGGTCAGCCATGGCCACTTTTGATGCTTTGAACACTGAGGTGGGCCATAATGTGAGTTGGTTGTCTGTCCTCATTATGCTCATGTCGTTGTTGGCCACTGAGCATGAAGACTTGAGAGCATCTTTGCACCCTTCTGGTGAGAAGTACCATAGCTCTACATATTCGAAATTGGTGAGTTTCTGAATTGCATATTGAGCAGGACGGGGAGTCAGGTAATCTCCTACAGATGATGCATGCTCAAAGCCATTCATCTTTGGTTTCTTCTTTTCAGCTTCTGTCCACTCCCTCTCTGCTTCAGCTTCCCGCTGGATGCACTCTTCATTCTCCTGCACAGTTCATGCCCTTTCTGCTTCTGCAAGGACTCTAGCTTCTGCTTCTCAGTCTTGGTTCCATTCCACTACTCTTGCATTGTGGTCTGCATTCCATGTCTCCATGAGACGAGCTATGACTTCTTCTCCGGTCTGGTTTGTGGCAGCTTCAAGGTCTGTGTGAATGCCTGCATACAGGTTACCAGCGAAATCTGGTACCATTTTGAGGTTTGGGTTGACGACTAGAGCCATTGTATTTTAAAATTAGATAGGAATAAGATTGTGTAGATTTTAAAGAAGGTTTCTGGTGTGGAAAGAAAAGAAAGTGAGCAGAGTGAGCTATGCAGTGATAAACAGTGATTGTGGCATGAAAGCAAGAAGCTTGGTGCTGCATCTCTTGTTTGCTTGAAGACTTTACTCTATTTTTTTATTCATGCCTCTTTACATAATAGAGTGACAAACTTAATTAAAATAAGCAAAAAAATCTCACTCACCAACAATGAAACAACCGACAATAATAAAAAATACTACCCTCAAAAAAACTGTGCATGCAAATACTGTAAGAAAGATACAGACAAAGGATGCGAAAACCCACATAAATGTGCCATAACAGTGAAAGACATACTAAACAAAATCACCCCAAAATTCAACACAAAATCCAAACCGAAAAAAGACAGCTTATCACTCACTCACAGTAGGAAAGAGAAAAATCAACAAGCACATGAACGAAGACAAGGAGAAATCATTTTTGACCCCACAACAACAATATGAACAACTGTCATATCCTGTATGCCAGACATAGATCCCATCATATTCCCACGCTTTCCAGACCTATTTCCGGACCCCATATCCAACTCATTCCTGGATCCCCTATCCTGTCCACCCTACACACATTTCATCCAGCAAGACATCTGGACTTTACCTCCTCTTGGATTCCGGACTACATCCACCACCTCACATATCTCAGTCCTGTTTCCGCCCTGCCTTCTGGATCCCCAGATCTCTGGACCTCCGGATATTAACTGTTACTATCTCCAGACCTATTCCCACCCTCCATCCGAGATCCTGCACCTATCCCCATTTAGGCATCTCCCCCTTTCCAGTTCTTGGTTATCTCTGTTTCCATCTTGCTGATTGATCCTTGTACTAGTTTCATCTCCGAGTTCATTTACTTATGTTCCATCTTACTTACCAATGTGTTTCTGCATGCTCATACATAGCCTTACTCCTTTGATTACTGATCCTCTCAGATAGCCTCTAGTATATAACCCCTGTACAACTACAGAGTCCTCAGTCTGAATATCATCTTAGATCCTGTTCTACTTGCCAATCATCTTCCAGACTTCAGTCCGCCTGAGTCTTGTCCTTTTCCATAAGGCCTAGGGAAGGATTCCCTAGGCCAGAATTCTGGACATCCTGTCCTCCTGTCCTCTGGACCTCCTATCCTTCCATCCTGTTTTCCTGTAGAAGTATTACCTTGCAGTGGGAACTCTCCTGAGCACTTCCTGCATTCCTCCGGAACTCTCCCATGCTCCTCCAGAAGTCCTCCCGCACTCTCCACCAGAGTAGCCAGCCTCTAGAAGTCCTCTGGACTTCATTGGACCATCATCGGACTTCCTCTGAAATGAAGGGCACATACTCGGGTAAGGGGCACAGCATACAAGCTGAGGCCAAGCCCCTCTGAGTCAGTCTCTCTCTCCTTTGAGCATGGTTCTTAACAACGACACTTGGAGACTGCTTTAGAATTTTTACTGACCCATTGAAACAATCAGAGAGACCAGCTCACCACCTTCAAGCCCCAATGAGAGGGCTCAATATCATAGAAGAAAGTATCACCATCTACACAACAGCTCATGCCTAAACAAAGGAAAATACAATGCAAGATCTGGTAGTGGAATATGGATATCAGTGGAAGACAAACGAAACAAAAGAATAAGAATACTTGGACACCAGCAATCAAACCAGATCACTGAAGTAGCAGTGATACTAGTTGCTCTACAACAAACAGAGCCCAATATCCCTATAACATTCATAACAGACTCAAGATATGCAATTGATGGACTCACCAGGCACATTAACCAATGGGAGGATAAAGGATGGATAGACATAGCAAACAGTGACTACCTAAGAGCCACACTGTACCACCTACAAAAAAGGTCAGCACAAACATCATTCATATGGACAAAAGGACACAATGGAAACCAAGGCAATGAACAGGCAGATCACCTGGCTCTAGAAGGAGTGAACAAACCCACCAAAGACCAACTAGACCTCTCAATCCCTAATGAATGGAACCTACAAGGAGCAAAACTATCCTCAATATCATAATCACTCACATATAAAGGAATCAAGAAACAAAACAAGACCAAAAACCTACCAAGAAGAGCAACAATGGGTAACCTTGACATCACAAGATATGCAATCCAAGAAATCATGGGAAACCTTGAACATGATAGCGCCATATGGACTGGATGCCAAAATAAAGACATACAAAAACAATACATCAATTCCTATTCAAAGCAATACATGGAGCTTACTGTGTTGGAGAATATTGGCTAAACATCCCTAACTACAAACACCAGGCAAAATGCGCAACATGCCATGCAGAAATTGAATCACTAGAACATATACTGTTAGAATGTCCAAACAACCCCCAAAAAACAATATGGAAACTTACAAAAGATATATGGCCAGCAAAATTTGGCGCCTGGCCAAGAATAAAATTAGGAACAATCCTAGGCTGCAGGAACCTACAACTGAGAAAATAAATACCTGAAAGATGAGATCCAAACGAAAGAGAAAACAATGACAATGAAGTGAATGATAAGACAAAAGGTGCAGCAAGACTTCTAAGAATCCTGATCTCAGAATCTGCTTATCTAATCTGGATAATAAGATGTGATAGCATTATGAATGAAAAAACCTACACAACAGACAATATAATCAAACAATGGGCCAATAGAATTAATAACAGACTACAACTAGACAGAATATCTGCAAAAAAATTATAAGGACAAAAAAATTCACAAAACTAGTTATGCATACTTGGGAAAATACCATCCAGACAAACCCCAATACCCAAATCCAAAAAGACTGGGCAACTGCCCTAGAGGTTTTAGTAGGTATTAGACCACCCAGGCCCTCTATGATTGAGGCCACCTGGGTAGAACAGAGTCCCACACACCACACATAATACAGGGGTGCATAAATGCATTTTTCCTCAGACTGGGGTTTCCCAAAACCCTGCTATAGTGCATATATGTAGAACTAGACTTAGTCAGCTGCTACCAATACATTTTGCTTGTCCAAAAAAAAAAAACACTCAGATGAGCTTGTAATGCTACTTAAGTTAAACTGTTCATTCATGCAGGGGCTCTCAGATTTTTTCAAATCGGGGTTCATATCCCATCAGCCAGAAGGGTGTTCTGGGAGGCCCTTGACTCTGTACCACCACCATGAACAGATTTTCCCATGCATGAAAAATTGCAGGCAAGGTTGAGCTGTCATAGCTCACAGAAAGAACTGGCCATAAATCATATAAACATCCTTAGAAACATAAACATGAGGCCAAACACCCACACCTGCATCAAACAAGAGCACAAGCCCCAAAGAAAATGAAACTCTAGACATATTCAAAACACACCCCATGCACAACACCAACCCTCAATGAAAACAATGCCTGAATGCTGCAAACAACCAACATACATTGAAACACAGACAGAACAACATCAACCATGCATACATGTAAACTAACACCACCCCACCACACCCTGCACTGACTTTTAACACTGCTAACCACTCCCTTGAGAAATCACACCCACTAACAAGTCTTAGTAGGCCACAGCCCCAGTCAAATCTGAAATGAGCCTGGCCATGATGCCCTCACTGAACCAATCAATTGCCCCACCGCTAGACAGCTGCACATGAATAATACCATAAAGCCCCACCACTCCCACCCACTCTCCCTGTCCAACTAGAAATGAAAGACAAGGAGCCTACCTCTCTTAAGGCCATATCCCAGGCCACATGCCCCTACCCTAACACTCCTTATCCTAATTCTCAACCCCCCCTGCTCTGGACCAAAGTACTTCCCTCCCAATGTTCTACAGGAAGATCATGACCTAGAACAAGCCATGGACTTAATACCATATAAACCTGACCCACCCTCCCTGCCCTCACCCCTGAGCCTGCACTCTCCCCCTGATATGCCTACCCCCACATCCCAGGCAAACTGTGCACACCCACTCCAACACAACCTCCTCATCTTTCAGGATTTTAAAGTAACAATGTCCAATGCTAATGATGACAAAACACCAAGCAGTGGCCTTACTAACTCCATCCATGCACCAGGCAACTTCACAGGAGATCAACCCATGAGTGTCCCACCAAGTCCTACCACCAGACATATACCAACTGCTGAAAAGCAAGTGTCATATCCACATATCTGGATCTCAGATCCAATCCTTATCTCATCTCAGATCCAATCCACATCTTATCCCCCTCCAACATCTTGTCATTGTCATATCCCACAATCCAGACCCATGTTCCATCATATTCCCACGCCTTCCAAGCCTATGTCTGGACCCCACTTCATATCCAACTCATTCCCAGATCCCCTTCCACTGTGTGCTCCACACCTCAGCAGGATCAACTCTGCTCTAGATTTACCCCTGAGCTCCGGATCATTGGATCACCACTGCTAGCCTGATCCATACCCCCCTGTCCCATCCACCCTATGCACACTCCATCCAGCAAGACATCCAGACTTCACCTCATCTTGGATGCCAGACTATATCCACCTTGTCATATTCCACAATCCGGACCCACATTCCATCATATTCCCACGCCTTCTGAGCCTACGTTTGGACCACACTTCATATCCAACTCATTCCCAGATCCCCTTCTGCTGTGTACTCCACACCTCAGCAGGATTGACTATGCTCCAGATTTACCCCTGAGCTCTGGACCTCTGGATCCTCACTGCTAGCCTGATCCGTACAACCCTATCCTGTCCACCCTATGTGCACTTCATCCAGCAAGACATCCAGACTTCACCTTGTCTCAGATTCCGGAACTATATCCACCTTCTTGTATTCCAGTCCTGTATCCACCTTGTCTTCCAGATCCCCAGATCTCCGGACCTCCGGATATTAGCTCCGGACCTATTCCCACCCTCTGTCCGATATCCTGCACCTATCCCCATTTAGGCATTCTCTGCTTTCCGGCTTTCGGTTACCTCTTCTTCCATCTTGCTTATTGATCCTTGTATGAGTCTTCATCTCTGAGTTCATTTACTTATGTTCCGTCTTACTTACTAATGTGTTTCCACATGCTCATACATAGCCTTGCTCCTTTGCTTACTGATCCCCTCAGATATTGTTCAGTATATAACCCCTGTAGATACTCCTGTAGTCCCCTAGTTTGAATATCAACTTAGACTTGCCCAATCCTCTCTTGGACTTTGGTCCACCTAAGTCTATCCTACCCATCAGGCCTAGGGATTGATTCCCTAGGCTGGAGCTCTGCCTTTCCGGCACTTACCCTCTTTCCAGACTTAGGTCCAATCCTTGTCTCTCTAACTCTACCTTAGGGTAGTCCACCTCTGTTTGTTTCCACATTGGACTTTGTCTGATGTAGCCCCTATTCCTTCTGGACCTCCGGACCTCCTGTCCTTCGGACGTTCTGCCCTCTGTACCTTTGGATGTTCTGCCCTCTGTACCTTTGGACATTCTGTCCTCCTAACCCTTGGACATCCTGTCCTTCATACCTCCGGACATCCTGTCCCTCTGTCCTCCATCATCCTGCCCTCCTGTCCTCCAGACCTTTGGACCTCCTATCCCTCCATCCTGTTTCCTGTAGAAGTATTACCTTGCAGTGGGAACTCTCCTGAGCACTTCCTGCATTCCTCCAGAACTCTCCCACGCTCCTCCGGACATTTCCCACACTCCTCCAGAAGTCCTCTAGCGCTCTCCAGCAGAGTAGCCAGCCTCCGGAAGTCCTCTAGACTTCGTCAGACCATCATCAGACCTCATCTGAAATGAAGGGCACATACTTGGGTAAGGGGCACAGCATACGAGCTGAGGCCAAGCCCCTCTGAGTCAGTCTCTCTCTCCCTTGAGCAACATGGTTCTTAACAACCTCTCTCAAAACAATAGATACTCAGACCTACAATCCATCCTACAATCCTGGTGCACAGCATCAGGAGCAAAATTTAACATGGAAAAAACTGAAATACTACCTATCAGAATGAAAGTGCACTGCACCACAGTAACACAGAACCAAAAACTGAATGACCTTGACACACCATGGAAGGACAAAATAAGAGTAGCAAGTGATGGCAACCCAATAAGATCACTTAGAACCTGGATAGGAAATGAAACTGAAAATGCAACATCCTGGGAACTGACCCTGAAAAAATTTGAAAACAACCTTAAATAATGGAACATGGGCCACCCCTCCCTCAATGGAAAGAAACTGATAATCCAAATAGTAGTTGGCAGCATGACACAATTCCTTGTGAAAGCACAAGGAATGCCTAAGACCATTGGAAACGCCATCACCAAACTAATACAAAATTTTATGTGGAACAAACAAACAAACCTACCAATAAGCACTGAATGACTAGAATGCCCCATCTCTGAAGGAGGCTTTGGCCTCCTGAACATTAAAACAAGGAATGAAGTGATCAACATAATGTGGCTGCAAGCATACATGGACATATCACAACATTGACCAGCATGGGCCTTTGTCTCTGATGCCATAATCAACATCATGAAACTGGACAGAATCACCAACAACACTGACCTGAAAACATTCCTGACATCCTGGAAACACCCTACCAAGGGCAGATGAGCAAACAAGCTACCACATATAATCACAAACATGTTAAAAATGGCTATGAAACACCATGTAAGCTTCACACCTTTGAAAATCTCTGATAACCTCAAAGACCAACTCCCAGCCTGGCTACACATGGGCGCTCCACCACAAACCTACCACAAAATTAAAGATAACTGTCTACATCAAACACACCATGTAATATCGGTGAGACACCTAAGAAATATTACTGCATGACTAATGAACCAAGTACCACACCAACCACAAGCCTCATGCACATGCAATGAATGCATAGACAACCGACTAACAGGATGTAAGAACCCACACCAATGCACAAAAACAGTGAAACACATACTAGATAGCCTCCTCCCTAAATACAACCCTAATACAACACCTAGAAAAGACCAACTAACATTAACACATAGACAGTTAGAAAAAATATGCAAGCACACACACAACCACAAGGTGAAATCCTCTTCAACCCCTCTGTCACAGTCCAAAACAGTCTGATGGACTGCTTCCACATCTTCATTGATCCATCAAGACCTGTCCAAATACCAGCCTATAGACTATGTGTCCCATTGAACAGAAGACAAATGAATGACAATATACTCACCATCTTCACAGATGGATCCTGCACCAACAACAGGAAACACAATGCAAAATGTGGAGGAGGAATTTGGATAGCAAACAACCACATACTAAACTGTGAAATCAGCATGCCTGGAATGCACCACTCAAACCAGATAGGCAAGCTTGTAGCAGTATTAGTAGCAATACAATCTGCAAACCCATTAACACCCATTAAAATAGTAACTGACTCAAAATATGTAATAAATAGCCTAAACACTCACCTTGATGATTGGGAAAATGCAGGATGGATCAATATTTCAAATGCCCAACTGTTTAAAGCAATAGCATATCAGCTACACTGGTGCTCAGCCCAAACCACCTTCCAATGGGTCAAAGGACACAGTCAAGTGATGGGAAACAAAAGGGTAGACCAACTTGCCCAAAACAGAGCTTTGAAAATAACCACTGATGTCATTGATACATATGTACCTAGAAACTTTGACCTCCAGGGTGCAAAAATGTCAAGAATCACACAGAGACTAGCATACAAAGCATTAATGATGAAAAAAAAACACATAAAATACAAAAGACCAACCTTGGGCCTATTAGATGTCATGAGATATGCCATCAAAGCACTAACAACTATGCTAGAGACAGATGAATCCATATGGCAAGGCTGCAGAAACAAAGACCTCTTGAAAAAAGTACAAATCTTCCTATACAAAACATTAAACAATGCCTTCCACATTGGAGACTTCTGGACACAAGTACCCACCCTTGAACACAGAGCATGCTGCCAGTCATGCAGGGAAGAACCTGAGTCCATGGAACACATACTGACCCAATGTAGCAACCCAATAAGAAAACAAACATGGGACCTTGCCAAAAACCTATGGCCAGATAAACATGGCCCATGGCCCGAACCCCATATAGGACTCATCATGGGCAGCAGGAACATATCTGTCATATCCTTTATGCTGGACCTAGATCCCATAATATTCCCATGCCTTCCAAGCCTATATCTGGACCCCATATCCAACTGATTCCCAGATCCCCTCCTGCCATTGACATGCACAAAACTTGTTTCATACATGGTCATGACCATATTATGATTTATGCCACTTTATTTTTTCAAACTATGAAGTCACTTGAATTTTTCTCACAATATTAATTTTATTTGGACATTTCAAAGCATGTTTCACCAAGAAATGGCTTAGCTGTCCATGTAAAATACTTATCTTTCTTGTATATGAAATAAACATGTGTCAACATTCTATGCCACTTTATTTGTATCTATGTATCCAAAGCTGTGGAACCTGACAAATTGATACTATGATTAGAAAGATGATGATTGGTAAAGCACAACAACAAGGCAGTGCTAACACAGCCCTTACCAAGCATTATTACAAAGCATGGCAGTGTTATGGTCTTACCACAGCCTTTGCCAAGCATTCTTACCAAGTATTCTGTAAAATTCCAGAGCATCCTATAGTCCTTTTTCATAATGATTCATACTGACTCAGCATGACTCAATATGACTCCAATTTAATTTAAGTACATTAGTAATCAATAGCATAGCCACTAGTATAGTAGTATATAAGGGGCTCATTTTTCCCCTCTTCTGAAGTAATCAATTTCATTCCCAAGTATCAGTCATCCAATCAGAGTGAGACAAAGTTTAGGGGAATCAAAGGGGGATCAGTGCATACACCCCTAAGTTTCTTCACCCCTATTATCTAAGTGGACAAATAAGTGACAACTAGGAGAAATATTAGCTTATTTACTCCATTCTTTTACCACATTCTTCACACATTATTCAGAAGTATTTGAGGCCACACACTTGAGCCATATTTGATTACACAAGTAGTATTCATTCTAGTTCTCTTTTAGACACAGGAAAAGTTCTGTCACAGGGGAGAATCACACATATTATTCATCAATTAGGGAAGACAAATAAGACCTACAATCTGTCAATGAATATTAAGAGCTTGGCCACTTAAGACTACATCAAAGGGTGTACTCTGTTCTGGACTGCATCATACTCATAGTAAGTACCTAAGCAGCAGAGAGCTGGTTTCAAGGCCATGTATTGGGATGATTTCACTAGTGAATTTGATCTCCATTGCTGAAGATAGTAAGAAATATCCACAGGGATATATTATAGCTCTAGTCATTGCATACAGCTGCAACATATTATTCTGAAGGTCATAGCACTGCATCATGCCAGTTACTGACTTTACTTGAGATCATAGCACTGCCTCAAGCCAGTTATTGATTTCCACACTTCTTTGCCCATTTTACATCACTAGCATTCACTTGAAAAGTTCAACAGAAAACCTTGTCCCCCACGAACAACTACATTATCAACCACTGGTATTTGTCTGAACCGTTGACCATAGAAGGATAGTGAATTTGGTGACTTTTCTGCCTTTCACATCCTAGCAAGACACTGTGTGCTCCACACCTCAGCAGGATTAGCTCTGCTATGGAATTACCCCTGAGCTCCGGAGCTCCGGATCTTCACTACTAGCCTGATCCACACACCCCTATCCTGTCCACCCTATGCACATTCCATTCAGCAAGACATCCAGACTTTACATGCTCTCAGATTCTGGACTACATCCACTCCCTCACATATCTCAGTCCTGTTTCCACCTTGCCTTCCAGATCTCTGGATCTCCAGACCTATTCCCACCCTCCATCCAAGATCCTGTGCCTATCCCCATTTAGGCATCTCCACCTTTCTGGTTCTCAGTCATCTTTGTTTCTGTCTTGCTGATTGACCCTTGTACTAGTTTCATCTCTGAGTTCATTTACTTGTGTTCTGTCTCACATACTAATATGTTTTCACATGCTCATACATAGCCTTACTCCATTACTTACTGATCCTCTCAGATATCCACTAGTATATAACCCCTGTACAACTCTTGCAGAGTCCTCAATCTGAATATCATCTTAGTTCCTGTTCTCTCACCTTAGAATTGCTCTCACATCTTCTGGACTTCAGTCTGTCTGAGTCTTGTCCTTTTCCATAAGGCCTAGAGATGGATCCCCTAGGCCAGAAAACTGGACCTTCGGATTTGTCCCCTGTCTCTGTCCCAAGTCTAGGGATTGCTTCCCTAGGCTGGAGTCTTGCCTTTCCGGCACTTACCCTCTCTCCAGACTTTGGTCCACTTCCTGTCTCTCTGATGTAGAGAATGAGATTCCTCTAAGCATATATCGTGCATATTTCAACTCATGATGATTGGTACAGCACATCATTCACTCCCTATGACTTTCCCATGAAATGCACCAAAGGCACTGTGACAGTCAAGTTTTCCTTGGGCTTAGATTTACTTACTTTCATTACCTTTACCTACCCCCACTTTCTTTAGCTTATGTTCGCATTTTTGCAGCTTATATAAGCAGTACATCTTACCTTTCACTCTTTACCTGTAGTCTGAGACTAGCAGTTTTATGATGATTCTTCTCCCCTCTGAGCTCTGAGTCTAGAACCCTTGTGGGTCAAATAGCAGCTATGTACAGCACTTTAGACCCAACATATTGGCTAGGTACTTTACCAAGTATCTAGCCAAGTTGTGTTACTCACAACAGTTCAGAGATAAGTGGGATTTGAGAACCGTACATGGACCTATTCAAACTGTGACTGAACCACTATAGATATTTAAAAAAAAGGTAAACAGAGTCTGTTTACCAGTACTATCACTGGCAGGGTTTTTCAAAGGTTTTCAATGTTTGAAGCATAGCACACTTGTCATTGTTTATCAAATGCTGGACGTAGTGCACCTTCTGCCATTTCATGCACCAGTTCAAGTAGCTTGACTGCAAGGGCTACAGAAAGTCATCAAACTCACTAACAACTATCAACCAAAGTCGCTTGAGTCAAGCTGAAGGTTTTCCTTGCAGAAGATTTAGTTGCTGTTGATGAATGTAGCTCACCAGAACAGCAAGCATCATCAATTTTTACATGGTGGAAGGTACATTCTTGTATTGTATCATTGTGCACCTATCTACACTCAACATTATTACCAGACTACTGTTGAGATATGCACTTACCTTCAACATGATCCAGGTGTGACCAACTGAGCCTTAGCTTCAAAGCTTCAAAGACACGTGTGACCTGTGACACCTCAGAAATAGCTTCGACCTACTACCAGCCACTGTCAGTGCCTGCAGCAACATGGATATGACAAAATGATCCTCAGGCTCACACTCACCGGTGTGGAGCACTTCTGAGTCATATTTTCGCATCTGTCAGTCAACATGGATCCTCCAATGTTCAGTACTAAGGCATCCATCAGTGAGCTCTCGGATGGTGAGCTCTAAAACAAGTCATTTTTTCAGTGTAAGGCCAGCACAGCATTCAATCTCTCTTTCGAGAGTCTCACCAGTTGTGAAGTGCTTCATGCACTGTGTGATGTGCAGAAAAATGATACTGTGACTTGGGAGCACATCAAAATGGCTCAATATAAGACTCCCAAGGCTGACAAAGAAGCAGAGCCACCTTTCACACATGCCGCAGATGTTGAGCTTGATCCTAGCAATGTTTCTGTGGATACTGTTCTACAAAACATTGCATTGAGTGAATCATCTGTCCCTCATGGATATAGTGCTGATGAATCAGGTAATTTGCTGGTGGACAACAAGTCAGAGAGCTATGAGCGAGGGGTCCTGGATGACATGACAGGGCTTCAATCTATGGCTGATGGGTCTAAGGACTCAGAGGTTGAGTCTGAGGGTCATGGCAAGTGCAGACATGTTGCAAACACTCAGTACAAAGACTTTTGGATGCACTAGATACATTTTTTGATGTTTTTACCACTTGTCACAGTTTAGGTTCGGTGGCCTTGAAGCTGGTGTGACTGTCACAAATAATAGCTTCGATTCGTTGGATGTGTGACACTGTGATGAAGCTAAGTGCGTATCTCGACAGTAATGCTCCCCATTTTCCCATCCTGAGTCGCATCACACTTGATTATTTACCTGTGCAAGGTTCCTTGGTGCCATGTGAACGAGCATTTTTGGACACAGGACTTACAGATATGAAATGGTGTGCAAGATTGCTTCCCGAGAACTTTGGCGACATTTAGATGGTGAAAGGCAAATACAAGTGGGAACGAAGGCACAGAGACACAGAGAAAGCTGACAGGGAGGCTGTGGAGAGGAGACAATGGGCAGAAGACTCTGTTTGTGAGGTGCAAAAACAAAAAGACGGTCGTTCAGCGCTGCGGGAGCTCGAGTAGTAAAATTTTCACAAAAAATTCCATTTTGTATCAGTGAAGGGTCTGGAACCAGCTCGAACTCGAACAGAACCATACCAGACCGGTCCATTGGTGAACCTATGATCCTGGTTCGGGTTCGAGGGTGAGGAAACAATGCTACTTGGTTCGAGTTCGAGTTCGACCAAAATCTGCTCGAACCGGACCTGAACCGGACTGCGGCAACTTTACTGCCATGAGTCTGGAAATTGGTATCTCCCCAATAAGTCGTCATTTTATTCAAAATATACGTACAGCTGATGTATCCGATCAGTAAGTGATTTAGAAGATCAATTCGAATAAGCTGATTCAGGTACTCCCAGCGACGTCTTCATCTTCAAACAGCTTAAAATTCATACCCTGCGAAAACCCATCCAGAATGAAGTCCAAATAATTTCTCCTGTGTTTCCCTGACCACGCAAGGTAACCGACGATAGCCATCTCCTCTATCCACTTTCTGAGGGTCTGGTCCAGAGTATCCCCTCCTGGCGACGGCTCATATCCCGGGAGCGATTTCTGCAGTATCATCTTCACATTCGAGAAAAGTAAGTCTGAATGTTCTTCAGGGATCTTGCAGATAAGCCGGGCCTTGGGCCTCTCGCGCGGCTGTGAAGCGTACGGTTCCGGCAGGGACCTCAGCATTGTGCGACCAAGACATTGGATTATAGAAGCCGTTAATTGGTAGTAGCTCCGACTGACGGCATTGGTGGTTGGCCCAGCCATCCCGCACAGTCCTCGTAACGAATATGCCAGGTGAAATTTGGAAGAGAAAGATGATGGCGAAGCCCGCTCGCGGTACATATACCGCGTGAATCTCACAACAGATCCATCTATTGGAGTGCCTTTCTTGAATAGCCTTGATAATATTTCGGGGGCCTGTGGGCTGGTACACGAGAGTGCATGCCACGCTGCTGGGCTGCTTGATGCACGTGCAAGAAAGCTCACTACGGCGACCTCATCTTGGAGCTCTTCCAAAATGTCTCCACCTCCAGATATCACCGCGCCCAGTCTGCTCATGCAAGGTATCATGAATTGGAAGAGTTGAGAAGACAACTCGCTGGAGATCGAAGGGAGTAAGGGAGCGAAACTGACGCCTTCTGCGAAAGACATCCCATCCTCTGAATCTTTGCAGGCCTTGAAAGCCTTCTCGACTTCTCGGTTGATTTCGTCTGCGAACGACGTGGGCTTTGCTTTCTCCATGATTCTAAAGACTAGATGCGCCCTGTCGTATGCCGTTTCGAACTGCTTGCCACCCATGCAAATCTGCATTAGAAGCACATAAAGTACTACATCAACGAGTGCAAGTGCGTCAATGTTCTGGTCGAGGACAGCCACTGGTGATTGTAATGGTGGGCGGAGAGCCGACATTTCTGTCTCCATGGTATTCGTCAACTGCGCAATGAGCGGAACGAGCAGCTCGCTCGCAGGGAAATTGGCTGGCACACTCCGGAACGCACGTGCGGTGCGAAGCATACTCCCCCTTGACAGGAAGGTCAAAGAGCCTGTTTTCCTCACGTTGACTAATACAACAGAGTTGAACTCCGAGGTTTGTGGTCGGGACAGCTTTGTGATCTTGAACATAAAGCTATCATTTCCCCCTTCCTGGGAGGATCTGTAACATGCAAGTGACCGCGCGGATTGGTAATCCACTTGGTTGATGTGTATGCCATCTTTTCCACTGGTGTAAATTGGAGTTGGCGGTGCTGGATTCACGTTGAGCAAGGTGCTCATGGGTGAAAGCGGTTTCACAAACTCTTTCAATTCTGGACGTAGTAACACACTGCGCAGGATGAGAGCAATGCGAGGGCTGACTACGAATATGCGGTGCAGGTCAGGGCTGCCATCTGCCAAACCTTCCCACAGGCCGAATGCATTGTGTGTAACAATAAATTCTTCCCCTTCCGCGGCTTCCCAGATACTGAAGAAGTAGTTGTTCGCATGAGTGTGGTAAGTGTAAGCTGGGAAGTGTTCGAGATCAGGTGGGATATGCGATTCGGTGAGCATTTTTTGAAGACCTTCTTCGCCGTACTTCTCTACGAGTTCTGCAGCATCTCGCATGATGTCTGAATGCGATGTGTCCAGGTAGTATCTGAGGACGTATAGCCAAAACTCGACAGCAGATCGAATATCCTTCGCTTTCATGAAGGACTCAATCCACTGGCGGCTTGTTGCGTTCTCCGGGTGATCCGCTTGAAAATAGGTGTCGGAGCACGACAGGTTGCGATAGTGCATGATAAACAGGAACTTCCGCAGGAGCTCTAGTGACCTCCGCTTCAGGGTGAAAGTACCCTGAGGAAGCGTTTTATGCAGGTCCATGATGATGGAGGCTGCATGACGTTCGAGGTCCGCTAATTTCTCCTCTAGTTCATTGATATTATGGGTGTTGCGGACGTCCTGATAGAAATTTGGTACGCCGTAAACTTTTCCAATGGGACGAATGTCAAGGCTACCCGTAGCAATATCATAGTAGTGGACGTATTCAGGATCAACACCGGTGTGTCGAAATTCTCTTTGTCGTTCTGTTTTGGACCTGCAAAGAATATCATTCAGTGTTCTGGTCTAGTGCCCACACGCAGAGTGCTCAAGAGGACTCTGAAAACACACTTCACAGGTCCGACTTGAAATCTTCGCAAGATAAACCGTGGAATGAAATGTTGGTATTGCATCGTAGGTGCATATGGACTCGGAGAGTCGTCCGTCTGCTGAGCTTCTCCTGCAAGCTCCGTTCTGGCTTGTTGTTTTGAGGTATTCTTGCGACGTCGTGTCATTCTGTAGAGCTCAACGAATCCTTCTGTAGGAATTGAGCGCTGGGCGCTGAACACACCATATCTGTGGCACTGTCGTGAAACACTTTATGTAAAGAGCGTATAGTACTACCTTATCAAGTTATGTGGTGATTGATGAAATTTAAAGTTCAAGATTCAAATTTGCAAACTTCGTTTTGACCAATGACTACTGTCAGGTATCCATCTTGGTCTTGTTACAGACCGTCGGGGCCATTCAAGATTCTGAAAGTCATGGTCTTGATATCAGACGAAGTTGATATATGGAGCTTAAGCCTTACCATCACGAAAGTCAGAGTTACCGCCGGTCTGGGGGCAGCCGCGGCGGGGTTTAAATTTGAACGTGCTCAATGTGCCTAGACAAGCGTCTAATAAGATCAACCTCGAGGAAATCATCCATGAGGAGTGTCAAGGGATGTTCCTATTAAAAAAATGTCGTCGGCAGGTTTCGACCCTGCACAATCCAAGAGAAACATATTTCGATTCCGTTGCGGTTTGAACTACTTGGCTAGTAAGACCAGTTCAGATGAATGCGCGAGGAAATATCCATGAGTGAATCTTCAAGGCTGTTCTGATAGAAAAACAACTTTGTCATAGGCAGTTTCAAACGTGCCCAGTGCGAGAGGAACAGATTTCGGCTCTGTTAACAACCACAACCACTTGGCTAAGCCCAGTTGAGATGGATCACCGAGGAAACCATCCATGAGTGAATCGTCAAGGGTGTTCCAACCACCTTTCCACTCAGGCTATTGTCCGACAAGACCTCCTGTGTCGCAGCACTGTTCCACTTCTGGAGTAAAAATATCCTTGTCGTCCACAGATTTCGAACCTACGCAGTCGGATCCAAGAAATACAGATTTCAATTCTGTTGTGGTAAACACTTTGGCCAGGACGCAGTTGAGATGAACCTCGGAGGAATCTATGAATGAATGTCAGGGTTGATAAAAGAAAAAAATTAATTGTCGGAAGGTTTCGAACCTGTCTAAGAGAAACAGATTTCGACTCTGTTGTGGTAACCACTTCTGCCAGGACGAAGTTGAGTCGAACCTCCAGGAACCGCGACTAGTACTGTCCGTAAGTGATGTCAAGGTGTGATTTGGCGAGAGATTTGTATACTGGTGGACTCGATTCCGCGATGCAAGTTAGTTGGAATACATCGTGGTTCCGAACTTCCAACTATTAGTTGGCCCTCTCACTTCAAACTCGCTTTCACCACCAAGCCAAATCCCGTAACGTTGGCGAGGACATCTCTCTCTTGCAGAGACCCATGCGCCGTGATCTTGTGACCACTTAAGCACCTGCAGCACCTGCCCAACCTCGATCGTGGGTAGTGTCAGAATAAATCTTCGTGTATTTCCAACCACCAAAGGCATGTCAAGACCATTTATGCGGTAATGTCTATGGTCACGCGTCTGCTGGCAATGAGTGGTATAGGAAGTGCAAATCTTCAGCCTTCAATCGCGTCATCACGGAGGTCATTCTCCGATTCATTCTCCGTGCAGGACCCAGGCAAATTTGACTTTCACAGAGCATTGTCCTCGGTGAAGTTGAAAGGCATCATGATTCATTTGCTGTGTGCAAGCCAAGCTGTACATATGGAGGACGCAAGTTTGATAATTATGATTAGCCATGGATGATGACGCGAAATGAGGATGTAGTCATTACCTATCAATAAAATAAGTACTGCTTCCAGTGCACATTACGAGCGACAATAGAACTGAAATAACCCCAGACATCCACCAATTCCGCTAGCAGCAGTATGACCGGCCGCTTCCATGTTCCCCAGAGTCTACCTGAACTGCTGCTGGTTGCTGTTGCTGCTGTTGGTGTGAATTGGGGTCCGGTGAAGGAGGTCCATGATGATCTTCATCACGTATCAAGGAATCGTCACTCTCAGGAGCACCCACTGCAGCGTTACACTGTAGATTTACGTATCAGATGCCCAAGATACGGTTATGAAAATCGACCGGGCACACCTGTACACCCTGCGCAAAAGGAACATCGACAACGGGTGGCCCTGCATGATCAGACCGCCAGAGGAACAGGTTTCCTAGCCGAGCTGTGATGGTGGTAAAGGTGGTGGCGGGTGGCGGGGTGGTAGCTGGTGCAGGTGTAGGAGCGGGTGCAGGTGTAGGAGCGGGTGCAGGTTCTGGTGAAGGAGCTGAACGAGGGGTTCTCGTCATAGCAAGCCTGAGTCCTTTGAGGCGCCCAGGACGCTGTTGGGGTTGTGGCCGGGAAATTTGAGAATGCTGTAATTAACGATGTGAGAGAAAGAAGAGGGATCTGCTATTGCACGCACTCGATGCATTCCATGGACAAGATTGGATTTTGTATCGTAGCAGTCCTGATCTTGTCCGGGGACCTCCGCCTGCAAGCAGGTCAGTAGAGAAAGGAATGAGGAAGAGAGTGCATACACCAAGTATACAGTTAGTGTGCGCAGCGAACGCACTGCATTTCTCCTTAAATTCTGAGTGAAATACGGGTGAGCATGATAGCCTTAGTGATGTCAATGAAAACTTGCCGTTGGACCAATCGAGGCAGCTGGCCTTCGCAGTTTCGTCGATGGCGTCCATCATGTATTGGTGTGCTTCGAGGGCATCATTTGGTTTACCTGCAGAGAGGAATGCCTTGCACCGTTTCTGATGTGTCGTGAGACACAAGGACTCGAGGTCCCAGCCGAAGAGCTGGACAAAGCACTTAGTTATGAAAAACATTATATATACATGATCTTGACGCACCACGGTCAAGTCCTCGTATGTTTCATGAATGTTTTTCGATGAGAAAGCGCTGGAGCTGACAGCGGTAGTGAAGTAGTCAGCGGCTTCGTCATAACGTGCACCATCCAAAGCTTTGGTTCCAAGCTGAACACGTAGATATGTCTAATATGCGAGTTGCGAAGATCAGTTTTGACGATCGAGCGTGACTGCATGATACTTACTTCCACAACATGACACCCGAGAAGATCAGTATTCGGACAAGCGGCAGAGAGTTCTTCGACGAGCAGCATTGCTTCCTCGTGTTGATCTGCGTTGAAGAGGGCGATGGCCTGAAATACGGAATGAAGCAGAGAGCACGCGAGACGAATTTGACCTACCTTGATCAAGAGAAGAAAATGGTTGGTGTCCGAATCTTGGTTCGTGAACATGGATGCGACATCGAATGCTATCCTTGCTGCCCGGACAAGGCCTTTTCCGCAGAGGGCGACGCCTTTGGAAATGTAGCCTATCAATGAGGGCTGAATGCTGATAGACTATGTCACGGGTGAAAGTTAGCCTTTTCGTAAGGGGGCCAGTATAACTCACCTTGATTGCATCATCAAGGGCGCGGTCCCAGGCGTGTTTTCGGGCCATAACAAACGAGCGATGGGCATATGAAGTATAGTCGTTGGCGTCGGTGTGGATCTCTTGGGTAAGTAGCTCTTCAGCGCTAGACAAGTCCCCAGTCAAACATACATCGCGGGTTGTTGTGATAGCCACGATCTGCATGAAGCATGCTCGAATTATGTTATGAAAGTCAAGAACGGAAACTCACCTTTGAATGAACACCCTTGGCTGCCCACTCTGAGATCCTCTTATCATAACCTCCGCTGAGTATGTGCTCGCCATCCACGGAGAATCTGATACAAGTCTGGGTGGATGAATGCTGGAAGATGGCGATAGTTTGTCGATCTGAGAGCCGCCAGAGACGGACATGCTTGTCATGAGATGCAGAAGCGACAAGGGCGCCAGCAGGATGAACGGCAATGGCGTTAATGCCACCAGTATGGCCTTCCCAGGGATTACCGACCTGCTCCCAAGTCAATGGATCCCACTCTCGTACAGTAGGATCGTTTCCACTGCCTCCTGAAAGAAGGCGTGTACCATCAAGCGTCCATGCTAGTGCTGAGTTGGATACTTTGTGACCTGCGTGACCCTTGAAAGATGCGACACGTTCACTCGTTTCCGGATTGTAAATCTGTATATTGTCGTCGGTTGCGATTGCAAGAAGTTCGCCAGAAGGCGAATATCGAACGCAGCGGATCCAAAAATCACACTCGATCGGTTCCCCTTGCATCTGCCATGTTTTGGTACACCAAAGCTTCACCCCGTCTTGCCATCCACCAGTGGCCAGCACCGTGCTATCTGGAGAAAAATCCAACGAGTGGATTTGGTGTGGGTGGGCTTTGACGGGCTGGGTGAGGAGTTCTACAGTTTCACCGTGCCAGGCGATAAGCTTTCCGCCATAATCACCGCTTGCTATTATTTGACCATCTCGTGATACCGCCAATGCCTCCACGCTGCTGCTATGCCCCTCCATCTTCTTCAACACAACACCTGTCTCCAAGTCCCAAAGACGGAGCGTGTAGTCATTCGAGCCCGTAACTATTCGTCGTTTATCGGGGAAAACTGCGACTGCCTTTACGGTCCCCTCATGTTCTTCAAAAGTTCGAAGGGGTCTGATGCTTGGAATGAGCTGTGACATTTTACTGGGGGTTGATGGTGTTAGCACGGTCGAAGGATTGTGGGTGTCTATCTCTAAGCTGCAGAAGTGCATATATCGTGCATTTTTATGCTTCTTCACCACGCTAACCTACCTCGTTTTCATAGACGCCCAAGACACGAGGCAGTTTGTCATCACCGTTGCAGCAATTGAAATGCTCCCTGCGAGCCATAACCACCTTCCTCGACTGCACTGTGTCCATCCGTCCGACTCGTGTCTCCATAGCATCTAGAATATATCCAATGGTGATAGTGCGGTTGCCACTTCCCGGCCCTCGAATTTGGCTGAAAGTTATTTATCTTAGATTGCCGCATGAATATCTCTCGTGTCGAGCTTTTTCTCTCACATTTCATCATATAACTTGTCCGAGTGCACATAGCTTACTGCAAACACCATCTCCCTGATCCGCCTGTGCACATGCAACCAAAGTTCTTTCTTCTAGCCTCTTACATTTGCTCCTGATGGAGGCATTTCCGTATTTCAATGTGCATGTTATCCAAATTATGAATTTCAAAGGTGTCAGCCTTGCTTCCAGTGCTTTGCTCCTAGCTCTTCTCAACTCCTCAGCCATTCCTGGCCCATTTGGTTTCAGTTTGTCTCATTCGCCAACTACCTTCCCATGCCCATTCTTGTGGCAATCCTGCACCACATAAGTGTGCAATATGACCATTACACTATACTAACATAGGTGAGCTCTCACTACAGTCAAAGCTATGCGAGCCTGCATTTCATTGTTGACTTGTCATTGTGGCGTTCGGCAATGTTATCCCAATCTTCGACTTTACCCTCTCGCCAAACTAGTTAATATGTGGAGGAGTGGCTGGAATTAGCTCGTATTGCTGAACAAGATGCTGCGTCGCCAGATGCGTACAACTAGCCCTTCATCTGTGACTCTGTTGGGGAAACATGCCAGCCAAAGTCGGCTGCGGTCTGGAACTCGTGCATGACCCACCCCCTCCTTCCTCTCAGTTCCTCGTATTTTCACTTTCGATTTTCACTGTTTCTCTAGCGCGCTGGTGTACTAGATTTCTCTCTTGCTTTCGGCGTTCAGTGTCCACTCTGCCGATCTCCAAATTCATATCATTTATTATTGTGTCCGATGCGCTACCTCGTGTAGTACTGACTACAACTTCCATTGGTGAATCATCAAGGGTGTTCCAACCGCCTTTCCATTATTGTCCGACAAGACCTCCTGTGTGGCAGTACAGTTCTGCTTATGCATCATGCTGTCCCATGAAGCACTCATGATTGTTGCGCAAGAAAAATTCCTCCCAATGTTCCTGCTTTGGAGTAAAAACAACTTTGTCGTCGGCAGGTTTCGAACCTACGCAGTCCAAGAGGAGCAGATTTTGACTCTGTTGTGGTAACCACTTGGGCAAGGATGATGACTCAGGCTGCGAGGAAACCATCCATGAGTGAATGTCAAGGTGTGTTCCAATAGAAAAAAAAACTGTCGTTCGGCAGGTTTCAAACTTGCGTAGTCCAAGAGGGGCAGATTTTGATTCTGTTGTGGTAACCACTTTGGTCAGGACAAAGTCGAGATGAACCTCCGAGGAACTGTCCATAAATGAATGTCAAGGTGTGTTCCAATAGAAAAAAAAACTGTCGTTCGGCAGGTTTCAAACTTGCGTAGTTCAAGAGCGACGGATTTTTATTCTGTTATAGTAACCACTTTGGCGAGGACAAAGTTGAGATGGACCTCCGAGGAACTGTCCATCAATGAATGTCAAGGTGTGATAAAAGGGAAAAGTCATTTGTCGGCAGGTTTGGAACCTGCGCAGTCCAACAAAGCAGATTGGTACCAGTTGACTATCATTCCTTAAGACTGATTAGACATTGAAGGATGAACGTTGGTAGTTGGCCAGCGTGGCTTCGGGCTACTTAAGTCGGATCAATTTCTCTAGTATGAGTACTTACACCCTTTGAACATGCGTCAAATTGACGTCACCAGAATCTCCCTCGAATGGCAAATAATTTTCCTTTCATACATCATATCCATATACATATACATAACACACGACATACGCGAGTAGGTGAACCAGCACCAAAACTCTCTTCACAAACTAATATCCGTCTCCATAAAATCACCGATGATTGGCACCCTGTTGAGACCAATCAGCTCCCGTCTCCGGAACGATGCCCATTGGGTCACTCGCGTCGACGATGCGGCGGTAACGGCCACCCGCGCGTACATCGAGGGGACGACCTTGGGCCAATGCCAGATGTATATACCATTGAAGTGTCTTCTCGAGACCGTGCGACTCGTCCATGTCAAAATGTATGGGACGCATATGCTCTGGGCAGCGTTGGCTGCGAACAGGCGCCAAGGGATAACGATTGATCATTCCACGGAGGACGGTGGGGTCCTGCTCATGCGAAATCTCATCGTATTTGGAGTAAGGCCAGTAGGACTGGACTGGCGCAGGAGTGGGAACGGCGAGACGAGATGGAACTTCCCGAATATTTATGCGTGAGCTGTGTGCGGACCGCGAGAGTACCGGATGTAGGGAGCGGGGGGTAAGAAGAGCGGGAGCGGGGGGAGGAGTAATGTTCGAGCGACTAGTGCTTGACTTGGCGTGAATACGTTCTGCCAGTCTGCCACTGTGAGTGTGATCGTCAGGCGTCTGCAGTACGTCGGCAGAAGCTTGATCAACAGGGGCCTCATGCCTCTGCTTTCTGCGGGGAATGGAGGGGCAGGCTTGAC